TCTGGCCGGATTTTACTTACACACCGCCACCCATGGTAAGAACCATCATGAGTGCACGTTTGTGCGCGACGGGTAGTTGACTTATCCATATAGGCTGCATTTGTAACATCAATATCAAGGGCATCGGTGCCGATGGAAAACCCAGCATTCGCGTGCCAGTTCTTGTTGAGGCTAATGCAAGTTGACTGGATAGACTTGTCCCAGGCGCCTCTGAGTGGATGGCACTGCCAGATTGATAAGGCTGAGGCTATAGACATATAACAGACAATGGTGCCTATGAGGGTATAGCAGCACCTGCGGAGCCATTTTTGGACAAATATGCGGAGATATAGTAGGAGTATGGATATTTTGGCGAGATTCACAGTGAGTTTGTATAATATCTGAGCGACATAGAACAACTAAAGGCGTTAGGGTTATCATCAAGTGACTTGTTGTAGAAGCTATGTAGTAGATGCTACTCACCTTGAGCGCCATCAATTTGTCATCTGTGGTCAAGGTTTCAATATGGCGACCAAATCCGTAGCTGCAGGAGACTACCATAACAGTTTGTACAGTCAAGGCAGATGACTATTTCGTTAGTGTCAGCCCTTTGTGAGTACTAGTATTAGGCATAACTTACAAAGGATATAATGATGGTTGTATCATCCCAACCCAGACTCGATCTCCTAGCTACATGGCTCCAAATGCGGAAAAGGATAAAGATAGGCGTCACAATGAAGAAAGTAACGCTTGGGGCGTAAATCAGCACTGCGTTGCTCTCGCTTGGGATATCCTCCGAGATCATCATGGACAATTGAAGACGTGAGGCATGTGCTCAGTGCTACGGTAACACTGAGACGCCAGCACCATGGGAAAAACTGATCCGAAGAGGGATGCTTTATATTGAAAAACTTGGCCCTTTCTGAGTCTCTTGACTTGGCTTCGGTTTCGACCGGGAGCACTAGAAACAAGAATCTGCATGCTTGTTGCTTCTGTGCAGGAGGTTAATGGTATGTAATAGATTAATAACACGAAAGACCTCCAATTATAGCCCATAACATCTAGAGAATTAATCTTGGAATAATTTATCTCAGCCGTCAAAGTAATGACGGCTTGTTTGAGGCCATCCATTTGTGAAGTGGTCAGTTACATCACTCCGAGCTATATCAGCAACTTGTTACTCAGGGACGCCCAGCCACTACGGGATTTTCCATCGTAATTTTATGATATGAGATGAGAACTAGAGTTCCTTTTTCAAAATCTCCGATATTGGCTTCATCTGATTTTTGCAACTGGAAGAGATTGCGTTATTTTGTAGGCTTCTATGGTGTTGGTCTACACTTTGCTTTTCTTCCCTGCAAGTGACTCTTTGCAACAAGTGGAAACAGAACGCTCCATTTATCCTGGACGAAAAGTTCAAACATCGATAAATCCTGGCGAATGACGACTTGCGGTCTGCTTTCCTTCTGCTTCACTTGGTTCCATCACGTTGATTCTTGAAGGTGAATTCAAGGGTAATCCAGGAACAGCAGAAAAAGCAATGACTCCAGGACGGAATTGAATAAATAAATAAAGGTTCAAATCTAGATTTGAATTACATCTTATGCTTATAGTTGCTTTCATATTAATAGTACATTATCTTGGTATTTATATTACGGTTTCCTAGGAGAAAAGACGGTTTATTTCTTCTCCATGCCACATACAAAGATTTTACAAGACTGATCTAAACTCTCGGAACACTATATAAGACAATATGAGATGTATGATCAAAAACATAAAAGCCTGTAAAAGCCTTGATTCTTTTGGTTCATTTTTATATCATTTTATAGAAAATCTTTTACAATTTCACATAAGAATGGCCGTTTCTGCTGTCACCCAAAATATGCTTCAAAGCAACCAGAGCACGAGGTAATCATGAAACATTTCGCTCGAGTTGCTGTTTTTAGACGTGGATGATACCCTGTAGCTCCGATCGATACGGAGAAGGAGACCGAGCAAGCCCACATTTCCCGGCGGTGTACCCCCGGGGGCACCGAGGCCTTGTCCAAGATATCTTTGTGAGAACTGACAACGATCAGCGAGGGAAACTTGGCTTATCCCCACTGGTGAGTGTTATATCGACTTTAGCCTCCGCCCCGCCAAACTTACGTGACTACTGATAAACGTCGCTTTGCTTGGTGGTGAGTGAGGAAAAGAACAATCCAGTTTGATTAGTGTCAACCCAAACGTGATCATTTGAGTAAGCAGGCTGCAAAAAGTCTTTTTAGATGTTTGGAATCTTTCATATTAGACCCAAAGCAAGAGGTGCTATTGTGTAGACTGAGCTTATTGGTGGTGGGAGGGAAGGCACTTTTGGCACTGTTGGCACTGCTTCGCACATCTGCCATTTGCTTTAGACTATAACTATCAAACAATCAGGAGCGGATCATTTAACTAGGACTCTGTATCCTCCATATGCATAATCTTCACAGACGGAGAAAAGAGGAAGGTTCTCCAAGTCCGCGGTCTGCGTAGGGTGGTAAGTCTCCGAAGTATATGATAACCAACATCACTAACCTCACAAGAAGCCAAGGGATCGATAAATGGCGGAAAACCCATCAGAGGTAGCCGGGAAGGCACGCACCGTAATGTTCGAGTCTATCAGTGGGCGAGGTCCTCAGGGCGAGCCTCATCTTCTCGGAATAGACATCGAGCAGAAACCCTTCTACTCAATGTCACGTTGCGTCCTCGCCGAAACTCTCATCAAAGATATCTCAAAGACAGTCCACCGTATATTCTTCTACAACGATGTCGATGCCGCTGATTGGAATGAACTTCCCCCGGTTAGAAGACCCATGTGGTCTTCTGGAATCCAGAACCTTTTCTTCCCTCACAACAGCACGGATGCGTATGCCTGGAACCATCACCACGCCGTTATTGGCATGGGTATACCTCTGAGACACCAGCGCTCCTATACCGGAGTTGAAGTTCGAATGGGTTCTGGAGGACCCATCGGAGAGTGGCACCCCGAAGGTATCTACCATTGCAGAGGCATGGAACTTTACCCTGATCTCAAATCTTATCTTCGAGTTCCCTTTGGCAGCGCAACATGCATCAAACTTACCTTCGAAATCGATTACGAGGACGATAATGGCATGATGATGATGATTTCGGGCGTGGAGAATGTGGTCCCTGAACGACCTATCTCGCCGCTGGACTGGCATGATTCCGTCCGTGTTGATATCGCGCAGGAAGGGCATCCACACATAATCTCGCTCAACATGCGCTTCGTTGAGTCGCAGCATCCAGACCCTGACGTTCCTCACATGACTCGTGTTGCGGTCTTCAGCATCAAAGAAATTGCCTTGCTGGATACTGATAATACCACGATTAATGGGAGAAGAGTGCACAACTATCACTATCACATCAAATTGAGGCACTATCAGGGTTGGGACTCAAAGGAAAAGAGTTGAAAGTGTCAGACATCTACGATTAGAGTTGAATCACGGCTAATAGATATAACTGTGCCCTGTATGACAGAATCCTAGACGAAATAAAGAGTGACCCGTTGCACAACCTTGAGATTGCTTCCATTGACTGACAGCCACTGAGCGACATGAATCACGCACACGTTTAGTCCGGCCTTGTCACTCTTTGTTACCGTGATATAACTTTTACCTCCCCCTCTTACAACGGATCTGGGCGCCTGTTCGTGCTCCTGCCCACCAAAGCTTGATGTCTCCTCGCGGCGTACAAGAGAACAAGCATCTCCATTCAGCACACTATATGTTCAGCGAAACAATGCTATCAACCGACGAATCGAACAGTCAAAGGCCCCGCTAGCATCGGTTGAATGTTGGTATATAAATAAACCCTCCCGCTCAGGTCAGACTCTAAGCCACACGCAAACACTATTAAGAAGTTCTGTTGGAACACTCCCGACGGTAACGTAACCTGTACGACAGGATAGCTTCTCGTGATCAATTGTTTTAGTATCTGCTCTGCAACTACCGAGCACATTGCACAAGAAGCAAGAACCAAAGCATAACGATCATAAAAAGACCAAGGTATGTTTTTCCAAGCCCCGATCGAGAGAACTAACAGAGAGAGATAGGTCTGAGGAGCGAATATGTCTCATCGACGCTCTGTGAGTGCGTCGCATGCCCAAACCGTACAATCTGGATACCGTAAGGTCGATTATGGCCATGTTGAGCCTCGCAGATATGCATCGTCCACAAGTGGAATCACTCATGCGCATTGCTCAGGGGACTTTTCTGCAGCAGATGAAGGAGATTTCACAGACGAAGAGTCCTACTGCATAGAAGGACCAAGTCCCCACGGAACATATTATACCACGGCAAATCCTCGAATCAACGCCTCGCGTCCTAGGCCTATTCCTCAAAGCCAAAGCAGTATTCACCCTCAGGCTACTGGGTATCGCACAAGGGGCTACCGCTCTGGAAACGACCAACCAAGAAGCATCCCTTGCTCTGAATATGGGTTACCCAGAGGTTCTTATTCTGGAAACTTCAGCCAACCAGGTCGATATGCCACAAGCTATCAGAATCGTAGGGCATATTCTGCCTCCCATGGAGGTCGCAATCTTCGACAAACCTACCCCTCAGACCACTACGATGAAGCAGGGAACTATGTTGGTCCTCCTGCAGTCGACTCCTACTCTAACGACCTGGTTTCGTTCCCGCGGCTTCCCGAGTCGGATCACTCTTCACCGGAGCTCGATCATGGAAACCAGGGAGGTTCGCGGCCAAACTCTACTTCAGAAACACCTAATAAACGATCTTTCTCGGAACAGCTGGTCGACGGCGTACGTGGGCTTTTGGCTACGGAATCAAAGGAGGACGAGGTTCCTCCACAGCCGCCTCGTACAGGTGTCTATCTCTTTTGCCGTCATTATCTAATCGAGGAGTGTGCTTGCATCACCCCTCTTGAAGATGGTGGGCCGGGTGATTACTGCCAGAGGTGCTGGGAGGGGCGTTGTGATGGACCGCGGCCTCCTGGGTCGGTGGTGAGAAGGTCATTATGGTAAGAAGCAGAGTATCAGGATAAGCCAGGAGTTAAGTATGGGTAGCTTCGGCCACAGTTGAAATGGCGCCGCAGCAGAAGTTTGGAGTCTGCAAATGGTTAATTACTAAATAATAGTCATTTGGTCTGTGCTATTAGCTATTAGTATTACAGAAGAAAAAAATATTTGCATGTCCTACCAGAACACGTTTTAAAGGAACATGATGTGAATTGTATACATTGTCAAGTGACAGTGGTCTATTTGTCCGTTGTAGTTGGTCTCTCGAACCATCAAAGAATTTGTGCCTGTATGATTGACAACCAGAACCACGGACATGTGGCTCCAAGAAATAAAAAGAATCGAAAACAAATAAGCCCAACTCCATCCGCTATGCATATCTTCTCAACGCCTTGCCTATACATCAGAGATACAATCTCTCGAACCCACAGGCAAAAACGTTATCACTAGCATTAACTCTTTATGATGTGACGCGTCTGACCCAGAGAGATGAGGGTTCAAAAGCCGCCTCTCTTTCAAGACGTTTATTCGCTCGGTAGAGCTTCAAGCCCAAGTCGTGCTCCTCCCTTTGAATCTCCGCCAGCTCCTCCTTGAGCCCTTCCACTTTCTTCTTCTCAATCTCACGCTTGCGAATAACGTCTGTATTAGACAGAAGCCTGTCGGTAGGCATCAACTCTGTCATCTGCTTAATACTCTTGTTGATGTTATTGCGACGGTGCGCCAGACTGTCAAGTCTAGCCGTGAGATATGCCACACGATCGTTTGCCGACTGCATCTCTGGCGGCGCCGGGGGAAGTGCCTTATCTGTGGAAATGATAGATGCCGGGCGATCATTAGATGGCGAAGCTGATTTCATCGATATGATGATTGGTACATTCGAGGCTCTCCTGAAGTTATCTCCGCCTGGAACTGGTCTCCTACGATCCATTACTGACGGTTGCTGCTTCGGTGTGTCTGGCGGAGAAGCTTGACCTTCATTGTCAGATAAACGAGGTGTTTCAGCAGCAGCAGCAGTGTTGCATGTCGTGACACTGAAGCGAGAAGTTGGCTGTACCCAAGGGTCTTCTGGTGTCGACTGACTTCCTGGCTCTATGGAGTTAATGACCGGTTTGTTGCCAAGGAGTGTATCTTCGGTCATTGCGGAATAAACGGAACTTGACCACGACGTATGTGGGTTATGACTCGATGGCGATGGTTTCCTTTTGACTGCCTTGAGTTGGTCAGGGACCATGTTAGGATTGAGCATGGGTGCAGCGGCAGCATGCGTGATCGTGGGCTGAGAGGGAGGAGAGCCAGTATTAGGCGGACTGGGATATGAGTGGGAAATGAGTTCAGGAGATGGTGTCTTATAAGCCTCATTCAGGTTCTGGGTGGACCGTGATGGCAGGAGTCGTCGAGATGTTCCAGCATTGCCGCTAGGTGTTTCAGGAGACGGGCCACGACCAAGCCCAACACGCTTGCTGACCCTACGCTGCAAGCTCAATGGTGTAACAGTTAGATCGTCCCGAACTGGATCGACCATAGGCGCACGGCCACTTGCCCCATTCCATGGTGGCCTGGTGTTAACAGGCTCTGGCTTTGCTCTAGCAAACTTGCGAATTCGCTGTCCTAGTGAAGGAGAAGGATTACCGGAAGTGGTACGCTGCGGTCCAGTGACGACTGTTGTGAGTCCAAATGTTTGCTGGGGCATGTCGGATGAGCCAGCTGGTGGCTCCATAGCTTCCCATGGAGTGGTGATATCTGCAAGTTGATCGGTTGACCTAGTCGTGCGAAGTGGTGAAGGTTGACCAGGGCTTGTAGGCTTATCGCGACGCATAGTTGGTATTTGGCTACGAAGCTGTGTTTGTGATTGTCTGGGGGTGAGGCGGCGTTCCCCTAGAAGATCCAGCTGAGATAAATTTGGGCTGTCATCGATTGGTGAAACATCTTGAGAGTTCGGTCTGCAAGCAAAGCATCGTATTAGTGATTGTACATTGATTCGGAAAGATCGCATTTTGAGGACAGCACGCAGAATGCCAACAAATTCCAAAAAGAATCAATAAGTCACGACAAGAATGCCCAAGAAACCTGCAACAAAAAGGATTCAGAACCAAGATTACTCACTCGTAACGTGCAGCATCAAACTCGGGGGAGCTTGGAGGGGAGATTTCGATAGAACGCCCGTACATGTCTTTGGCAGGCGCCTTGGAGCGAGATAATCGATGGTGTAAGTGACGAGAGTGGCGCTTGCTCGAGTCGAATTCGTCGTCGGGATAAACGGACGAGGCAGGTCTCCAAGGAGAGTCGTCCTCGCCTTTTCGAGGGTTTCGGGGAGGAGCGTTCGCTCGGATGTCGTCTGAGCCGAGAGCAGGGGAGCTGAGAGAAGATAATGTGTTAGTCAGGAACAGATATACGGTCGTTATTGCCAAGTCGCATCAGGCGCATGAGAAGCATTAAAGGTGCCCTCAGGGAAGAAGCAAGAAAATTTGAGACCTCAATCCTGAGTGACCAAAATATTAGGTAGATTTAGTAAAGAAGACAGTAGGTCGTTAGAGTAATCATTTTTGTGACTGTAGAATAAAAAGTCCAAAGTTTTGCACATGTCTGCAGGCTTGTCGATCTTTGAGCGTACGTACTATATGACGACGAACGACTCCAGCAATTGCCGATGCCCAACTGGCTAGAAGAGACTGATGAGCCTTCATCGCTTTGTTGTACCCTGCACGTGCTGAAAATGAGGCGTGCGCATGTAGGGAACCCTGCTGCGCCAGCTCGTCTCATGTTCATCATGCGTTCTAACAAAGCTCTTGATGGGCCCTTTGTCATGATGGGCTGTGTTGGGTTGCATCCTTTCGGCGCAGCAGTTCCGAATCGTTTTTGGTGTAGTGTATGGAATAGAAGTATAGAACAAAAGAAAGTAGCACTTACAGACGAGGTGGGCCTGCGCTGTATGGTTGTCGAACTGTTTTACCACGTCGAATTTCGTATCTGAAAGGACCGTTTTGAATTCCGAGACCGTTGAGACGGTTTTCGAAGTCGTCCTGGAGATATGTTTGGTTGTCGTAGTTGCTGTCGCGTGACTTGTTCGAATTTCTACCGTTGCTGCTATTGACGCTCGTGGTGGACCTATTCTGTGGCAGTGCCTGTGATGAACTTGTACTCTGGGTCTGGCGGAGAAAGGGTCGGTTCTTGAGCTCTCGAGGTGGTTGCTGATGAAAGCTGGGGCCAGTGCCAGTTTTGAAGCTGTCCCACATGGCAGGCATCTCTATTGTCAGCTGCCAGTCAGTGACAGTGACTGTTGGAAGATTGTAGGGATCGCTGGGCTGAAAGTGCCTCGTGCTGCCGCTACTGTATTCAGGTTGTTATTTTTGGGCGTGAATCCTTCAGCTTCACCTCGATACGGCGATGTAAGTGACTGTGCAGTGCTGACGGCAGCAATAGCTCAAGCGTCGGCGGGACCTGAGTGTGGCGGAGGCCTTCTAGAAGCTAGGACTGGAATGAGTTTGCTCAAAACTGTAACAATGGATGACCCAAGTCTGGAAGGATTCGGAGTAGACAAGCATAAGGGAAAAAGCAATTGAATCGCCGTCGTATACTGTAGGCACGAGTCCAGCTCCAAGCCTGGATTCAAGTGTAATGAATGTGGGTTAGAGTGAAGAAGAGCGAAAAAAAAGAAAAAGAGCAAGAGACAGACAAACACACAAACAAGAGAGAGAAGACTCGAGCAAAGCAGGGAAATGATTCCTTGTTGACGGCATGGAACCTGGGGGTTCTTTAATCAAAACCTTTTCAAAATTAGGTGCAACGGTCGTTGGCTGTTGGCTAGTCAGTCTCCTGGAGCCCACTGGAGCCGTGGTGCATTAATTTAAGGCCTGGTGCTTGCAACCAGCGCCAACCGATTACCTTGTTCCCCGGCTCTCGAGGCTGTTGGCGCCTCTTGTTTAAATGAGGCAGGGATACGACAATACGACGGCAAAGGACGATGGGTATCTACCGTAAAATTGTGGCTCTTGATAGCCAACCGACCGAGAGTAGCGCCAGTGCTTTGGTGGAGTGTTTAGCCCGTGGGTCTTGTTTTGATATCATGATGTATGGACGGACAGCAATTGTGTTGGATATACAGGCGCCAAAGTATAGTGTTCCCAAGCGCCGTCGCCGTGTTGTGGCATCTAAAGACTGGAGATGCAGTTTGACTGGCTTGAACGAGCCGCCATTAGTCGCTCTGGCGCTAGGTTCCGTCAAGACGTACCAGAGAAAAGCGGTGGCATATCCTCCAGTAATTGCTAACGAGAACTGTTGTCAAGAAGCTTATTTTAACTCAAAACTGCAGTAAAAAGGAGAGAGTTCGGATGAACAGTGACTCTTCACCTGCTAGAACCAGGAGTGATCATCCCCGTCATCACAAGCTTTCACAAGCCGAACAACACCAGAAGGTAAAGATTGACACTCTAGAAAAAGTATCTTTGATCGATCGTCCGGACCATGAAAGAGATCTTTCCATTTTTGGGCCTGTGCCTGTCAATTCCGCAGGGGGCCTAAGCGGACTTGTTTCAGATTGCTCAGGGGCTATGATTTGAAACTTGGGGCATCATCTTCCGTGAACTCAAAGCTGACGACCAAGTGGAACCACCGACAGGAAAAAGAAACAACAACTCATTTACATGAATGCGAACCTTTCCTAGCCCTTTCCCGCTCAGTCCACACAGAGCTAGACGTTGGCGGATCATCACCCTAAAACACCAAACCTTGCGACAGCTGTTGAAGCTAAGCTCTCTCTGTATTTCTCCGTCGGGGATATCATCTACTTTTCTTGCTGAGCCTTACGAAGGACCCTGATCCCAGCTACCTATTTCACAGCATCCCCTGTTGTCTTTTGCCGGAAGACCCGTTTGTTACCGCTGTTGCCGTTCACTTCTTATGGCATGGCATGTCAGGAGATTTCGAGCTGTCACTTTTCTTAATGGTCCCTGGACCATTGAAGACCGACAGATAACGAGCAGCTCTACTCAAACGACTTAATCGCCTTCTTATCGGATATCAGTTGCCCGATCGCCAACTTAAGCGACACCGTCCCCAAGATCCAAGCAGCAATCCATGATCTTATTAAAGAGAGCAAGAGGCAATATGCCGAACATGGTAAGGACTGTCGAGGATCTGTCTCTGTTCGATCAGATATAGTCCAAGCAAGGCCTTGGAATTGACAAACCGTCACTCGTCATCAGCCACTAATACAAAACCGACTTTAATCATCAAACACGACAAAGCGAACTTCAGAATCATCCCAAGTCACTGCCATCCGTTCAAAACTGTATCATCCTGTTGAATCCCTGTCGCCTTCAGACCATAGCTCCACAAGGCTCCCCGCTTGGCGCTATCTCTTGCTTCCCTCCCGGTCTCAAGTTCGTCTGTACCATTCAGATACAGCAGCTCACCCGTCGGAGCCTCAGTTTCAAAGGCGAGCCGAACTGCATCTTCAGCACTCTTCCACAGTGGACGGAACTCTCCATTTGGTTTGAACCTGGCCTGAAGAGATATGACTGGGGCTAGGATCTTGAGGAAGTGAGACATGACAAAACTGCCCCGTCGATGTAGGTCTGAGCCCATGGCACCGGGATCAAGACCAACCACAGTGATATTGGATAGTTGTGGATCCTGGACGAGACGGCTAGCGAGTTCATGCCTGCAGTCGTCAGATGCTAACTCAGTCAAAAGGCTTGGTGGACTTACATGAGCATCACCGCACATAGCTTGCTTGCCCCATATCGTCGATATCCCGTTAGCCATCCTCCGCCAGAATCTGGTCTGCTCCATCTTCCCTTGGCGAGCTCCTCTGGGCCGGGGAAGAGACTATCGTACCCCATGTAACACTTGATATTTGTGTTGTTTCGCTCATCGTTGATACTACGGACATTATCAGCGAATATTATTTTGCTTGTATGCCACGGCTTACTCATGAGACCAGCTTCCTATCAGAAGGATCCTACCATTTTCTTTATCCATGCTCTGAAGCAGGAGAAGAGTCAGTAGTTGATTGGCCAAGAAATTAACTTGCCAAGTCATCTCGTATCCATCATCTGACATGTTCTGTTTTTGATGAGTATAAGGCACCTTTGACCGTTAGGGTCGAACTCACAATCTCTTCATGGTCTTGATATCCAGCGTTGAGGATGAGTGCTCTGATGGGAGGCAAGTCTCCAGCAGCAACCCTACGGTTGATCCCGGTTGCCATCGTTCTGACACTCGCCAATGAGCTGAGGTCCAAGTCAACGACATCATGCCTATGAGCTTCTGGGGCTGACTTCAAAACCTGTTGAAGTCGAGTTGCCGCTGCTGCTCTTCTGACAGTATAGACACCGGTGTAGTTGCTGGCCAGTTCTGGTTTGCCCAGGATATTGGTCACAATGGCTGACCCAAGCCCTCCATTGGTCCCAGTGATCAGAATAGTACCTTGAGAAGACGACATCTTCAAAAAAGTTCTGAATGCGAATGTAAAACAAATACAGATTTTGATTTATCTGTCTTTGTTGCGCGGACTTGTTGCCCTTATACAACTGACCCTCGGAGTTAGCCCTCGTACTCCTAGAGTATGTGTGACCCCATTTTTATTAGTGAATACTGACATTTTAGGTGCTTTCTTCACCAAAGATTGAGACTTGTCTTAACACGCCTGGCTGATATAAGCCAGCTTGTAGCAGTTGGTTACTGGAGGAACTTCAACTAAGTCCGCCTGGTTATGTCATATGTTATTAGATGCCCTTGACCGCTAGCTACCACATATCTTTCGACATTGGTACGGTAATCGTAGACTACAGCCGTCGTAATTGGGTTTGAGATGGCATATCTTAGAAAACTGATAATGGATCATACATATTGCTTGGTATCCCCACCGGGCATGTATGACTGTCTTTTGAATCTGTACTGGCCGCATGTTCAGTTGAGCCTTCGAGATATAATATTTAACATCAAGGGATTGATTGTTATGTAATTGTTCTCTCATTACTAATATGTACATTGGAAAACTATGATTGACCAGGTGCCTTGAGCATCTCGTTGTGCTGAACTTGGTCTGTTTAGTGAAACAACTCGACGGCGTCAAAGATGAAGTTGGGGCTTAGGAAGTCAGCACCAGAGCTACCAGAGATGACCTCGATAGTAATGGTATTGGTGCCAGCCTTGAGGGTGCCTGCAGGAATAACAGCATCGTATACCTCACCGAATCCACGGTAAGCTCCCCGCGTAACACCCCGAGAGTCGATCTTGACGGGAGCATCGAAGGCCTTCTTGAAGCTACCGATGGTGACCTGAGGGCGACCACTTGCAAATGCAAGAGTGGTACCGATACGGAGAGTGGCCTCGGTAGAGATGGCAGAAGGGAGGTTAAACTTGATAGTAACTGGGTTGTTGACAGCCTTGAAGATAGCCATGGGAAAGTCACCAACAGAGCTGGAGCCTACAGTGTAGGTGAGAGGACCCCAGCTGGCCATGCGCTTGTCACTAGGATGCATGCGTAGCTGGTTGGCAGCGTTGCGGAAACCCTTGGGTTGGCCATCCCAATCGCCAATACGAAAGACAGAGGTGTGCTCTCCTGTGGTAATGTCGGAGTTGGCGGCGATAGAAGAAGAAGCAGTACTGCCAGCAGAGACGCTCACGCTCTTCGAGGCAACCTTGAGCTCACCCTGGTAGAGAACTTGAGTGTAAGTTCCCGGTACCATGAATGGAGAGGTGAAAGCGCCGTTGGAAGAGGTGTAGGCCCAGTACTGGAAGTCTTTGTTGAACCAATGCACAACACCCTGGAAGCCAGACTGAACACCAGTGGCGGTGCCACTCACTCGGCCGCGGGAGGAGTCGGCGGTATAGTTAGGAATAGAAAGATCCTTGAAGAAGGACATGTCAATATCCTGAGCCTTTGGAACACCAGATCGTGAGAAGGACAAAGCGTAAGGGCCGTGGAAGCCCTGGCGGAACTCCTCAGTCTTGGCATGACCGGAGTTCATATAGAAGGTAAGGGCACTGAAGTCACCGTTGTTGTTGCTGTTAATGTCACGGAAGAAGGGACCGCCTGAGCTTTTCTCGTAGGAGCGCGAGGCGTGAGTGACCATGCATGCGTGCACATCCTTGGCGCTACTCTGGAAGCACCAGACATCGTTGTCGATGAAGCGCTGGGACGAGTAGAACTTGGAACGAGTCTCGCCGTTGACATTGAAGACATCAGAGCCCTCAACCGCAGAACCGCCTGAGGTATTGGAGGCCTCGCCAAAAGGTATCTCGTTGGGCAGTTGAGAGCGATCGAGGCGAGTAATGTAGCGAAGCTCGCCAATAGCAGGTTGTGACTTTGTGTCAGTGGCCATGTAGACCACGCTCTGGCCATTCTGGACGACATAGTAGTGAGTTAGATCAAAGTCTCCGGACTTAGTGGTACATGTGATCTTAATATATTTGTCTACGCCCGAGTCAGCATGTTACAGCGTTTGATACACGCTCTATACTCACTGTTGAGAACAGTGGATTGGACAGTGGACGATCCCAGACCAGACGCAATGTGAGAAGTCTGAGACTTATACTGGTACTCAGCTCCGCGGTACTTGATCGAATTAATGGAGCAGTCACTCTTGCTGACGGTGACGGAGAAACCGTTGGAGTTGCCAGAGTCAACAACGAGATTGTTACCACTGGTGGTGACGCCAAAGGCTGCCAGAGCCGGGGCAGCACTCGCAAGAGCACCGAGATACTTGAAGCTGACCATATTTACGATTACCAGATCGCCAAGTAAGGGCAGTATAAAAAAAATGAAGAGAAGATTTAGCGAAAAGAATGTCTTCGAATGTAACGAGAGGCTTGAAAACGATTCAAAGAAGCAAAAGGGAAACCGTGTGAAGTTTACAACGGCATAAGATGAGTATATATCCACCCATTGCATGCTTGGCGGAGTGCTCCTTACAACCCTAGAGATATGATGATACAGGGAAGCTAATTGGAGGAGAAACTATAAACATCGTAATGTGGGAAGAATGCTGAAACAAACGCTAGTTTTCCGAGCAATGTAGCGATGCCCGTGCTTCTAAGACCAAGGTCAGGGTAGGGATGGCAGCTCCTAGCGGACGTTCTAATTTTTTAAGTGAACGAACTCCTCTTGGTGATGATTTGCAAGGAATGCCGAAACTGCCGCCTTATGTTGACCTAATTTGGGGGGAGTTGCAACGAAATCTCTCCAAAGTTTACGTGATTTCCGTTTATGGTATCTTGATGGAATGGTATTGGTGGGGAATTGTCCACTTCAACAGAACCCTTGACATGCCATTTCATATCCTAGCAATCTGTATCATTATATCACAGTATGTCGCAAGAGCTAGTTGTCAGGATGTGACGATTGGTTTCCGTACAATATTTCCTGTATTTAGTTAAACCTCCTCAATCAGATGCCCAGATCGCAACAATCTTATCCCAAAACGCCAGTGGTCATGATAAAGTCCTGAGCCTAGCAGAGACTTCCCAGAGCAATCCACAAACAAGAAATAACCACGATAGTAATCCCGCTTGCCGAAGCTCTTGATCCCAAGTTAGATCCTCTACTGCTCTGTCCTTCAGCACGCCCATCACCATTCCCTTGTCCATCATGCTCAATTCGAAAATTGTAGTCATCAGTGTATCCCGCTGGCTCACATTTTGTCCCTTCAGCCATAGCCATCTTGATCGACCAGTGTCCACCTGCGCATCTCTGAAATGAATTGGTCATACAGTGCCATTGGCCCTCTGTACTGCACCCTGAGCCTGCTTCCTCGTCGCGTTGAAATAACGTGTTGCGGGCATCTTTTGAGTCTGATGAGGCCAGAACGAGGCATGAGAAGAATAGAAGAAGTACCGCTAACGTTGCTGGTAGCTGATAAATTGAGGTGGGACGCATTTTGATGTAATTGGGCACTCCGGATTCCGGATGAGATCGGCGGTTTCGGAGGCGGAGCCGGCGTTATGTGGGGTTAGTGGACCAAGGCAAAGAAACAAATGACTTCTAGAAATTGTAGATCTTTGTTTCAACTTCAACGTTCCAAAACCGCAGAGACCGGAGGTTTAAATACTTGTCCCCTCAAACCCCGATATTTGATCTCATTTCCTATTCACATACCGCCTCACATCGCCTCGCCTTGGCTTGTATGAACTGTTGCTGCCCAGCGTGGGTCATGTACTGGACGTGGATCGGTCTCATTGGAGAACTCGAGAAGGAAGACAAGCGACAATGGGGAGATGGCTTTTTGGCAGCGAGGCTCGAGGCCTGTCACACTGTGCGATCTCATGTGGATATGGAGTCTTAGCTGTGATGAGTCTTGCATGGGGTTCAGGTAAGTTGGGCTTGAAGTGTGATTTGATGCTGCAGTTGTGAGTGAGGGCTTGTGGCAGCCCATGAGCCAATCAAGGATAAGGCGAGCATCCTGGAACGACGTTGAATAATTCTGTACCTGGCAGGAAGTAACTGACCAATTCCGAAAGTCCTGAACTTATTCTTTGACCAGGAAATTATGCAAACTTATGTGCGACCAGAAATAGTTTCATTCACAGCAGCTTTAGAAGAACAATCAGGCACCCTGTAAACTGAAGGGCCGCAACCAAAATTGTAAATTGAGATAGAAATGAATGAGTGTAGATTCAAATAGTCCCGACTCCCTTGCTTAAGAAATGAATGCTGCGTGTTGTTTTTCAGACATTCAGACCCTTATGTCTCTCGACTTCCACCTTCAATTACCTCCACCAACATCCTGTTCGGACCATCACCTTATGATAGACAATGCCCTGACTTCCCACATTGCTGAATCAGACATACTCAGAGGCGCTGACAGTTTTGGTCGCGGCCTGCTGGTCCTTAATCTTTCGAGACCGCTCCTTGAAGAACATGCAAGCCACTCCAACGATGGCGACGAAGAAAACAGAGCCGATCATGGCTCCTCCGATGATGACCGCCTCATCGTGACTGCCGGCCTTGTCGACAATGTACTTGGCGGAACTATCGTTGCCATTGGTGCTGAAGGGACCCATAGAAGAATCCATGATTGTTGTAAAGTGTGAAGTCAAGAATTTTGAAGTCTGATATTTGCGGTGTTCCTAGACTTGTTGGTTAGTGCCCCTTGTCCAAGGCGGCAGAGAGTGACGAACAGTTTTGTATATGTTGGGTGTCGGCAAAAGATCGTGGATCAAAGAACGGCAACTTGAGTAAAATTGATTAACTGCTTGCACCAGGCTCGCAGTGTGTGAGAACGAATGAAATGATTGAGTTAGGCATTGCTCTCTTGTGGGTTTGCCCAATATTTGTACAAATTCGAAAAAATGGTAGGAATGATGAGTCGTTTTCTTGTTAGTATTGTTCTCGGATAATGTGGATTTCTGCCTCTCCTGAATGTTTCGGCCCTTTATTTATGTCTGTATCTAACATGCGGTCAAACTTGCCAGGCCCGTATGCGCCGTGACTTCTAGAAGCTCTGAGATGATATATCATTCTTCTGACCACAGCCAACACGCTAGTACGCCGTCAGATTATATTCAACAGCTATAGTGTACACTCTAGCAGGGTTCAGCTAATTTCGTTACACAAGACATGACTTTCATGCTTTGCTCTGCACCTTTGTTTACAGAAGATTGGTGTTGATTGGTATTATTCATTACATGCGGCAAAACGTCCCAGCGCTTGGTCCGCTTGCCTCCTTTCGCTGGGTCTATTATAAACTGTGCCCAATATTACAAGGAAACCATTATGCTATGCCAGTTATCCTCCCTGTTCGCCATGCTGCTTACCTTTTTGTCTATATCCTCCGTTGAATGCATGCTGAACTCGCAGCTGAGTGATGCTTTTAACTTTTCACAAATACCCCGAAATCAGATCGCCAGTACTGTTCCATTCCAGGCTGGGTAGGAGGTGTGCCATGCGCCATTATCGTGTGTCTTTGAGGCAGAGCTTGGCTCAAGGGTGCTAGTTTCGGTGATTGAAGTGGTAGTGGTAGTCAATTTGATCAAAGTCGTTGGCGCTACAGGGGGCTCATAAGGTACGGCGGCAGTAGACCAGGACTGATCCTGAGTCGCATGGCTTTCAGCAAAGGTACCCTGTGAAGGAATAGGCGCCACTGGAGCGTCCGGTGTAGGACGTTCAGTTTGTTCTGGAGCTCCAGCACTCTCGCTTGTCTGGGTAAGGAGGGTAGTTGGTTCCGAAACCGGGGCTGGGCTTTCGATAGTGGGAGGAGGCTGAGCAACTGTCTCAACAGGTGGAGGATAGTCAGTGATGCAGGTGACTGACGATGATTCAGTAGTCTGAGGCGACTCAACGCTGGTAGGTGATTCGGGCTCAGGCTCAGGTTGGGGTATGGGCTGAGGTTGAGATGTCACGCCTGGGGCGGCAGCCGAGCTTAGATCAGTTGTACCTTGGACAATCGGCTCTCGCTCGTCGGTAGTAGTACCGGGCTCTTGTGTGGTTGTCGGCTTTTCCGGTGCTTTGGGCTTTGAGCTGGGGTGAGGGACAGTGACCGTCTCAGTGACTGGCTCATCGTCCATGTTGATAACCGAGACGGTAGTAGGGACTGCCTTGGTGACAGTCTTTCCGGGAGCAGTGACGATACTGGGCTTTTCGGTTTGTGTGACAATTTTTGTGACTGGCTTTCGTGTCACTGTTCGGATAACTGTCACGACGCCATCTCCGTCGTTGTCACTACTACCGCCACCGCTCCCATTACTGCTGCCCCCATTCCCATGCCCATCTCCATTTCCTCCACCAAGGTCACCTGAGGCGGGGTCATCGTCGCCAGGTTCTAAAGGAACGACTGAGTATTTGGGTTTGGCTGTAGCATCGCGGTGCACGATTCTAGGCTGGGGAAGTGCAGTGACGGTGGTATAAGAAGCAGAAAGAGCCAGAAGAAGGGGGATGAACCCGCGCATCTTGACGAGGCTATTTCGCTGAATGCGTTTGTTGTTTGCAGGTAGTGAGTTTGGTGTTATTTGGTGAAGAAATAGGAAATGGACTCGCGGTGGTGCTTCAAGGTGCTTGCGGATGCTGGCACTGGCAGCTAACAAGAGACCATCAAGAGCGAGTGAATGCCATGAGCGATTCACAACTGAGTGAAGGATAATCACAGTCTGAAAATGAGAGACAAATGTTGAATCTTATGTGAAACTAGGAAGACAAGACAAGAGAAAATGGCACAAACCTGGCATGTCCTAGGAATAGTTTTATTCATTGCAATTGAGATGGCTGGTGAAAGCTGCTATCCCTAGCAGGTGTTGAGACGTGAATTCATGGAGGTTGGAGTGACACCAAAAACGCGCTAGCATCTTCTGGTCAGGAACAATCGGGGGATTCTATGGGCGTTGGTCCTAGCGAGCGATTCACCAACCACCTATAAACGCAACCTAGAGATTTGATTGGTTGAATTGTGAGCCAACGTTATCTCGAATGCATCGTTCAGCTGCATAGCATCGGTGGGGTTATCCGAAAAATGCAAATTAACAAGTTCAATCCCTTATTTGGCCATCTCACATGGTCTAATCTATTCTTTAGCTTTCCAGACCCTCTTTGTTGACTCTGCTCTGGAACTATGATGAAGTTAAGTTGCGCGTTTGTGGCGGTGGAGTGGCGCTTGTGTCATTGAAGTGGCTGGAGGACATCTCCGAATCCGGCAAGCCCAATTATCAAGACTGCCTGTCTGAGTCGTTTAATTAGCAGAGAGCCAGAACCCATGATCATGGCAGTTGAGAGTCCGAACAGGTCATGCGATGACGACTCACGCGAGCTTGGCAGCGAGCCCTTATTCCTCGCGCATCCGTCAACACACCCACTCAGCCTCGAATGGGACCTCGAATGGTGGCCATTTTGCCGGGAAAAGGTGACAAAAATCGTCTCCGCATCCTCATCAAAAGACTGGGTTTCCCATGCTGAGGAAGCGGGTCAGGCATCCTTTGACATTCATTTCTTGCATCTGCCCAAGATATTTCGAGCTCTTGCTGCATGTTATCCGAGTCTCGGCTGCATTGACCAGATGCTTAAATCAAGATGCCCCTGCCAAAGTTCTCGAATGAGGGGCAAAATCATGTCAACAAGACGTTCTGTTTGGTGAAAATGACGTTCCATCCGATCCTAAGTTTAGTATCTTGGCTGTTGGCTTGCTCCGCCTCTGGGTAACCCACATGGATCGCCATTATTGAGATAGCGCCTCAAGGCTGAGCAGCATATGCGCGTCTCTCTTCAGCCCAAGGCAACTCAGGTACCATAAGTAGTTTGGGTTTTAAATAAGAGACCGAGGTGCCACTGTCCATTTCCATTCCGCCAGCACTTCCGTACATACTCCGTTTGTACAAAACCCATCATTTCCCCTCCGTCACCCCGCAATATCCATACAAATTTAACATCACGTCACCATAGTCATACGCACCATGTCTTACCAAGGTTACGGTGCTCCCTACGGCCGTAAGTAAACTGTCCATATCTATGATACGACAGGCAAGGCAATCTGACTGGATTAACATGTAGAACCGCCGCCTCCACAAGGTTATGGTCAATATCCCCCACCACAGCAGCCGTATGGTGGTTATCAACAGCCTCCTCCTGGACAATATCCTCCTCAGCAAGGCGGGTATCAGCAACCTCACGGCCACTATCCTCCTCCCGGAGGTCCTCCCCAATCTCAGCAACCTTACGGCGGATACCAGCAGCAACCTCCTCCTCCACAACATTACGGCGCACCTCCAGGACCTCCACAGGGCCATTATGGCGCGCCTCCTCCTCACCAGCAACATCATCAACCCTACGGCCAACCTTCACCTGCGCCGCCCAGTCAGTACGGCGCGCCTCCGCCTCAACAATATGGTGCGCCGCCAGTCCAACCGACTCCACCCTCGCTTGGCTACGGACCGCCTCAGATCATCCAATGGAATGGCGGCCCCGACGCTGACGCTTTGCGCAAAGCGATGAAGGGCTTTGGTACTGATGAGAAAGCATTGATCGCCATTTTGGCCAATAAGGACCCTCTGCAAGTTGATACGATCCGCGCTGCTTACGAGCGCAACCATCGTCGCAAACTAGTCTCTGATATTCAGAGTGAGACAAGTTCATGGTTCCAGAAGGCTTTGGTCTCACTGGCCCGCGGCCCGCTCCTGTCTGACGTGCATGCCTTGCATGACGCCATGTCTGGACCTGGAACTAAAGAGGTTGTTCTCAACGATGTTCTGCTTGGTCGATCAAATGCAGATCTCAAGGCAATCAAGAGCGCGTACTATCAAACCTTCCACGACAAGCTCGAGGATGTAGTGAAGGGCGATTTGAGCATGAAGACTGAGCGACACTTCATGATTGTTCTCGGCGCTACGAGAGCTGAGGACGCTGCGCCGGTCGACCCTCGACAGGTTGATGACGATGTCATGCAGATCTATAAGGCTACCGAGGGCAAGATGGGCACCGACGAGATTCTAGTATGCAGCATTCTCAGCACAAGGAACGATAATCAGATTCGCGCCATTGCGCACACCTACAAGCAGAAGTTTAACAAGGACCTTGAAAAGGTTATCAAGAGCGTGAGTACATTTGACACTACAACATGAAACAACTTACTAATGTGACCTAGGAATTTTCTGGCCACATGGAGGATGCTCTCCTTTTCCAGCTACGCAATGCCACAGACAAGTACATGCATGCAGCCAAGCTTCTTGAGGATTCAATGGCTGGTATGGGAACAAAGGATCATCTCCTGGTTTCAAGAACAATCCGCTACCATTGGGATCGAAACACGCTCAACAACGTCAAGGGTGCATACCAACAAAGATACGGTAAGAGTCTCGGCAAACGGATTTACGGCGAGACATCGGGTGACTATCGAAAAACACTGCTCGCAGCAATTGGTGAGCCTTATTAAGAGGTGGAGTAGACGAAAAGACAAATGAGAGGGCAGATTTCGCGATTAGAAGGATATGATATGGATTCGAGTCGGGCTTCACAGCCTCTCACGGCCGATGCTCAATGTAATGAGGGGCGTTTGCTATGACGATGCGTTGTCTTGAAATTGTATGGCTACAGGACCTGTAGAGAATGAGATTAAGATACCAGGTATGAATTAAGACTTATATTCACTGTTAATGCGTTTAGAAAGTAAATCATATAACCTTAGGTGTCAATATTAAAGCATATTTCTAATTAATACGATACTAGTAATATATAAGCTATATAAAAGTACTTACAACTTATAAGTTATAATTAATAAGCTTTTATAAGATTTATTATTAATTTCATTTTAATATATACTTAAGTACTTATGCATAAACTGTCACGTGACCCTTCTCCACTTTGAGAAGCTATTTCTGAATCACGCTAGCGCTATTAACGCACTAAGTAACTTTTATAAGGCTAAAGGCTCCCCTTTAAGCAATAACCCTCCCTGACTTTTTCCACACCCTTGGCGCATACGGAACCCCTGCTAACTTTTATACCCCTTAGCGCGCAAGCAAGTGCGAACGCGTCTTGAAGGCATTTGGCATTTGGGCACAGAAGAAGGCACGACGATATTCATCCGTTGGTGAAGGCTCACAGTCAGTCAGTCCTGTTCGCTGTTTGCTCTCTTGCTTTCATCATACTCTTTACTCTGTTTCTTGTTTTCAACCTCATTCATTATAAGGCCATATTTCGATGATAACCGAGTAGTCCCCAGCAACTCTAGACACGCTCCTCTCAAGTTTCTGGGGTTCTGAGATAGCCGCTGAGAGCGAGGAGAAGCGCGACACTTCTCTCTGGAGTGTTCGGGGACGGAGGATGGCAACACAAGCTACATCTCCGCCAGCTGGCGTACCATTGCAGAATGGTATAAATGGTGCAAAGAGTCCTAATCCAACCATCGCTCATCCATACGGCCAAACACCAGTACCTCTGCCAAGCTATGCTCCTACTTCGCGATCTGCGTCAGTCGCCTCTGCTCCTACTGCGCAAAAGCCAAGCGCTTCGCCCGCACCAACAACTCCTTTTCTCCCACCAGGACATCACCAATCACCGTCAATGCAGACAAATCATTTGAACCAGACAATTTCACAGCACTCTCAGACGCAGATACTCAACACCCCATCGCAGGCACAAGGTCTGATGTCGCCAACACTGAATCAGCTGCCGCACTCCGTCGAGTCATCAAATCACTACCATGAGTTGACTGCTTTAGTCGAGAAAACGCCGGCTGATGTTGTTCGCCAAGTTGTTCGAGACAAATGGGAAAAGTCTCTTGCGGGCTCACAGTATCACATTGCTTTCTTGGTAAGCTTCTCATGCGCTGCATTTTGGTTCAAGTCTACCTCGAGTATCCTCCTCTGAGCGCGTTGGTTTCATCACAGCTCCCACACTTTCTACTCTTGCCTCCTATGACTTGCTAACTCTTTCATAGTTGAATGCGACTATGCACCAAGCATCTCCCGAGACTATTGCTAAGGCCGTCCAGGAGTTCGGTGCAAGCCTGGTACAAAAGTCTAAGCGCGAGTTATTGGGTCACCTTAACGCCAGTGACTTTGACGAGCTCGCCGACTTGATACTCCCTCGGGTTAGTACACAGTTTCTGGACAGGGCCCTTGCAAGGCGTCTGGAGACGATACCAGCCCGTCAGCTTGTCAACGCGTTGGCGCGTGCAGAACGGCTGGGCTACGATGTCAAGGATATCGTCCAAGAGCATAATGAGCATGTCATCCCTTCTTTGCACTCATTGCCAGTGCAGCCACAGCCGCAGCCCATGGGGCCTCTAACAAACACGGCACTCAGTGCGAGGCAATACCATACTCCCCCCGTCGCTTCGCAAACTCCCCCACCGCCAATGCAATATGTTAATGAACCAGCGACTCAAACTCCGACGAAGTACCCGTCAGAACTTCCAGGGCTCGTTTGGTGCAAGTGTGGTTGGCCATGTGCTTCGCAAGCGGCACTCGACTATGTAAGTTGCCAATTCAAACAAGTCAATTGGATTTGTCTAACAGCGAATAGCACCACAAGAAGAGCGCCTGCAACAGAATCCAAGCAAATGACGTAGCTGGGAGAGATATCTGCCTCTTTTGCGGTTGTAGATTCGGCAGTGGCGGTGGTTTACTCTACCATGAGAAGTCTAACGTCTGCGGAAACCACGCTCGCGTCACTGCTGAAATGATGCGGAAGTTGCTTCTCGCTCTTCGTCCTGAAAATCCGCAGCCTCCTGTGCCAGACCCCTCTTCTCAAATTACACGCATCCCTTATACCCAAGTGCCTTTACCGCCGATTCAGCCCCAAACGACCTGGGCCCACTCAACGACATCATATCCTACTGGGACTCCAAGTCGTGATTCGGGTCGCGATCCATACGCCCACCTCAGCCCGGAAGATTTGAAGAGGTTCAATGATATCATGAAGAGTGCAGAAGCAAAATACGGAGGTCTAATGAAAGATGCTATGCTTCTCAACGAGCCAGAGAGATCGAAACGATTGGCAAGTCTAAAAAACTCATATAACACAAAGCAAAGCACCACTCGCAAGAAATTTGGTATCCGACTTCGCGAGAGGCGAACCCGAGGAGAGATTGAAGCTGAGGAGGCTCGACTGATGGGGACTCCAAGTGGCACCGCGACTCCACCGGCTACAGCCGCATCTGACGGCGATATTCGCTCAAGGAAGAGGGCACGAACCGACGATGACCAGTCGCCGTCATCGAGCGCGACTAACAGGACTCAAGAAAGTCCCCAGAAGAGGGTCCCTGTGTCAGAGATGGGCGGACTCTCGGGGTCATCAGCAACCGCAGAACTCACAGATCCTACGGCATACTTGAACCCAACTCAGCCCCGTTATGCGCCACCAAAAACAGCCGCCCTCGGTGGCCAGTCTAGGGTGTTTGGTTCTGCAGAGCGAACCAGACCGTCGATGGGAGGGACCCTCGATGATCCCATGTCAATTCACGACGACGACAATTCGGAAACAGACAGTGATAGCGATAGTGATAGCGAGGGCGACATTCCGGCTACTATCTCCTAATTCTACAGATTCGCAAGCATGAGCATGGCGTTTGGGATTACACGATTTGATACCCCTGACATCAGGAAGTGAACGCACAGGAAAGTCAGGATTGGGGTGCATTGGGGACGAAGTTAAATAAGCATTTTGACGGACGCCGGTTAACATACACAATGACGCTGCGCCAAATCAACAAAAAGACCAATGGGATTCTTGGGAGGGCAAGACATCAGAGTTGCTTCCAGGACAACTGGGTCTTGGCTGCGAGCACTGGTTTCTAAATGATCTTTGGTCGAAACAGGCGTCGAAAAAATATCCTTAAGGGTATATATGAGCGTGTACATATTGCACTAGGGGATCTCGACGCGAAAACAGTTTTGGAGTCAATAGGTATCATCAAAACGCTGTACATTATTAATACAATATGTTAAGATGCTAACGACTCCTGGTGAAGTCTGTAAACAATGTTGCAATGGTGTGCACAATCACAAAGGCAACGTCTTTGAATATTCAAGTATTTTACTTGAAGCCGTAGATGTTTCGCAGCAAGGAGAATTAACATCACCAACAAGAATTGATGGGCCCACGCATGACTCGGTATAACTTCAAGTCACGAGAGGTTTTAGTTCTTGAGAAGGCCGCGACAGGCGATGGGCGTTTCAGCCAAGAGGAAAGGATAGGGGCGATAGAATCGAGACCGTGCCTTGGACAGCCGCCCAGCTAACGTGGGCGGAAGGTTCCTCCCGTTTAAGGTCTGTTGTGAAAGTTCACAGACAAGGGCATGCTCAGTGGAGCGCCTGCGCAAACACTGAAGAGACAAAGCCTTGTTCGAAACCAAAGAAACGTCTCATTTAAAGAGTAACTTTGAGCTTATTCTGGTTAGCGGAGTAATTTTGCTCTGTTCTAAATCTGGTCATTATCACTTTCAATGGCGTTGTGTTACTTCGCGATAGCATTCATCCCTCGTCGGCTGTTATGCATCCATAGGTGCGTCTGAAGAACCTCGGTTTCATGTCATGGCAAAATAGACCCCTGATGCCCGATACGAGTTGACGCAGGAACAAAAGATTAACTTACCGAATGTCCACACAGAATCGTTGCAAGAAAAGAATGATGCGCGTGGTGAAGCTGAGCATCAATCTCCTCTGACATCCCTATCGCGATATTCAACTGGCTGGCCAGGCGCCAGCGCGTGGCCGAAGGCTACATGGTTCGACCTATGATAGCCTGAAGCGCTGTGCGGCGCAGATGCATCTGCATCTGCATTGCGCAGGTCAAGTGTGACGGACATGGAAGCTGATGCAAGGGTCCTCACGCTGACTGGACGGAATATCCGCACGAGGGGCCCGTTTTGGATCCGACCTTTTGAAACGCCCAAAGCCTCTGGATCAATAGGCTTCTCTGCTCGCTGTATCGCCACGAGGATGCCCAGAACGCTAGCTGCCTTCAAGGCTAGAACATGCCCAAAATGATCGCCTTGAAACCCACTAGCGACCGCCTTTGGTGCTGATGATGTACATGGATGGCGCTACGATTGGCCGATTATCGAAGCTCCTTGTCGTCCTGGCAAGGGGCTCAAGCGAGCTCTGTCTGAGGACTTCTTTTTCTCTCCCCAGATACTTGATAATCCTGCCATGAGCCACTCCTGGTGACGGCTCTTCTGTTTCGAATTCTCCTCTTGTTTTGTTTTGCTATCAACTGGCCGGCCCAGCACTTTCCTTCTACATACAGACTGATTTGGTTTTATATTTGTTTCTTACCCCCCTCAACACCCTATTCCTTCTGTTTCCTTTCGGGTCTCGTCCTTCACTGAAACTCACAAAAACACTCTTGCCAACTGCCCCAAGAGACATATACGACGATCATGGTTCCTCTGTTTAGCCCCTCTGGCTTTGGCCGTTTCAAGGATAGCCATAGCCGTTTGACCGCAAGCGCTTCACAAAAGTCAGTGCCTTCGCCAATGCCTTCGCCTTCGCAACCTTCGCCTGAACCAATGGCGACTGTACTTATTGGCCCCAAGCAACAGCGCTTCAAGGTCAACAAGCGACTGTTATGTGCAACTTCGCCCTTCTTTGCCGACCGTTTTGGTGATCCTTCGAGTTCCAAGTCAATCTCGTTATGGCTACCTCGCGAATCATCCTCCATGTTCGGTTTGTTTGTTGACTGGGTTCACCTCGGTCTTCGGTTTCGTCCACATCTTGATGAGATGATTTCTAATGCATACGATGCCGGCCTTGAAGCTTCTCAAAACATCCACTGGTCTCTCATCCGCTTGCACCTCTTTGCATCGCGTCTTGGACTCTATCGACTTCAGGACCTCGCCATGGACTCCATCCAGGACCTCTACCTTCGCTGCGATTGGGACGTTCCCTCTGGTCTCATCACTTTCCTCTACACAGAATGCGAGGATCTCGCTGCTATTCGACTTCGAAGATGGGCTGTCGCCATGGTCGCCTTCTCCTTTACCGGCGGGCCCCGTCTCACCTTCCACCCTCAGCAATCTGCTACTTCGGAACCCACCCGCTTCAGTGATCTACTAGAAGAGCTACCGGAATTTGCAAGTGACTATGACATACATATGGAAAAGATGCGGCTCTCAGGTCTCGATATTCGCTTCAAGAACCCACAGCTGCGCATTCCAGCCAACCGCCTCCGCAATGATGAGCGCGCATTTGGGTTCCGCCAATGTTCCTTCCACTCACATCGCTCAAGCGTTGGCGAGCGACGATGCCCTCACGAATCAGGCTCAACAAAGCACCGCCGTGTTTACCAATCATCGGTGAAGGAATCAGGGCCAGAATCCACAGGTTTAAGCGCCCCAACCCGGAGATATCGCGATGTCGTGCCCAGACCACTCTTTTCCGGACCGATGGACTCAGATATCGGCGAGGACGACGATGACGAAATTTCAAAAGCGATAAAGCATGTAAGATCTATTTCAAGTACACTCAAGACTTGAAGGGAGACAATCATTGCTGAAGAGAGTGGCTGATGAGAATGAATCCGGCAAAGGGGGCTGGGCGTGAAACTCTGATCTGCTTGATCGCCATCATGACCCCATTATTCTCTAACAGCCCCAAGACAACTCAAAGAACTTGACTTGAAATTTGATCATCAAGATCAAACAGGACGACAACTGGACCAGCCCACTGTTCTCGAGCACGTCCAGAAAGTTACATCGCTGTCTCTCGGTTAGGAAGCTCGGGGGGCTTTAAATATATCGCCTCATGTCTGTGACATGGGCCTTCGTCATACGACGATACTGGTTGTTCCACCAGTTTTTTTCCTTTCTTTTTATACGCAACCTAGTCAGGTCTCCCGGAGAGAGATGGCCAATGTTCAAGCGAGTCTTAAGAACAAGATAATATTCTTTGTAAAATAGTATTTAATGTACATAACGACAAGACATCCTATCATAACAAGAGAATAATCAAACATCATGGACTCTTCAACTATCTCATTCCATTTTACTCAAGAATAACATCTATGTTCACTTTCGATGGACGGTTTATTTATGAAAAGTATTTTTTTGACATCATTCAGATCGTTGCTCGTTCTATGGATATTAAGTTCCATTGCATCATTCGTCCAAGCTTGATACATCTTCATGGTTCGGGCCCACAAGGAGCTCAATCGTGTCTCTCGTCACAACATCCCCATGTATGGGGATGTCTGTTTTACTCAATTGCAAGGGTAAAAAATAACACGGCAAACGTAAGGCTCTGTTTGGCCTGCATGCTGTTCGTTCCATCATATCATCATGAATTGTTGAAAAATCATCCCGTCTGGGGAAGAATTGAAAGGAAATTGACAAGTTATGTCGTTGGGCGATTGTCGAGGTAGAAAACGCGGTGAGCAGAGACGCTCGCCTGCGTGCTGGGGAATCCCAGCGTATAGAAAGGTGAAGCAAAGTGTAGAAGCAGAAGGAAACCAGAAAATGAAGGCTATCGTCAGATAGACTGCTGCTGTCTAGATGCATATGCAAATGTTGAGTCGCGGTCCCAATAAGATTTGATCGATGGGTGTGTCGGTATCCATGAACTCATAAAACTCGTCAGGTGACATAACCTTGTGGAATGTATAAAGAAAAGTAAAAAACACAAATGAGGTGTGTTAAAGCGGTGACTCGGAACGTCGACGTGGTTGGTCTCGACGACGGAAATCCTTAAGTCTTTCGTCGATATAAGCCAGTCGGCTTGCTAGCGATGATCGGGTAACTCCGTGGTTGCCTTCGCTAGATTGTTGGACGGTTGCGAACGGCCGGCGAAGAGCGTCGGGGTCGTTGGCAGCTCCATGTGACAGGCGACTCGGGAAGGAAAAACTAGGTCCTCCAAGAGCGAAAGGTGAGCCTAGTCGAGGGGGCACGTCTCCAACTGGAGGGGCCAGCGTTTGCTGCTGAGCAGCTAGTGGCTGCGACGCTTCGAACAGCTGTTGGAGATTCTTGCGTGGGACAACGACGTCAGAGTCTATCTCAGGTTCAGTCTGAGGCGTTGCGAACTGGTCATTGGTGGCTGATAAGTCAACGATTGAGGCTGGGTCAACCCAAAGATCGGAGCCGAGACTGGGTCGCTTAATCTTCCGAGCCTCTAGATGGTTGGACCGGCGCTTGTGGGTTGATCGGCTACGTGTAAGTCGGACCGGAGACATGAGAGCGCGGCGCGGGCCGCCTGTGTGAGTTTGTCTCTGCAACTTAGAATCCACAACGAAGTTTGGGGGTAGCGAGCTTGATGAGCTAGGGCCGTAGCTTCGCGCTCCAAAGGGAGACGCAAGTTGTGCGTACTTTATTTCAACTGGCTCCAACGTCTCGTGACTTGGTGGAGGCAGCGAAAGTTCGTCGATTTGAGGCTCAGGTTGCGAGTTTGTCAATTGAGCCAGAGGACCTTGCAGTTGCATAGAATCAGAAGTGCTAACCGCCAATGACATTGCCATATCTTGACCTGAGAAGACCGAGGGGGAGCGACCGAGGACTGTTCGACGATTCCAATAACGAACTGCGGATTTGTTATATGGAGAAGGGCTGGGAGCTAAATATTGTGAACCCCGCGCCTTAGACCTGGCGTTCATCTTGCAAAGCTCCCGCAGTTGGGCGCGAGTGGCGGCACAAGTATGAGGCCACTGAACATATGGACCAGCAGCTCCTTGGGTGGGTGTGATGCTCCCACTACTGAGATCAATATTTGTCTGAGCCTTTGACCCCTTCCAACTCCTCCTCGCCTCTCGAGCCACACGCAAGCAGACTCCATGAGGAGGGATGCCGCTCTTCCCGATACGGAAGGGCGTGACCTTGGGGTCTTGCAAGTACATCATATAGGTAGACCATAGGTGCTGGTTCATAGGTTTCGTCCAGGGTGCTCTTCGAATGGTATCTCGAGGAACCTCCGTTTTGGCAGGCTTGAGAGTTTTACTATTGTCGTCGGCATTTGATAGCTCGTTCGCAAGATCTGCGTGCTCATTATCTGGGCTGATGCATTGACTCAAATCCTCAGAGCTGATAGAAAAGTAGCTCAGCAGGGAAGCACTCGTGTGTGTCGAATGAGCTGTTGAAGGCCGGCTGGACTCATAATCGGGACTAGATTCGAGGCTACTGAGAGTAGAATCGATAGACCAGTTTGGATATTGTTTGGTGGTCAAAGTTGGTAATAGGTCTGGAGCAGGAGTTTTTGGAGGCGAAAACATGCGCTCTGAACCACCGTGGGGTGTGAAGGGTATATCGTCCATGTTGTTGAAATGTGACATCGGGTATAGTGTCTCTGCCATCTCCTCGTCAAGTACACGAGGCTCCTCGATACTGGGAATAGGGATGTCTGCAGCGGCAACCGACGCGAGAAACTGCTCTGTGGGCGCATTGAGATTTGATGCATTCCTCCTCTTGACTCGGAATCGGGGTCGCGGTGGGGATGGTGGTTGAGTCTCGCCATTTAGAGCAGGCTCGGGCGTTCTAGGGAGGTCCTCACGGCGCGCGCTTCTCGGCCAAGGGGCCGCGAGAGATTGGAAGTGCGACATGGCGGGTCACAAGGAACGCGAATGCGCTCCAGAGTCGCGTGAACTCCGAAATGGTGGTATAAGTATTCGAGGGAGAGCAGCGATAAGCGGGGCGGTTTGAGCACAGAACGAGTCGAGGCGAATGTTTCGGGATGCGACAGCGCTGTCTTAGATCTCGTCAAGATGTCGCACAGCAACTTAAACGATACTGAGCTCGAAGTTATCGACAAGGTTTTCGGCGATGTGCTTTCAGGCGCCGGATGAGTTGCAAAGTATAAGATCGAGCCGAAGGTTTAAGCGCGACAGGATGCGACAGACTGTTTATTTGTGCGCGCGCCAATACTTTCCAGGGAAATAGACGAAAATACAAGAAAGCGTGTTGATTGTTCGATCGCCTGTCGTCGAGTTTGGTATGTGATAGACGGTAATAAAACAAGGAAAGTATGTCTTAGACGAGAGTCGTTGTCGTGGTTATGGTTATGGTCGTCATAAATGGCGATGGCCGTTTATTGTTGTCACCGCCGCGGGATTTGTGGAGGTCTCCCAGTCGCAAATAAACAACAGCGGGTGGCGGTCTCGATTCGACGCGCCGTCGCAGTTGAGAGTCCCGTAGACAAGCAGTGAACAAGCTGAGCTCGCGCGACCGACAGTCGGCGCAATGTACGGGAGCACGAGAGATGAAGGGAGTATTGGGCGCAAACGAGAGACTGGAATGGACAAACGGTGAGTGGTAAGAGAAAGGAAAGTAGACCGGGACTATGTGGGTGTGGTGGGCGGGAGTGTGCGCTATGTATGAATGGGCAAGCCAAATGCTCAACGAGAGGTGAGTGGAGAGCAGGGCCAGCTGGGAATGGACGGGCGGCTCGTTAAGCACAGTACGTCTTCTCTTCCTTGTCTCTCGACCCAACCAGGGTAGAGAAAAACTTGAAGCACACTGGTCAAGGCCGTGGATGTGGGCCAACAGCGAACAGCGGGTGGCGCGAACGCTGCAGTCCAAGTAGGTACAGTACCTGGCAGACGAGCTGTGCAATGCTTGTTGGCTAGATACTGGCTCGATACTGGCTCGCAAGATGCCGGTCGGTCCCAACGGTGCTGTGCTTCTCCAACACTATGTTCCAACCGAGGACAAAGCAGAGGACAGGACTCGTTCCACGACAGGACGCGATATTGATGTTATATTATATGATGCGCTGCGCTGCACTTTGCAATCGTGTCTTGACCTCTACGGTATCTGGCGATCCAGTGGTGAGTCCCTTGACGGTGCTGGTGAGGACGGCAGTAAGCCCCCAACAGGGTGCGTGCTAGCGCAAAGCCCTTGTCAAGTCAACCCCGGCAGCGTCCGTGACAAGGAAGAGCTCAAGCAGCGGTCAGTGGGTGATGAGGGCACGTTGTGCCAGCTTGAGCGATAATCCTGGATGGTAGAGCAACCGTGATAGGTCTGATGAAGAGGTTGATGATCCTCAAGGTGATCGAGACCATGTGATGGAATGGAGACAAAAGGACAACCGGCTGAGACCCTGCGTGCCTTGTTGCGTTGCAAGCGTACAGTACCGTACAGTATCCAGGAAGATCTCGGTATGGTTGACCTAGATTTGTGTTTATTTGTTTGATGTGAGCTTTGCTTCCCCGTTATCGTTGCAGACGTGATGATGAGTCCAGGATTGGCAGTTTTTGCATTCAAGTACCATTCGCCGGTCTTTGTTCCTCTGATCTGGTTCTGGAGCGGTCAACTCTCGGCGGCCGGCCGTAGATGTTGACTTAGACTCGCTCGGGACCTCGCAGAAAGATGCGGCGTGTGGCCAGTCTCTTGGGCTTGGGAGCGGCTGCAGAAAGGCAAATGTGAATAATGGCCGAGAATCTGTCACACATGGAGCAATCAAAAATATATTTTTTGTTATGAAAGAGTTCAAGTTTCTCGAATATGAGCGTTTGCTGGATGACATTCTGGAAACAACACTGAAGACGCGATCAAACTCATGTTTGTTTGTTATGATCTGAGAGCCTCAGATGAGACAACAGTAACCCAGGTTTTCCACGCTCCCCGTTGGCTAGCCTTGAAGTCGGGTACCACTTATTGGTGACCTGACGCACCCAGCATGTGCGTCTGCAGAGAGTGAGTTGACGATAGAATTGCTTGGTTGAGAGCAAAGGGCGAGGGGAAATGCGTCGAGAGCTAGCAAATAGCAGTATAATGTGACGATCCAACGAGAAGGCAGATTGCCTCTATCATTTAGACAAGTCTCAGCGCCAGCATGTTTCGACCCCTGCCCAAGCATCCAGACTGAGCTGCACGTCGGCGGCAAGAATGAAAGACAGCGCAGGGAATGGACGCACAGCACAGCTATCGCCCGCACTTACATGCATGCATTTGCTCTAAATGAATGACCTTTTGGGGGTTGATGGGGTTGTTTGTTTGAATAGGTTTAAATGTGTGGATGTCGTCTGAGGGTGAGGGGTTGATAAACGAAACAGAGAAATGGGTCAATATGACGCTGCATGTAAACAACTCAACCCCTGGGAAATACCTTGGGGATCTTCCTTTCTATCGATCCTGCCTTCCATTGATGAGGAAGCATAGACTTCCTCACCTCCAACTAACCTGGCGCACTTAACTCACTCAAGAAAGCAACTACTACGTAGAAATAGTACACCATAAAAACTTGGAACAAAGGTGGCTGGGGATTAACGCGAAAACCGAACGCGTCGACGCGTCACTCCCGACGAGCCAATGAGAAAGCACCTTGGTTTGTCAGTCACACGAACTAGATCATTGCTGTAGCTTGAGCAGACCAACTACGAATCTGAGCATTCAATTGATCTTGATGCAATTCTTCCACAGCTACATGATGAGCTTCTTTACCATCCTTGTCCATAAAGCACAGTAAGTATCTCATTTCCATTTGGACAAGCTTGCAGCACACCTTTCGGTACTGCTCCATTCTTGTTATCACAAGAATTCTATCCAGAATCAAAGGATGTCTAGGGTGGCAGTGGCGGTGGTGCCCTACCCCTCTCAGCTAGGTGGTAGCTTCACACAGGCCGGGATTGGCTCTTAAGCGACCGTCAAATCAGAGGCCAAGGTGTGATAGAGAACGGCCTAGAAGGGAAGTGGATGGAACACTGTGTTTTTCTACGATGTGCTGATCTCATCTGAGCTGAGACTGGTAGGTAGTAGCCACTAACAAAAACACGAGTGCAGCACCACGCTAGACTCATCACAACCTGGATGATAAAGCCTGGATCATTAGGAGGGCGCTATAGTCCAAGTTTACAGCTAACACTGATGTCATGTGTATCTAGAGATGGACATCCAATCAACAAGACCAACATAACAGTGACGGACAGAAAAACACACAAAAATGAAGTATGGCATGACGTACTATTGTATAGATCTAATCGAGCTGGTGAGTTCATATCTTGAGACATAAAGTTTGCAAATGCCATTGCGGGTATCACCATCTTAGCTGGTATAAGTTGAATCATACGACGGCGTGGGAGTTGATAAAGATATAGTGCAGGCAGGAGGGAGATAAAACCCTGTCTTGCTGCAGCTTTTTGTCCAGAAAGTTGACTGATTGTGACCATTGTAAAGGAGTCACTCGAGTCCTACATAAAACAGACGTGTCTCATATTAAGATATTGGACTGCTGTTCAATTGCAGATACTCCCCATTAACGTACCTGAATCGTATGTATGCAAAAAAAGAAAATGAGAGCAGTAACTCTGACGATGTGCTCAAAGGTGGACTCGAGGGTGCCATGGTTCGTATGCCAGACGGATATGTTCGAGGTTATTGAACCGTTGCAAACAAATTCTTCAATACGAGAATGAGGAACCTCTCGTACACCCTCAAAAGTCAGTACCAGTTGGGAAGAGGGCCATGGGCCGCCAGTTCTATTACAACTTTTCTCTTGATAAGGGTGGTAGCGTGACACCTATTTACGCAGTCTACTCATATTGGAGAGAACCTTGGTTGTGATCAAAATCACTCACGATAATGGATAGGAATACTCACCAATACCGGGCCAGGATTGCAAGAAGTCTGGGTCATGTATCTAACGCTCTTGCACCCTTGAGGTGTCTCGTAAGGTGATATTCCCTGTAAATGTTCTTTCGACAACAACCAACAGTGGAGGGATGGCGAGTCTATCCACCGGGTTGACGATTGATACTCAGGTTCATCTGGAAATGGCCATTGACTCTATTCGACGCACTATCTTCTATCCAAATGTTCGAGATTATAAGACGTGTGGACCGATCTTCAGTAAGGAACTGAGTCCACCATCAAGGCCGAGGTCAGTCTAGGCATCGACACATAATAGCCCTGCCACTATTTGAAAGCCACAATTAAATGAATATTCGAATCCTATAGTCGTGTAACGTGCACCTAGACCTCATGTCAACGTTGGCCCAGAAGGCAAAGATGTAGAGTATATGTTTTATTACATAAACATACCAGAGACGGAGCAACGAGCGAAGGGTGCAAATGTGGCTGGAAGATATCGTACATTGGGTTCAAAGGGGGTTTCTCACTAATCCTTCTGGCAATCGCGGCCCTCGACGATGTGGTGCATCGCTATGTAGGACAAGATGTTCTTACACAAGCCCCCGAGAATACGACAGCATGCTAAATACTTAAGAGCAACATAAAGCCCATGACAAAGATGATGAATACCGAGAAGCGGTCCGCAGACATATGAGTCGCCACTTCAAACCCATAAGCCCATACGTAGGGGCAGCCTTCAACGCAGAAAGCAAGTCGAGGAGGCGGATTCTGACATCACCATCAGCAAGACTGATATAACTTGAGCATTTAAACTCTGCCGTTGCTCGACTGAATGATAGCTTATAGCTGTATCAATCGAAGGTTTGTTTGGAGTAGGTACGGTGATAGGGTTTGGGCAGAAACCAGACGGCGCATTTTCCCTTAAAGAATATTTCTAAAAAGAATTAAGAAGGAAGAAAAGTTGCAAGAAACAGAACTAGTCGAGCTCTTTGCATTGGAATCTAGGCCCTTGCTGATGTTGGACGGTCCAATTGCGCAACTGAGTTGATGGGATAGATATCAAATGGCGCTCATCCAGGGACGGCCAATCACTTCACATACGCATTCCTGAGTACAGGCCAAGGAGAGAGCACAGGGGGGTGGCTGCTGTTTCTCACGTATTCAGTCATAATGAAATGAGGATAGAAACTCGTGAATGCTCGGGGACAATGAACTGTGACACTGATGATAAAATAAAAGAGAGCTGAGTATGCGATAAAGAAGCTACAAGAACGCCTGGATATAGAGACCAATCTGAAGAATAGACTGGTATTAAGAGCCATATATATACAAGATGTCATGGTATAAGCAATTTCTCCATAGTCTGGGTTATTGGTTATTCTATGAGTATATATATATATATGAGATAGGGATGCGCTTGTTAGTATATCTGCTATTAGTCTAAGAACCGAGTAAATAATGCAAAAATAAGAGATCTTAATTTAGGCATATGATATTGTTATATTTGATATCTTCTTCAGTTATTAATTAAACTTTCACTAGAAACTCTTATATCTGTCGTAAGAAGCGTATGGATAGCATGCTTTCACGTTGTGTAGTGAAATTAGCTAGGAAATTTAAAATATTATATCAGACAACGTGGGTCCCAATGCCTACCTTATGATACTCAAGCGATACAATTAGTAAATTCTTAATAAATCAAGAACGATAAAGATAACAGTATGAGAGATCAATTTGTTGTCTCCTGAGTTGCTTGGCCAAGAGCAGAGTCGCTCCGGATAATACGGCGCCGTCACGGGGCTTGGGACGGCAACCCCGCAATCATGACGCCCCACATCCCCCGCCAACCTCAAACTTGCACTGAACCAACTTTTGCTCTCTGTTGGAGTCATCTCAGCCTCGCCGACACTAGCACCAACAGCAAGCGCATGCTGTATCCTTTGCGCCCAAGATTATTCATAGACTATAGAAACGTCTCTCTTTGTAAATTTCGTCTCGATTGGATTAAACCGCCGTCAAGGTTAATCATGACCTCACATGCTCCCGATATCGTCACTCTCGACAATCTGTCGCAGACTATTACACCCTGGAACCCTCATGGGGAAAGTCAACTATATGCCATAGTTGATATGGGAAGGTATAAATAGTTCTAAATAAGTCAAACAATCCTCATATCTGACATATAACCCAGTAATGGCATTCGATTCTCCATCACATCACTAGCGCCTCCATTTACACGCCTCCTTCGTCCCATCTACTCAACTCGCGCTGCCATCTCACTATTTGATGCACTCAAGAACACACCCCAAGGTCTAGTATTTCTTCCGGAAACCATTGCTGCCGTATCCAAGACACTGGAGCGATTTCATCAACTTGCTGTGCGTCATGGAGTGCCAGCGAGGCACATCACCATCCTCGCTACTGAGGCCATGCGCCGGGCTGACAATGCTTCTGAAATGCTCGAGGCAATTTCATCCGTGACTAATGGCCTCAAAGTGAGCATACTTGAGCCCGCTGTCGAGACCCTCTTTGGCGCTGTCATGGGCTCTCGCAGTGGTCTCGTTGGCGTTGAAGGTGGCGCTCTGTTCCTGGACCTCGGGGGCGGGAGCGTGCAGATTACGTGGGTGGACACCAGCAAGCCAAACTACGAGGTAGATGCTGCCAGAGCTGGAGTGAGTCTGCCCTTTGGAGCTGCGAGATTAATTCGCGTGCTGCAAGAGCAGCCAGCCGATGTTCAGGTTTCTGAGATATCAAAGCTTCAAATCGGCATGCAACAGGCATACGCCAACCTCTGCTCCAAGTTCCCTGCACTTAACGCTCTGAAGGCCTCTCATGACAAGGCTTCTCGCGTGAACGTCTTCATGTGTGGAGGTGGCTTTCGCGGTTATGGCAGCATGCTCATGCAACAAGATCCTGTGAGCCCGTACCCTATTCCCTATACGAACGGTTATACGGCTCCAGGCACACTCTTTTCCAAGGTTGAGCACATGCGTCGCGTCAACGAGGAACACGACAGTAGAATTTTCGGACTTTCAAAGCGTCGTCGTAAGCAATTCCCTGCAATCGCTACCGTCATTGATGCATTGCTCGCTACGGTACCCAATATCGGCAACGTGACATTCTGTGGCGGTTCGAATCGTCAAGGTGCACTTATGATGAAACTTCCGTTCGAAATCCGCGAGTGTAACCCCCTCAATATTCTTGCGGGAGTCACACCAGATGAGAAACCCGTATTTGATGCTGTGTTGAACACGTTGAGAAGTGCTCTTCCTGCAGAGGTCGACTTCTCATCCTTGCCCAACGTTTTGACTCCTGGGCTGGACTCTCTTTTTGTGCGGGATATTTGGACTCGTCAAGGCCACGATTCGGATAACAACTCCTCGTTTGTACTGCATCATGCAATTACCCGAGATGCGGAGGTCCCTGGACTCTCACACACCGGAAGGGCCCTACTGGCGCTTTCAGCCTCAGCTCGATGGGGAGGCAATCTAGGGCCCTTGGACTCACAGCTCCAGCAGAGTCTATCGGCACTTCTTGAGAGCCAGCATCTTGACGCACCATTTTGGGCTTCGTATATTGGTGCTGTAGCCGGGCTTATAGCCATGGTTGTACCAATCATCCCGACGACTGCAGAGGAGGTGAAAAATGCTATCAGGTTAGTGTCATTCTTCAGAAGTATGCCAAGTCTTGTTGTCTAACGAACACAGCATAAAAACACATCTCAAGAAGGCAGAGGATAAGAAAGAGAGAATTGGATTAACGATCAGAGTCGCCTCCGCCAACATAGCGGGTGTCAGTCTAGAAGATCTCGCCGACAGAGTTGAGAAAACCGCCAAAAAGAATGGAGGAAAGAAGCCAAGGTACAAGATAACTGCCCAAGTGAGCCTATTGCCGTGACACATTTCGTCATCAACATAAACCAACCCAATACACACATTTTTTTCCTTCGATCCACATTGCTTAAGCCCATATGCAGCGAACGTCGTTGTATTCGTTATAAATCATAAAAGAACCATCATATCATGCTTTTTTGTTCGTATTTTGTCTTTTCCATATGTTTTTTTTTCTTCCTGTTTTGCCTTTTCGTTCGCAAATCATTTTCTGTAATGACTGGACATGATTTGTGCAATTATTACGCAATATCACGCGAGCTTCCCTTACTCTTGGTACTGCTTCGAGGGCGTCTCTTGGATGAGATCTTCTTAAGCTCATGGTTAACAACCAAGGCGCTTAGTCGCTCGTCAACCTTGTACGACGAACGCTGAATTCTCTCGTCTGGTGAAAGGTCAGTGGCACGTCCCACATAATAAGGTGTTGTGGCCTTACAGAATTCCTTTCTGGTGTCCATCATATCCTGCGAGAACTGGCGAATTTTGCTGCTATGACGAGCATGAGAAGGATAATCCTTGAGCCAGTCCATTGACATCTCCATTCTCTTGGGAGTCTTGAATTGGCAGTGATAGAATATGGCTATCAAAGGGAAGAATCCATTGTAAAGGTTCTCAAAAGCCCCAACTGCATATTATCAGCAATGGTGTTTGACCTTCGAGTCAAATTGTCTTACCAATATTCTGATCTCTCTGGGCACTTGGGTTTCGGGCGAAATATCCATCATGTGCAAGGACCAAGTCTCTGTACATGATCATGAGTTGCCACAAGCTGGCCCAGACTGCCATCTTCTCTTGAGCTTTGAGAGACTCTTGTTGCGCCAAGCAGTCTTCGAGGAGCTTGAGGATATCGTGCTCATGGGACACAAGTGCGTTCCATGCAATGCGTCTAAGCTCGGCTTGAACAGTAAAGGGGACCTGAGAGAGCTTGTTGGACGAGCTGCAGCAGGTGAAGCGCGGAGCTTTCCAGATTCTGAAGAAACAATTCATTGTGTGGACCTTGGAGACGAGGTTGTGCTACAATAACAGTTAGTTCTACTGGATACTGCAAGGATCATTAAGAGTGGGTTGCGGGTGTTACCTTTGGAAGTCCCTGGCCGTCCTCATAATATGAGAGCAAAAAGTTTTGCACCATATGCTCAAATCTAGGGCTGCGTTCTCTTCGGATCTGTGCCTCAACCCAGCGCTGGAGTTCACCATAAGTGGGAAATCTATCCCGCTCAAAAGCAGCGTTTCTTGGATTCTCATCGGTTCCATTCTGAGAATGGTATGCTTGGACGGATGCCCGAAGAAAAGGGGATTCGGCATCGCGGGTGAAGAAGATGACAATATCTCTGGGTTTGGCAGTGGGAAAACGAGGCTCATGATCAACGACACGCCTCTCTTCCGCAGGGTCGGGTGACCAGACGTCTAAATATGATATGTCTCAGTGTACATGTCTCACTTTGAGGCTGGGGGCCAGGGGGGTTGTTCGACATACCGACGATGTGACGAATCACAGGCGGAGCAACCGCAGGGGTCCTACGGGTACAGACTAGGTGTGAGTGGTCTGGGAAGGCCTTACGGCAATAGGGACAGACGCCACAGTCTTGACACTGGGTAATGGCTCAGTTCAGTGTTTGTTTCAGAGGGGCAATGGCCTTGTATAGGCATTGTATTGGATTGGTTTTCTTACGCGGGTCTTGGAGATACGGCACGGAAGACAGGCTCCACTCTTGCGGACATCGGCTGTCTGGTCTGGATCAGAGAGCTGTCTTGACCTCTTCTCCACAGAACGCTGACGCTTGACACCAGAGGTTGAGTTTGAGGAGGGTGAGTATGAGTATGTCTTGGTGTGGCTTGAGCGGCGGGACGAGGACTCGTGTACCTGGATCTGATGTGGGTAGCCATACCCCCGGGGGGCGTGCTTGCTAGGTACGGCCTGGGGGTACGTCCACTTATCATCCTGGGCCTGAACCTCTTGGAGGCTGACTCGAGGACGTCGACGGACATCGTCTACGCCATCGAAGAAGACGGAGCCAGAGTGAGACGAAGGAGAGGTACTACCACCTCTAACGAGTTCTGGTGGGGTCTGACCCATGGACTCGGATGTGGTAATCCCTCCATCGTCCGGGCTCAGGCCAGGGGTCATCCTTAGGTATTCGGCCTCGCTCCTGTCAAGAGAAAGATGATCAAGAAAGGAAGGGATATCAGTGATGAGCGAGGGAAGGTCCCTGTAGCTTAGGCGAGGGGAGCTAGAAGCTCCTGGGTAGTCCTGAGACCTGGTCGAGTCACAGTAGAGATCCCAGTCAAAGACAGACCTGAAGAGCTCATCATAGTCCAGGCCCGGGGAGGTGGGAACACGCGGGTTTTCTTGACCTATCTGGGACAAGTCCCTGGACGCAAAGACAGCAGCGGAAGCACCTCCTTTATCCATATTGACGACCTGCCTGCCCTGCAATGTAATGTACTGTTTCCGGTGTAAGTCACGAGGAGCTATCTTGGTGGAACCTCGATGTCTGCGCTGGGCGAATTGAAGCACGCAGCAAATACTTGTCAGAAGACGATAAGGTGAAAAGTTCCAATGTGCCTGATGCTTGCGTGCAAGATTGAGCGATTCAGAGACACGTCCTGGCACCAGAGAGTTATAATTCGGCCTTCCTCGACACTCGTGGTGGACTTGTTCACTTACACCATCCTCCTCTTCACTTCTCGGTGTAAGACAGGGGTTGTATTGGCTAGATCTCACCAATTTCCACTGTAATTGACCAATAAAACAACCTTGTCTTACCGGTTTTCGACTCGAGTTCAGTCCGAGAGAACGCTACGAGTTGCTAGTAGACCTAGATCACGGGAATAGTGTATATGACTATTGTTGGGATGGAGGAGAGGCGAAACTTTATCGATGGTAAACTAGACGGCTAGAATTATCTAGTGTTGCTGGCGCAATTGCCTGTTGAGGCTATCAAACCTCCGTGATGTGCTGTTGGTGTTGATATCTGGATGACCAGACAAGACAATGATATTCAAGTAAGTGCTGCCAATTACTTCCTGGGATCAATTGCATTTGCGAAACTGTCAACTAAAATCGCAATTGTCAGTAATGGAACTAGTTCCCTGTGTTATCCTCCGCACGGGCGGTCTGTTAGCCTTGGTGTCGTGTAGTAGAGCAATGGAGTATATCTGTGATATATGGGTTATCAACTCAAACCGAAACACTCAATTGGTCAAACCAAAACTAGATACATATCAGAACCCATCATAAAAACCAGAGGAAACTTGCGATTGACTTCTTTTGGGCTTTTCTTCCCAGTGTCAGCACTTAGCTTGGTGGTGTTGCTAGTTCATTGACATCCCAAAGTGGGATCGTGCGGTTGTATAGACAGGGATGTCACCTCCAAGAACTCACGACTCCAAGAAAGACTCGCCGCGTCCATCATCAAAATATCATCATTTATAAGTTATTGAAATTCGATCTGTTCAATTTGAATGGTACTAAGTCGAGTGGTTCTAGACACAGTAAATGCAAATATGTTTGCATAATACTGACAATTTCTTAGCTATCGCAACTACACAGTTTTTATATCCGACAGCGGGCTCAAATTTAAGTCAATTTAATTTTAATCACTCATTGAAAACTTAGATGTCGTCTATCAAATTTAGGATTTAATTTCTCGTCCGGCCTTAATTTAAGCACATGGCGCCCCGTCCCGGCAATGCGGGGCCGACAACGGCTCCGGCCGTGGTCAAATTTAACCTCAGCGCCACCGGAGCTCCGCGTCGGTAAAATTGGAAGCGAGACCCACGCTGGTTGCCTTATCGAGCAAGACAAGATGAGTTGCATGAGACATCAGTCATGTGCCCAGATTTTCTCAAAGCAATGCAGCGCGACTGTCCTACTTGCTTTTTATTTCATTGAAGACGTGACTCGAAACAAAATTGACTGCTTATCTCTCTGGTCAAGACTTTGATGAGGCCTAGGATAACTTTAGTCTAAAGTTCTGTAAAATAAAATCATGAAGTGAGCCTAAAGTCATCATAAATTGCGGATATAAAATGCCTTTTTCGTATAGCTTTCCGAAACGCCAGTTGTAAGGTAAAACCCATTGATTCGCCACTCGATTCGCTCAACGATGCCTTCTGCTTCCTTCACCGATGGGAATGTTATGATGGGGTTTTCTGAGGCCGGCGAGAGAGTACTTAGGATTGGGAGACACATATCCTCCGGTGCTCCCAACCTTTGCCCACTCCATGATCCGTAGTCAGGCCAGCGCAATGACGAGCTCGAGAATAAAATTTCGAGCTCTATCCTTCTGGCAATCATTATAGTTATCCAAACCTCAGGTTTGGCGGCCTCATGGTCGGCCACATCGGGTTTAAGCTCCTAAAGAGGTTCTAGAGCGATCCTAAAGAGATCTAGATCTTAGGCCTTATCATTCTAAGTTAGTTATTTTCAGGCCAGCCTGAAGATATAACGTCATAAAAAGGCACTTGTCCCTATAATCCTCCGAATGGGACGAGCATACACGCCACGAATTCCCGTCACGGTCAGAGATCGCAGCAGCGGGCTTCTAAGGATCCCGTCATACCTGACAGGAAGATCAACGATGCGCATAATTGAAGCCGGGACGCTTACTCACACTCTCCCCCTCACCAAAGAGCAAATCGCTAAGGGCATTACTACTTAAAAGCCTGAACGACGCATCGGAGCGACGGTGTATTTCGGACTGACCCTCAACTACGGAACCGGATCTATCCTCTAGACTTGGAGGGGACTTCCTCTGCGGAGGAAGACCCACCGACTCTTTCAAAATCTTCGATGGGATGACAGATGTTGAGATGAGAGCGGAAGCGATTCGAAACTACGATGATCATGAGAGAGAACGCATCAATAAGTTCAATAAGGAGTACGTTAGAGCCAACGCACGTCGGGCCATCGAGAAATGGTCACGAGAAGGGTCTCGCCCGCAGCCTACCATCGACATAGAAGACAGTGCGCTTCACATCGCCAAAATGCACCTTGCATCTTCGTGCGTTCGTTCGGAAGCTGAGCGAATGGTTAAAGTTGCCGAGGAAATCGAGGCCAGTCCCCCAGCGAACGGTCCAGTCTTCCCATAAGAAGCGGACAAATTTTTGAGTGAAGGAACAATCGAAGTGGGGTGTGTGGGAAGGAGGATGAGGCTGTAACTAGTGTTTATCCCCCTCCCCAGGGATTTAGCCTCATAATAAATCCATTATCAACAACTTTTTGATATGCATCAACGTGAAGCCCCTTCTGTAGAAAGCTTGGTATCAAGTGACGGCCAATGGATCAAAAGCAAGGTAAGCGTGTCATTGAACCTAGTATCTTTTATCTCATTTCATTCTGAACCTGTCCCGATTTTGTTCCTAAGCCATCTCCTTTTTTTGGTCTAATAAATGGGCGTGGAAGTCGGGAAGGCTTAGGCCTTCCTGAACCTCTCGCACCAACCTATATGAACCATTGCTGCAGAGGAATGCTCGATCACCATGGATTCTGTTTGTTTTATGACAGGTTCCAAAGTAAAATATCAGCAACCCTTCGAAGAACACTGGAAGCCATCGTTTGACGTCCTGGTTTGAAGTCTAGCCGTTGAGCAGGGCAGGATTCCGCCACAACCCTACCACGCGGAAGTTGGATGCGACACTGTCCTTCCTGCAGAAGGTATAGTGCTTAGCATTTGCGGCAGTTGCGGTTGTGTTGTGGATCTCTTTCTCGTGTATTGCGATTCGTCGGAATCCTCCTTCCTTGCTGATTGTTGAATCTGTATAGACTTTTGTCGGCATTGAGTTGTCGCATGGTAACTGTTGATGTCTTCACCGGTGGTTTGCCATATATACTTAACTCTTTCGTGGCGATGTTATCGGCACCAACTTGAACCACCACGTTTAGGTAGACAAGACGCTGGGTACAGTTTCTTGGTACATTTGGTAGATCGAAGAGGTCCCCAGGGTTCAAATTGACTCTTACTAGTACCTCTTGCGTCTTCATTGGAGTATGGTGTATTGAGTTATCTGCAAGCTGGCCAGGGTCCAGGTTGGCCAGCATTACCCTGAATTCAACTGTCGTTTCTCGATCACTTCGACTAAGCTTTTGGCTAGGAGCTATAGTCTCCAGCGATGTCAGATTTCGCGCCCATCGCGATAGCTTATGAACCAGTGTCGTGATTCTTGACTGGTATCTGGCTGCATTCGGATGCCCATTCTCGACAGGGAATGCTTCATTCAAGCTTCTTGAGTCTGCCTCAATGGTCTTTCCAGTTCGTAAGGCAGGTGCATCTGACTCTTCGTCTTCATACAGTAGAATGGGTCGTCGTCGTCGTCGTCCCAATCGAATTCTTCGTCCGGGGTAAATGTATCCCCTCCCTCCTGATCTTCTGGGACTTCGTCTGTTTCAGGCAGGACCTCTTTACCAAGTCTGTCTCCGGACTCCTTTCCTTGCGGCGTTCTGGTTTTCGTATTGTTGGATAGCTCCGCAAGTGCCTTCCTCTTGGTGGATGGCATGCTTCCGGGTGTGGTATGAGAGTAATTAAAGAAGGCCTGCGAACTTACCACTGGTCAGAAATATATAAAGGAGAGTCTTATCTTGAAGGTAACCGTACTTGGTCTGCTGTTGTCGATAGATCGATGACTTAGGGAGTGTTTGACATGCTTCAAGTCGCATTGGTATGCCCCTTCAGTTGCCTCCACCCTTGCCTACAGCAAGTACACCCTATCAGGGAGCAAGAATGCTTCTGACCTCAAGGTGTAATGCCAACAATAACTGGTACTTAAGTAGGTAGCCTACCTACCTAAGCTTTGCTAATTCTACACTAAATTTACCTAAGTCTTGCCCATCACTTAGGATATAGATCCTTAGTTTTCTTGTCTTCCTTGACCCGAACCACCTCCTTCCATTTGGTCAGATCTGCCGTCTACTGGACCTCTGGTGTACTTTGAGAATGAATGGATAGCATCAATGAAACATTCACCATTTTGTGTACGAGTTGCTATCTTCTTCTCTGATACACTGCATTATGGCCTTTCTGGTGTGTGAACACTTGCTACTCCTTGTGGTCTTCTCGAAGTTAGTGCGAGATATTACGACGAGGTCAACTGAACTCAGTTATTAGCTTGAGATGTTGGTTTTGAATGGCTTCCATAGACGGAGATTCCACAAACCCCCTTCCCTTCCTAAGGCGGGTGGTATAGAACCTCAAAGCTTTTGGTCTCTATTTCTGCGTTTAATGTTCCTAGTTTCAATGGTCTTTTGACCGATATCATAGTAATACTCTAATGATATGATGCAAGTAATAGTGAGTCCTTGTTGCGGCGGGCGAGTCTGACGGATAGATATCTATACACAGCGCATATAACTATATGTTAGTCTGCAAACTATAAATGATAATCAACAGAAGAAGATGGTAACTCTTCTAACTAACAGGGATTTCACTCATGAGCAGATTGTGTAAGGTTTATTGAATATACTGCTTGTCTAGACGGTTGCTTGCTGACTTGGATGTTATGGTAACCATTCGGGTTGCCTATGAAACGTAATATCATTCGTACGGTTTGATGTTAACAATACCTAAGCCTACACAACCAATTGAACAAAAACACTTGAGCAACAGGAACAATCACTTTATGTTTAGTTGTTTTGGTTTCAGCCCCGCTTCTCGATCCAGTATCATTCTGCGCAGCAATTGATCGTGTGATGCTGACATGGACATGGACTCTCTTTCTAAGAAACAGTCAGCTCTTGTTCCACAAATAAAATTAAAGCCACTAACGGAAATAGAAGCTTTCAGTGCGTAAGCTCATGAAGGCTTCGATGAGAGACTCGTCATCGTTGAGAAGCTTGCGTGTTGCAGCTACCCGGAAGTCGGCATAGAGCGGACTAGTTACGCGGAATAGGGCTGCGTAGATAGATACGAGATAGTGATAAAAATGCGTCCCGACTTCTAACTTGCACTCTGGAAATCCGCTGTAATCTTCAGGCACATGGCAAGGAAATTCTTGGAAGGCCATATACGTGTGGACCAGTTTCCGATACATCAGTATCAGACACCAGAGGCTAGCCCAGAGGGCGATTGAGTTATCAGGCCCAATACCTACTGTACCGAAGACAACCTTCTCGAGCTCAAGAAGAACCTCTTTCTCTATTGGTTGGGAGGCCGCTTTTGAGATCTGGCCAAACTGGGTATGCAACGCACAAGATGGCGGAGTCATACTCCCCTCCCTTTCCACGCAAAGAATGAGACCCAAGCGGATTTTGGTCAGGCAATTGAGCCTGTGCACTTTGCGGACAAACGCGCACTATGTCGTGTAAATGGGCTGAGCAAGGCGTCAAGATGAGATTTTGCTTACCATAGGCAGGGATGCTTCCGATTGACTGTACCTCAAGATGAATGAATCCACGGTTTGCTGAAAGCCTATACAGCGGGTATCCTGGTGAACAATCATTCTTTCGACCCAGTCAATCAGTTGGCTTGGTGGAAGAAGCTGCGGTAAGGCATAGCGGGCGCTTTCTTGGCGGTATGATTCGACTTGCTCGCCGACTTGGTCTGTCACGACCCAGCAACAGAACCATGGTGGTGTTGTGTTTCCATAATAATCCTGAACTTCAACCTCTAGAGCTGGATTGTCAAGGTAGTCCATGGACAAGGAGACTTTTCGATGTGGTCCAAGATGAGTTGTGCCTGCGATAAGCTCCTGGTTCAGCAACCTCGCAGTATAATCGATATAGTGAAGATCTGTAACTATTAGCTGACTTAAAATAAATGCCGGCCAGATACAGGCTTACCTCCTGAGCTGAATCTCATTTTCGTCAACTTCTCACGGATACATAACTGAGTTCCAAGAATACCAGCCGCTTTTTCACATGCTTGACATGGAGCCCCTACGCCACACTAAAAGGTCAACTTCTGTATGTACGTGTCTGGGCAAACGCAGTGAGACATACAGATATTCTTCGAACTTTGCATCTGAAGCAAGCACCGGTTTTCCGGACTCGAGCAACTTCAAGCCTCCTTTTTTCATCAAAGTCCTTTCTCTTCTTCTTGATACCATCGGGCTTGGTGGGGTTAGAGGGGAAACATATGACGGAATATTCAGGGACTGAGACAGTTGAACGAATTCCTTTGCGCCTTGGCTGATTAAATGATAGATTCCTCTCATAGCCACGTTGTGTATCATCTTGTCTCTTCTTTTCGGAACATTGCTGTTTGCTAGTGGCAGCAGGGATAGGGATCTCGTTTAAAGGTGTAAGAGGTTGGGCTGATTTTGAGGGTGTTGAAGTTCCCTCACAGAGACGCTCAATGTCGAGGAACTCTTCAAGATCAATGACTCCAGGAGAGTATGGCTCAAAGCGTCCTTCTTGGAGGATTATTGGTTCCATTTTCAAGAACTTATAAGTTGGTAGTAGATCAAGATCAGCGAGACATCCTGTTCTTTGCACTTGTGATATCCTTTCGTCAGTCATTAGGATAATGAGAAAGATGGGGCACCGGCCTCTACTGTCCTATCAGATCATAGCATTAACAGCTCCTCGGTGAGCTTAGATGAGCCATAATAGGAAAGTTTACGTCACGTGAAGTTACTGCATGCACTGAGAGGCGAATAGCAATGCTTCCCTTTTTGACAGATGCCTTGAGTCAAGGACAAACATAAACTTTGACTGAAACGAGCTTGACTGCGGATGGCTGAAGATAAGCATCGCATTGGAATGCATATCGGGGTCTAGACCGCCCTCTTTAGCATCTTACGTATAAGCACTTGCCTTTGGGGTTTCTTAAATTAAGCCGACATTCACAACGTTGATACCACGGAGCATTGGTCAAACCCGCCTCAGTAACAAGATTCGGATGTAGGCAATATGCATATTTCCTGCAACTCTATAACTGTATCTCTGTCTACACCTGAAGTGTTACAATGGTTCAGTGGGTCTAGAACACAAGTACGAGAGTTCATCCGACAGTCCGTCTCAGACAAAGTGCACAAAATGTTGGTCAGCGCAATAACAACACAGCACAGGCGCCGAGCTGAGTCTCGTCCAGTAGGGATAAAGATCCACACGGCCGTTTTTGGCGTATTCCTTGGGGCGAACAGACACCAGGCTAGGTTACAAGGGTGGGACGATTTTCCGGAATGTTCTATAAAAAGGTACCAGACGCGGAGCAGCACAGCCATGCAGACACAGCAGAGACGAGCATGCACCCGAGAACTGGATCCCACGACGGAGCCAAGACTTTGAAGGAGCCATTAGAATCTCGACAACTTCTCACGATCCTTCGTCTTTTCCTGGGCAAAATGGATTCTCTCCCTTTTCTGTCTGATGTGCAGAGCCAATCTCGGCTACCGCTAAGCCCCTCAAAAACGACCGATGGAGCACCCAAGCCAGGGGTCTAAAGTATGACGCAGCTGGTCTGGAGATCTGATGTACCCTTATGGTGTAGTGTGCGGCAATTGGGGGTTAATTTTTTACTGCCCAGATCATCTCCATAATCAACTCCCAGCCTGATGGTCTGGATTGTGAAGCGCAACATGAGGCGTACCGCCATGCGCCTTTCTGACAGGCATTTGTGTACACATACACACATAAATTTATTACTGCGGCGTCAATTATTGAGCTCGGTCTCCGGGGTGGCACGCACTTGATGACAGGTAAGTTGTAACTCGTCGATGAAATCCCTGAGGTTTGTCTGGGTCGAGGAGCATGAGTTAGAGGCGATGATCATGGACCGTAAGCCCCCTGTTTTACAGACACTTTCCCCTAAGGCGCAATTGGTGACTCGTGTAACTAACTGCTGGCGCTGCTGGGCATCACACATGAGTCGGCCGAGAGAAATCTGGAGAACACAGAGTACGAGTCGGGTACCGAAGTCTAAAATCGTCCAAGACTTTACTGATGGGGATCTGTCTTGAGTATACGATATTTTACCCATCATGTGCTGTCGAGTCGGTCTGAAATACGAGAAGCGAAACATCGTAACCGGGTAGATTTCCCCAGTTTATTGGATTCCTGCTGCAACCTCTGCGCCAGACGGTCCATTCTGTTGAGAGCGGCCAACCACGGCTGGGCGTTGTATTTTTGTGAGTTGGTTTTTGCAGATCTTACGAGGGCGAGAACCAGCCACAGACGGGTGAAATGGGAATAAGATAATTCCGATGTGAAGGAATAGGGGGCCTAGGGGGCCAATGCAGGAGTTTGAAGCAGGGCGAGACTTATTGGAGTTTCTCAATTTCTGACTGCGATGACGAGTTTTGTTTTGACCTCCAATGGGAATGACGATGGGAGAAGCTTACACATGATGGTGGTGAAAAGAAGTGAGGACTTTTCATGATTCGACGAGGTGCCGATGCCGATAAATGTAACCGGTTTGGGCGTCGTCGACGGCAGAAGGCAGCCACAAGATCAATACCAAGACCAACCATCAGGAACATGACTGTTTCGGGATGTGGCTGATTCCCGGGAGTCCCAAAAAGTTTGCTTCATGCAGATCACAGTTTGCAGTCGAAGACAAAACAACAGCGAAAAGATTAGACTGGATATGGGGAAATTGAGCGATCGAGTTGTACGTAACTGATAATCTTAGACCAGAAACCCACCATCTCAATCTGTTAACTGGTATTCAATGTGAGGCAACCGTTCGGGGGAACGCCCAGAAGGAAACGCTGAAACTTCGAAACGGCCAAGCACTGTGAGCGACAGGGAGACCGTGGGGTTGACGGTTGGCTCTCGCTGATCCATCCTGCTTCTCCGATCCCTGGCATAATAATAGTGCTGGTACTGGCCAAGTAATGAAGCATCAAGGAGGTGTATGTAATTCCAATCTCTAAGCCAATCCAACCGTACTGTTGCATTACTGTCAACACCAATTCAGCCTGGCTGAGGATCATCATAAACAATCTGAGCATCAGATATCTAAAGTCACTCTCAGGTACTTGCAGGTACCACACGCAGGGTCCATTTGTATCGTGTCAGTGTGTTTACTCTATGTACGTAGGCCCTTGAGGCTCAATCCCACTCTGTCTACCACAGTTGCATCTTTGGACTCGCCATAGCGGCAGCTAATTGCACCAGATGGACACCACTAACTAATAATTATGTTGCACACTGATTTTTCTCGGCCTTTTCTCAACGCCCCGGACTTCCTTGTCGTCGGCGACCCCATGCACTTTGGCGCTCGCAACAGAGAAAAGCACCTCACCTCACCCTTGAGGAGAAATCTGCGCACCGTTGGCCAAAGCACACCCTGAGCTGAGCATTGGGCAACGAAGATTCGCAATGCTTGCTCTAGAAGGCTTACTTTCGGTATTCACAGCCATGCCTCAGCTGTTGATGGTGAGGGGGGGCCTCAGGTGCGTTTTATGCTGGTGCAATAGAAGGAATCTAGGGACTCAAAGAGATTTACAGAGGTTTGTAGATCAAACATTGAAATACGAGGAACCCCAGGCACATGTTTCGAAATGGCAGGGTCGTGACTATTGTCCAATGTGGTATTTATTCATTCAACTCCCAAACAATAAGTGGCATCATCGTACTATAGACAGCTAGCTTACCAGGGAAGCTATGTTGAAGCTTCAAAATACAGGATCATTTACTTCACAACCGAGCGTCTTTCAAACAGACTAACAATATGAATTGATTACTCGCTTCCCTGCCGACATTAGATGATGTCTCTCTTTCTCTCCCTTTCAAGTCTCAGTCTTGGCTTTTGTGGTGAATCAAATGTCTTCTCCACTTGTCATCAGTCTGAAATCACTCCGCAGACCAGTCAAGAGATGGATGAGCCGCCCAGACCAGAAAAGACCCGCTACTATGAAAAAGGATTCAAGGATTCGAATTGGATGCCTCGTTTCCATTGTCACGGATCCGTAATGGTATTGGTAGCGGCGTAGCTAAGCTACAGCACCTGCGACACGACGCGGCACAACACGAGTAACAAGGCGATGAACATGAATAGAGCACAAGCACGAGCCTGTCTGGGGCTGGAGAAAAGAGAGACATGACATCCCATCGTAAGAGGGTGAATACAGATGCATGGATGTGGATGTGAATAGCGCACTGTTTTAGACACGGTATATCCGGTTTCCGCAGTTGACAAGTCAACTGAATCAGCGGGGGTTTTGGTGATTCAAATGTCTTTGACTGACAGCTCCCGTTCAGCCCGTCGCCCGTCTTTCTGGGCTTCTTTTTTTCCTCTTCAGTTCAGGAGAAGCCAATCCCCTCTAAGCACCACTCGCACTCAAGCAGCCAACGTCATTGCGTATCCACCAAGTCCCGAGCCCCCGAACCCGGACCCGACCCCGTTGATCCAGAGACACACCCAAAAGTAGCAGCAAAATCACCCAAGTACCAGGCGAGTACCTGAAGTACCTGCTAATTAACCAGCCAGCGTCAAGCTCTGCCAGGCCTTTTATGGGCCTTGAGTCTCCATCTCTTGGGGGGGCTTGTCCCGGCGCAGGGAAGACCCGTCCTAGATCTGACACGCAGCCACAGACTAAAATACTGTGTGCCCTGCGTATTCCCTCCCTTAGTATCTAGCGGGAAAGGGCTTTTGCCTGACTTTTTTCTCTTAGTTGACGCTTGCTGCCGTCTCTTCCACTCCAGTCTGAAGTCAAGTTCTCCGTTGAGCTCTCCTCAGTTGCAGTTTCTTTTTTTTCTTCTTTCTTTTGTTGCTGGCAGTCCCCTGACAATAAAGAATTGCCCATCCGCCGGTCCCCTTTTACACACCTTTTTTTTTTTTTTAACCAGGTTTCTTACTTACTGCCTTGCCTGACCAAGCTTGCATAGCTTAGCTCACCTTGCTTGCCTCGCCTTGCATTGCCTTGTTCTCTTTGAACTGTCACTCGTTTTGCCACAAGTACCCTCTGCTGCCATTCTTAGCATAGGTACTCTACCTTTCCTGTTCCTCTGCTTTGCTGCATGTAACGCTGGCGTCTAGACGATCTGGTCACCTCTTGCATTTACTTGCTAGGACGAACGAATTGCCCTGCCCGTCATGACGTCGAGCAGGTCCTTCCGGGCTTCTATAATGCCCTCTATGCTGCGGTCAAACACAGATCCTGATTCTTCATCTTCTACTCGCAAGAGCGTAAAAAAGTCAAACACTTCCGATCTCGCTCACCTGCGTGGTTCAAACATTGGGTCGTCAAAGTCCACCACAAACTTGCCTCACATGGGCTCCAACTCGCAGCAAGACCAAGACGCTGTACAACACAACCGTCCACGTTCCGCCGAGCAAAAGACTATTCGTAAACGCAACGACTCTACTCAAAAAGTGTCCTTGCCCAAATCCCAGTCGACGACAAACCTTTCTCCTACCAAGGGTTCAACTCGCTGGAGAAATCGACTTTCATCTTTCCTTCCATCGCTCGTTCTGCCATCTGAGCCTACGCCAAAATCTGTACCAACACCTCCGGTACCTGCGGCGCCCTCCGCTTCCGCTTCCGCTGTTTCTCCTGCACCCACCAAATCTTCTTCTCCCACGGATACCTCGACCACCACTAACACCGCTGCAACCCCTCCTACAACCGTTGACGATAGCGCCTCGTCTACTACTCCCAGCATCATCGACCCCACCGTCCGGATGACGAGCGATTACCACGACGCCCTCACCCACCAGGCACATGGCCAATACCAACCAGGCCATGCCGGTTCCCCGCCTAGTCCGGACTCGATCCCAACCCGCGGCAGCGACAGCCTCGATGGCTCATTAAACCCTCAGCCTCAGATCATGGCGCCGATTCCTCCATCCCCAGAGGTCCAGAGAGCCACCATGAGCCCCCAGGAACCCAACATGCCACCTCCTCCGATTCCTACTTCTCCTTCAGATAATGTCAGCAGTGGTGGTGGAAAGTTGCGAAAGGAAAACCCCGCCGCTCGATCACGAAGTGGCTCTCTCCAGCACACATCCAGCAACTCCAATGGTGACTCCATCCAGGCTCTCAAGACTCGACAAACTTCTCCAGTTCCTGATCGTGGTCGCCGCGCATCTTCAGTCCAGTCTCCTAACAGCCGCAATGACAACACCAAGAGCCGCGTAGTTTCCACACCCCTCGCCATCAGACCAGGTTCATCAAAGGGTGATGCGAGCCAGAGCCCAACGCGGGGTCGTCTCCGAAGAAGTTGGTTGCCTGGTGGAAGATCGCGATCAAACTCGATGGACGTCTCCAACACAAATACCTCAACCGCGTGGGTACTGTCCGACGATACACAAGCTGAGTACAATGCTTCGTTTCTCAAGAACGGAGAAAAGGTAAGTGACGTTGCTCTACCGTCAAACCCTGGTTTCAGAGTTAATATTTGCGCTCGATTAGGTTCCGGAACTATGGAACGAAAGCGGAGCTGTGCTTGTCTACCTTTACCCCAAGGGCAGTGGCTTCGGGCCGTCGTTCAAGGTTCAAGAATTCACAATCAGTTCGTCCTGGGTTTTCAATGAACTTATTCAGCGAGAGCGAGAGATGCCTATGGGTAGGGACCGAACTAGGAGTTTCAGCGGCCGCGACAGCCTGACGGCCGAAGATGCGAACCGATTCATCTCCCCACCAAACTCGCCTCCTGCTCCGGATGATGGATATGATGACTGCCTCCACCTGTATCTTCCCAATGGAACTCCCGGCCAAGAAACACCACCCGAGATGGATCGCTTGATTGCTATCCGCAACCTGTTCGCCTTCTTGACCGGACAGCCTCTCGTTGCGACCAAGGCTCGCCCTACCAACTTCCATGCTTTCCTAGAGATTTCAAAGCTTTTGGAAGAGTATGGCTTCACAAGTTATGATGGAACCACTTTTGGAGACGCTGTTGATCTTAGTTTCGGGTTTTACATGGACCAGCATGCTCTTGCAGACTGCCGGAACAGCCGGGAGAAGACTCTCGAGGCATTGATTCTGGGCGAGCGCATGCGATCAGCCGATCTCTACAATGAAGCATTTGCCCATGCTGCGGGCAAGCTTCCAGCTATCCAAGATCTGAAGCTTCCTCTCTGGAACCAGGTTTCGGAAAAGACACGCACGAACTTGGAACGTGCCAGTACCGATCTGAACAACCGCCAGCATAACGCCAATATGCACCTGGAGCAATTTGAATTCCCTGCACTTTTCTCAGGTATTGCAAACTCAACTTCCATGTCAGAGCTTAGAAGCGTCCGCTTTAAGGTGTGGAAGCAGTCATTCACCAAGATGCGTAATTTCGCTCTGAGCTACTACAAGACAGCATTCGGCAACTGGCCACCCAAAGCCAGCAGCAAGAAGAACCCATTCTCCGAGAGCGGCCTCAACAGACTTGTCCTCAAGGTTTTGTATTCTGACATGTGTGCTCTTTATGACTTGCTCGTCGACCGCACCAACCGAACTTCGAGAATCATGGATGCTGTTCCTGAACTTTCTAACGATCCCGATAAGATGATCATGTCTGCACTGCGAAACATCATGTCCGAATTCGATCGCTCGAAGCCGCCTGTTCTTCCTCCCATTCCTTACGATTGTCCGCAATTGCCTACTGCGACATCTATCCTGGAAACTTACGATACGCTGTCGCCAAAGAAACAGGCAAAATTCGACAAGAGCATCAAGGAACATGAACTCATGCTCATGTTAAATAAGGCTTACAATTATGATACTAATGCCACCAAGGTTCCTTTCTTGGACAAGTTTAAGGAGTTTGAGCTTCGTGAGGCTCGAGGCAAGACGCCTCAAGATTTTGCTGACCAGCGCATTGGTTACTGGCTGTTCCTTTACGTTGTCATCCAGTCACTTCCTGTCTTGGTTGTGGATGCTCCAGGCATGCAGTTCACTGAAGGTGTTGAGTACTTCCTCTGTGAGCCTCCTCTAGGTAACCCTCCTTGGGTTCCGGATCAGCAAGTCAAGAAGATGTGGTATGAGGTGGCCGGCACAGGTGGCTTGGTCGAGCTCTCTCAAGATGCTGTTCTTTTCAGCGTGGAAGCCACTTACCACCGAAGTCACTGCTGGCTTGCTGCTACCCAGTGGGAGAGCGGCGCTTCAGGACTTCAAGCCCAGGCACCAACGGAACCTTCGCTGTCACCTTTGCAGCCCCCGCGGTCCATGTTCCTGGATGAGGACTTTATGCCCACACCACCACCATCTTTCGGCAACGGTTACAACACTCCTCCATCCCCTATTGGCAGCCCTTCGGGCTCTCTTCGCCCTCGAACTCACTCGCCAGGCGGAAGCCGAGCCAATCAAGCTTGGCGATCCAGTATCGCCCTGGGATTGGAGCCTGTACCTCTCCAGCCCCCAAGCCCATTCGGAGAACGTAGTAGTTCTCTTGGTGGACGTCCTCCCAGTCTTATGATGGGTTCGCGGAACTCATCTGTGGGTAACCTGGCAGCCTTTGGCCACCAGGGCTTCCCTCAAACAGAGTCACCTCCTCCCGAGCAGACTGGCGCAACCTTCGACGATATCTTGCGCAGCGATGCCATGAAGAAAGAAAAGAAGAAGAGCCGCTTTTTCTAATTACTGTCGGTTTCCTTGGTCAGAACTTGCCCAGCGTCATTCGAAGGGCTCTGGAGCTCAATCCTTGTACAGCTAGTTGCCATGTTCCCTGTATGCGTGCACGACTTTCCGCCGGCTTTGGCGTGCTTTTATCTAATCACAGCAACCTTAATATGGCGACGACCTCCTCAGCCGAAGGTTCATTGCAAGTACCTTTTGACTACTTTGCGGGCTGTTACTATTTCTCCTTTTCCTTGCCTTGACTTTCTCATCTACTTCATCATATACGCAACATCACATACTTTTTGGAAAGGAGGTCAGGCAGAACAAGAACCTAGCCCTTTTACTATTTAACGACATTTAGCATGAGAAGAACAAAATCAAAAATCTACACAGATATGTAGTCGGGACGGGATCATAACTATCTAGTTTTAACCTAGACATGGTTGATAGAAACGATGTCTTTAATTGGCCGGAAGAAAAAAATGTTTAATTGTTTACTTTTTGCATATGAGGCTTTGGCGTACAGCAAATTTATCGATATTGCAAGATAGAGCACAAAGGCGTTTATTCGGTGGCATTGGTAGGTTTAATTACTTGAGCTAAATACATGGGTTCATTCCACATACGTTTCGTTTATTTTATTATTATTATTATTTGGTTGAGCCAAGATGGAGTGCTGATACTACATTTTTGCACGCACATTATGTCTTTGAAGTATGTGAATTTTGCACAATGGCTGAATGTCATTTGGCATTCTCTTTTTTTTATTCATATGTTTTTGATATGTGCCTATATTATGAGCCCAGTCTTGTTTACCAATCTAAGCGAGAACGCCATGTAATGATATCCCTGAACCTTGGGACTTTCCAGATATACATCGTGCCATGCCGTTCCAGTTCCATATACGTGCCGGCCGTAAATCGTAACCATACTATTATCTCCCCAAGAATTATGGTATATTTTCAGGTGAGAACCCTCAGAGAGTGACTTTGGTCCACCGACCTCTCTCTGTATGCCACCATCTTTCTTTCTCCTTCTTATCCGCCACGATGCCATCACGCATATTCCAGCGTCCAGTGCATCCTTCCCTCCCACCGATGAGACTCTCACCAGCATCGCTATCTAAATCTCTCACATCAATAAGACCGCCTTTTTCGTCTGTAGTACCCCGGTCAGGAAGAAGGTGGTACTTGATAGGGCTTCCAGCCGTACCAATGAATCCAGCCATGGAGAAAGTCTCAGTGATAGTTCCGTCCTCATCTACTACATTAACGGTGAATTTTGGCCGGGAACGTGCTGCTTCGAGACGGGTTTGGGCGGCAAGCCGTGCGGTATGAAGGCTTGTGTAAGGGCGGCGTGTGTCGCCAAATGGAGATATCGGGGTCCGTGGAGAAGCGAGAGGTGAGTTGTTAGATTTGAACAGGCGTGTGGGAGACATAGGGCTTGCCGAGCTCGGAGGAAATGCAAAAGGTGATGAGCTCTCTGGTTGCTCAGAGGTTCGGAATCGATCAGAAGGAAGATCAATTCTCTCGACGGGGTAGCACAGATCCTGAAAGATGCCGTCTGGGTCGTTAAGTGCTCGAAGTGTCTTCAAAGCTGGAAATCCTCCTGCAGAGATACTGCGAGCGAGAATATCATCCGCTGCATTGACGCAGGTAGCATGGCTGGTGATATCCCAGTGGAGACACTGCACACTGTTGTTTGCAAGATATGGCATCATCCAGAGTGCGAAGCTATCGTTTTCCGGCATGACGGGTGGGAAAGTCTGAACCAGAGAAAAGTTGAGCAAGTTTCTCAAATTAGACAAGATGCGCGCTAGAGCAGCGAGAGACGTGAGAGGTGTGTGTCGAAGAGTAAGCCTACGCAGAGGAAGGCTGGAGGACTGCGTTGCGAATGATGATAGCCCGCTCGAGGTTATACCGCTGATGTGAGACAACGTCAAGGAGTGTAGAGGCGGCAAAGCGAGGAGAGTTGAGTCGTCGAAGCTATTGGGCGGTAGGTTACAGAGATGAAGATGTTTGAGGTTCGGAAGACGCTTGAGTGTTGATGTGAGAAGGTTCTCGGGCGTGACGGTAGCTCCTGGGAGACAATGCACAGTAAAGGTTTCCAGGCGAGACCAATTATCATGATATGCCAAAAAGGCAGCTTCCTGGAAGGGCTTGAGCTCTCCAGGCATTACCAAACCAAGCTGCTGAGTACTCGATTGGATTCTCTGTTGTCTCTGATGGGGTGAAGCTTGTACAAGCCAGTTCATTTCTCTTAACATAGGTCTTGTTGATAACGCATGGAAGATCTTCTTGAAGGAGTGGTCGTACGGAACCGACAAACCAGTGAGACTCTCGAGATTGGGGCACGCCATGACGAGCGTCGCAACAAGATCCTCATACTCGGCAGTTCCGGAGCCTTTGGCGACAAATTCAGGGGCCGGAACTTTAAGTGCGCGGACGATTCCGGCGATGTGAGGATTAGAGCGGAGTATGCGCCGAAGCATCAGGACACGGACGCCCTGTGTCATCTTGAATTTCTTCTTGAGAGTTGCTGAGTCTGGACCCACGAGTTGGATATTTTGGTATCTGATACCAGTTAGCTTTTCCTCATGTGTGGTTGGAAGAGATGTGCCTACAGTGCTATTTGAGCGGGCCTGTACCACTTGCGGCAAGCCACTGCGATGTTACAAGCATCTCGCATCCAACAAGTTGCACAGCTCCCGCTTTTATCCTCCAGGTGAATGTCTCTTAATTGCTCCAGGATATTTGAGAGGATCTCTGAGGGCAATCTGGCAAAGAGCTCATTCGGTTGAAGGGGAGCTCGTGAAGAAGCCAGTTTCTTGATGGGCATTGGCCGTTGATACATATACTCAGGTCGCCATTGAGATGTCGATTCGTTCGTTTCCATACTCGTTCTACTTCCCCAAGAAGGGGTCCGTCTTGCTGAGATGATGCTTTCTCGAGATTGAAAGGACGATGCAGTCGTAACTGAGTTGTTGGAAAGTTTTCGAGGACGGTTAAGGGCGGCATTTGGCCTCGCACTTGTAGGATCTGCCAGGGGAGTTTCGAGAACAGCATATGTAGGTCGAGGATACGCTGTTGGAGCAAAGTTGTCTTGTTTGCTCCTTGGAGACTCAGTGTTTGCAAGGAAAGCGTTGATAGCGTTTTCTTGAACTGAAGACAGATCTTTTGGTGAGCCAAAAGACGACGGGTGAACTGGCCGGACAGTAATCGTAGGGTCCTTCATAGTTGCAGGAGTGTCAAGCTTGAGCTGGTTCTTGTGCTGCTTGCCATTGGGCTTTGTTACTGGCGGTGATCCAGCATATGCGGAAGCTCTCTTGGATCTCAGTTTGTTTGAACCAGGACGGCTATACCAGGAATTAAGTTATTAGTATTAGAAAAACATGTGTTCGAAAGCAACGACCAACAACCTCCGCGAGTCAACGGAAACCGCAAGTATATGATTCAACATGGGTGCTAAGGAAGGGAAAAAAAAGTCCTAGAATCACACCACTTCCCCATGGTACACGCAAATGCCTAGACTAGGCATAATTGGCCTCTTAGGATAAAGATCTGACGTAGGCAGAAAGACGTTTTCGGCTGTGCCTTTGCGGTAGACAGGGAGCTTGAAGCGCCACGCAGGGGAAAATGTGGACATGTAATTTAAAAAAAACATCGAGATGTGAGAGCCTCGTTGGAGCTGAATGCGCTAGAGCGGGAGTCGCATGCGGCCAACACCAAGACCAAGACACTAGGACGCCAGGTTTAGGGGTTGGACGAGATGAGGCGTTCTTGTTCTTTTCTCCGGATGTCTTCCATGGGCTTGACTTTGGAACTTTCCAAGGGGTGAAGAGAGGGAGAAGAATACAAAAGAAGGGGCTTATAAAACAGACAATGCATTATGTTGTTGCGTGGTATAGGAATGGGATGTTGAGTATAGCTGACTGTAAAACAGGTGACGAATAATAATAAAAGAAACTCTTTTACTCACACAAGGTCAATCGATTGGCGGTTCTTCTTCGTCTTCCCACTCCCCGCCAATGGATCCTCATCAATCATAGTAACCGCCCAGACATGTCTCCTAAACTCTTCTGCCCTCCTGTCCTCAATGGCAGACATTGAGCTTCGACCATGGTGAAAGAAGCGCTTGAACTCTTGTCCGTGGTGGTTATGTTGAACCTCGAACATGGTCGCTGATGTGGAGTTTCGAGATGATCGACGGAGGCTATTTATTGTGACAGGGTGTTATTATTTTTTTTTGTCTATCGATATTCGTTTATGTTGCACCAGATTGTCGTGATAATGTTCCGATGTTGACTGCCGGACCAATAGAGTCGAGAATATCGTAACCGAAGAAATAATATGAATGTTGAAGTATAGGACAAGGAAGAAGCGGCTCAGGGGGACATGAGGACTTAAAAGGCAGACGATAAGTTTGATCAGGGAGGGAGGCTTGTCCTATAATCATGCCATTCATTGGATGCTATCCAATGCAAAATACACGGTCAAGTCAAACGCCTCTGCATCGTTTGGCGTAAGGCTATCTCAGACATGCAGCCCCCTTCGTCAGCAGAGTCGATATACTTTTTGGTTGACCAGGTGAGAAGTACAGCATTGATTAGTTAGTCAGTAGGAAGAAGACCCAAGACTTTGGTAAACTCCCGAAACGGGCTTGCGTCAACCTTAAGTAACTCATGGATTGTGCACAGTCGCTCAAGTAACGCACGCAGCTCCCGATCGATCTCACAAAACAAAATCCATTCAAGCAAAGCCACAGGGAAAACCCAAGATTCAGGTTCGATGGTGCGGAGCCAATAGAGATCCGTAGCTTGGGTGGTCGAGAACGAGAACCCTGCTTTGTCCCCTGCTTGCTTGTGTTTTGGATTTGCTGGGGTTGTACTGTAAATCTTGAAGACGTAAACCTGGGGTTTGACCAGGAGAGAACTGTATAACAGTAAACATTTGAGATATAAATGCTTTCAGAGCTTAAATATTAATATGATGATATTCCAGTGCTTAAAATCATCTATGTACTTGAGCAGTATGTCGCCTCTTCGGAGTACTTGGAGTCCCAACCGCCAGTTCAAAAATAGCATCGCGTCAGGAACACAGCTCATCCCTGTTTTTTCTGCTTGTAACACCCAATTTTCTATGCCTTGCAGAACCTCCATACCAATACCAAGCAAAGCACAGCCAACGCAGCGGGGTGTCTCATGACCTCAACATCAACTCAATCCTTCAACAACTTGGACAGTTCTTTTCCGAATCCTTAGGTTGGCTGCAGAGTAATTCAGTGGCTGGCAATACGTACCAAGTACTTTTCGGGACTGGATCCCGGGTCAATAACCGTTCGATCCGTTCGGCATGTGCAGATTGACAGGACCTCAGTACTCAATAACCACGTATTTGTGCAACAAGGGGACCCCCCTTAGGCTACTCGCCTCCGATCAGAGCAGGGAACGTTTTCCATCATGGAAAAGAAAAACACACAGACATTTCGATAGCATAAAATCTCGGAGATTTGTACGGGTACCCACGCTATATCGACTAGCCATCCCTCCACACAAATAGCGCATTTCACAATTATCGCCAAGTCTTGAAAGCTTCGGTTAAAACTACGGTGATGCGAATCCTCCTGACGGTTCACCGTACTGCGTACCCATATGTACAGTGCATGCGTGCATCTTGCGTGTGTTGGCATTTGCTGTGGGGGGGACTCGTCATGAGAACCGACATATCCGCAGGTGTGTAGCTCTCGTTATGGTTGAAAGATTGGGATACAACTGGACAGTCATGGCATCATTCTTATTCATCTAGTGGTTTGTGCTCCCTCTGAACAATGAGTTATCGAACCCTTGACTTACCATTCTATACCGCTTCTTCTCAATTGCTGAGCCTCAATACAGTACCTAGGTATACAGGGATACCTTGCCATGAAGTAACCGCTGCTAACATAAGGGTCATTCTGTTCTCAACATCAAAGATGTCATTTTCCCATCACTCTTTCGCTGCATCGCTTACAGAAGCTAATAAACAGCCCCATCATCTGTCCAAGTTTTAAGGCTCTTGGTAACCAGGAACACCAAGCTAGGTTCATTTTTGTTGCTGATTTTCCAGGTGGCTGGTCTCAAACTTGCAGGTACATTTGATCGGTGGCTCTGTGCGACACTCCATACACCTTAGCTTCTTCCCTTAGTTCCTCTTAATTAGCAACCGAACTCTTCTTCCATGACGCCAAACTCCAAACTCTTCTACGTGCATCAGCATCTTTCAGCTGGCACCTGCAATGTTTACCAACTTCTGACTTGGTTCTGAAACTTAGCTTCCCACTCGCCACACCTCAGTGCGGGGATGTGGCCGTGCGTGGCGCAGTACTGCACATCCAGTAAGTAGGTGGGATGCTTCTTCACCCTTCACCCGAACCGCACTCTCTTCGATGGCCGCGCGGCGAGATCGCTTGTGTTGGATGACGAGTCTATGTGTTGACTCTGATCTCGAACAACTGTGGTCGCATCAAACTGTGTTGTTCGTTTCTTCTCATTCGCCATCTCGAGAGGCCTCAGCACTCTCCCATCAGACCTTGGAGTCTCGTCCAGTACCAAGCCTTCATCAGGGTGCATAGTCCTCCCAAATCCTCGTCTGAACACGTATTGCGGTGTATCCAGAGGTGACATCTGGTCCTCTTTACTGAACTCGCCTCCCGGCAATGGCGTGATCCGGGCATTCTTGACCCATTCGTAAATTGGGCCATCATCTAGAATGGATTGAACTCGGCGGTGTTCAGCCTGCGTCATGTGTTCTTTCCGTTCTAAGATAACCTCGTCTATACTATTTTTCAGTACTAGAGTCTCGACAAAGACTGGTTTTTGCTGGCTGATCCTTCGCGCACGGCCAATTGCCTGCGCTTCAACTTGAGGGTTTAGGACTGGGCTGATAAAGTAGATCCGTGACGCAACTCTCATATCTAGGCCGAAAGCTGCCTGTGAGATGTCCATAAGCAGAACTCTTCGTCCTTGTTAGCCCATGGCATCAAGAGCGGTTCAGAAACTCACCTGAAATCATCATTGTGATTGAAAGTGTTGACGTATTGTGATCTTCTCTGTACGGTCAGTCCTTTGGCATAGATTAGATGTTGTACTTGGAGCTGTTTGAAGTTAGTATTGGGTTTGATAACAGGCATATCCTTCCTTACAACTTCCAGCACACCGGCTAGATACCATGCGATATTGTCGTTTTCATAGAAGATAAGTATCTTCTCATTTTCCTGATACCTGAGAACGCTATCAATCAGGTATGAAAGTTTGGCTGATACCGTGGATGTGATCTGAACTGTTTCCAACGACCCAAGTGCACCATCAGCGGTAGCTTCGACTACCGCTTTCACATCACTAATGCCATGAGCATTAGTGATTCGGTGTTTGTCATCTCCCAGTTTCGTATTACCGGCCAAGGTTTGGGAGCTGTTTGTTGTCTCATCTGATGTGAGCATGCGCATTCTTGAATCGACACCTTCTTGAATCAATCGGCCATTCAATAGAGAATTCAGCTCCTCGGGTTTTGATGCCGATTTATAGATGAGTTTCTGAAGTGTCACCAACATGGTTGACGAGCTGCATATGTGGTCCCCAGCTTCTTGGTCGAGTGACCAAGATGCGCTGACATTGTGCGGTAAACCGTGGACGCTGAGCGGCATCTCGTGAAACGTATTGCTAAGAGCCTTGACCTTGTTGGCAGAAACAACATGCCCAAACTCAATCGCTTGCTCAAGGAGTTCTCGATCTTGGTCACTGGTGGGTACTTTTTTCTCGGCAAGGAAATCTTCAGCGGTCTCGACAGCTTTTTCAATATCTTGCTGAGAATAGAACGATCCTCCAAAGAAGCTCGCCTGCTTCAAGTTGTGCACAATCTGAAGAAGAGCCTTTCGCTGTTTGTTGTGAAAAAAGTAATCCATATCGGTTCGCTGGGATTGGACTGAGTTGAAGATGATCATCATGGAGAAGATGTTGAGCGACATCTGGTCCTGGTACGAACCTTCCAATACAACGAGCTTCTCGTTGACAGGTGGGAAGAGACTATTGACCTCTGCGATCTGATGCCTGATGATGAGAGAGTTGAGAGTTGCTCTCAAGCAGTCCCAGCGGCCTCCACTATTCTTTTTGTGTTTCGGAAGTAGCAAGTAAGTAGCCCAGTCCGCCATAGTGTCACCAACGTCCAGAGTTGTGTTCGCCCATGGCCGTGCTCTCAGATATAGCGCTGCCATAGTACCAATCCTTTCCAGATCCCTTCTCTCCATTTCCAGAATAGAGTTTCTGGATGTGTTGCAAGTCGCCACTGAACCACCCTCTTCAGGTTGTGCTACAGATTGCGGTGTTTTTGTTTGCATGTCGACTCCATACAAGCCTTGAGATGGAGTCCCTGTCACAATCCATCGCGCAGAGAAATGCAAAGCATCCAGAACGAGGAGCATATTGCTCTTGCTACTCATCCTCGAATGCCCAAGCTTGTGTCCTTCATCGACAATGCATCGCTTGAAATGGACCTTGGACAGTGGAGATTGTTCAAGTCCACCCTCTTGTCGAAGTAGGTTTTCCAACCTTGTCTGAGTGAAGAGGATGAGATCGAATTTCGATAAGTCTTCTGGTTTCGGTAGTGGCTGATCTCGCGTCACAACGAGAACCTCCAGGCCATCGGTATGCTTGCTGATCTCCTGCTTCCACTGCACCAATAAGTTAGGGGGCACAACCACAATACTCCCATTACTAAGGTAGAGCCGCTTCTTTTTTGACTGAATTCCGGTACAGAATCTCGTAGTTCGTCGCTGTTCAGATGACTGGATAAAGTAGTACCCTGGGTTTCTTTCTAGTGCTGCAATGCATCTCTCATACTCGTCCCCTAACTTTATCTTGTAAAGGTCGAAATAGGGACGCCAGGGGACTGCATTCCTTGTGGCACAAGACGCAGCCATTTCAGCCAAAGGAGCCAGACGCTTCCTGATTGGGGCTTTCTCAGCACAAACATACTCGGGCGGTTGAGTGGGCAGTCCTTTTGTTGCAAGAATGAGCGCGAGACAGATGATAGTCTTTCCAGCGCCCATCTCTTCAGCAAGGATGCCGCCAGAGACCCCATCATAGTGTCGTGGCTCCCTTAGCACTGTACCAGCCACAGTATCAATGTACCATGATCCTCCTTCTTGGTCTTTGACGTGAAGTAGACGCGGGTCAAGCACTTGCTCGGGTTGAACCTCTTTTTGTAGCATCATGGCCGACGACCTTCGCTGATACGGGTACAGCTCCGACTTCAGTCCTGGAACTTGGCCATCCAAAATATCGCACATGGCAGACTTTGAGTAAGTTTCCTCGATGCTGCTGATTCTAGGCGTAGGTGATGGGATTTTGTTGAAAAGTTGCAACAGAGACATGCCTTCGTTTAGATGTTCGTTCTGGACAATAGCTTCGTGGAGGAGTGGCTTATCCAACCATATTGCGTTTGGATTTCCAGCCCAGGCTTCCTGTGAGTAGTTCAATTGTCCAAGCACAGCGTTTCTTGCCTTCAATAGAGACTGGTTGGAGCGGTCCACCATGCTACGGAGGACATCATCGGGCAGAAGATAGACCCTAAGAAGGCCATTATCGGAATCGTTGTTCTGAATGCTGAATTGAAGTTTTGCCCAGGATGCCCGGAAAAGTTTGATACATGGTCGGAGTGTCCCTATACGAGTCAAAGCAATTTCCAGGTTATCTGGGAGGAAGGGTTCGTCATCTTCTAAGTCTGTTTCGCCGATTTCTTTTGATAACGAGCCGAAGGTTCTCCATTCCCGAAGTTCATCTAAGAACCATTCCGAATCTAGTTTGATTTCCGTTCTCTTGACCGGTATACACCCAGTGGGTATGAAAGCTGTTATTTTTGGTGGCATCGTGATCTGAGTAAGGCTGCTACGAGGCATGAGCAGACGCTAGTTCAAGAAGGGCGAATATTAATTCGCATCACAAAGTGAAGTCCGCAGTGGCAAGCCCATGTACTCATTAGGGTTTATCGAAAATCTGATATGAGATCTCACTTGGGTTTGGCCCATGCGAGGGGGATGTTTGGTCAGAGGAAGAGAAAACAGGTGGCTGCCTACAGGGTGGGCGATATGGACAGCTTCATCGCACAGTGTTTTCGGCCATTTTACGGTAGCTCTTACAGTTTTACACACTGTAGAGGAATATTCACCGACGCCTGGCAACGGGGCTCGATGATATCTGCCAATCTACCTAATACCTAAATGACGGATGGGTTTTAAGGAATTTATTCTAATGAAACCATGAGATTTGATATTCAAAGTCAAGATATATTGATTATCTATCATCTAGACGCAGGTTCCCATCTCTCAAGCAGTCCCACTTGCCACTCCTTGAAAGTCCTTTCTTGAACGGGTAGTAATTCACTGCTCCATAACAAGCAATTATCTGCTGCTTTGATAGCCTCCTCGGGCAGACTTATCTCCTGGACATCTGAGGTCATGGACGTGATAAGCTTCTCACTCTCTACTGGATCGATATACTTGTAGAGTATCTTTATCGCCGTCTTGCGGTCAGCGGTAGAGGACGCCGTGTATACGACATTGGGGTTCAACACCCAGAGATGAATATTCTTTTGAGAAACTGCTTCGGATTTTGCAATCTCAGAAGTATGCGGCGTGATAATAGACTTGGATGACCCCGACCTCGAAATCGTAGCCAGCAGAGTTGCTGCAAGACACTCGGAACTGCTTGGGCTAGGATCTGCGGTTTTGGTTTGGCAAGTGATTTTCCATTTGAACAGTGTGACAGACAATGCCGCGATATTGTACAAGCCTACTTCTGTCGTGCATTCCCGGCAAAATATGTGTAAAAACTTCTTGCTCTCGTCGTCATTGAGCGCCAACGAAGATAGATCGAACCCAGCATCCGGTGTTGAGGAAGAATACTGTAGTGTGTAAGTAAACTGCCAATGATCAAAAACTTCATGCAACTTCTTGAGCAATATGCCTCTCGGTAATCTCTAAACACCCATATCTATGGGAGGTTAGATGAAAAAGAGAGGCCGCGTCTTCAGATTACCTTAGGATCCCGTTCTGTGAAGAAGGTTTCCAGAAAGCTGGCTGCCCATCGGGGTGGGGACGACAAGTGCATTCATATTGGGGAGTTGTATCGATGGCCAGATCACTGAAAGGTTTTGGATACCGACATGGACATCTTCTTTCTCCCCGTAGATTGATTGCTTGAGGTTTGGCCAAGCGTAGTCAAGGACAAATCAGTGCTGCAGGATTGATACTTACTTGCAGGCCTCGGCAGTCGGACTCCGAGAATAGGAATGATGTCAAGTCGACAAAGCCAACTCCCTGTTGGGCGGATATAGCATGATTGGCACCGTAGCCTTTGGTGGCCAAAGACTCAGGATCCTGGTGGTCATGGTCATGGTCATGAGGTTTATGGCAATGCCAAAATTCCATCATTTCCGCCCAGTTCTCACTCGGCAAGTCTTTCCATGTATTGATGATACTTTGCGCGACGAACTCGCTTCCACAGCTGCGGCAGGCTACCGATGATCCAGTTGTGATATCGACTGATGTCCATGGCAACGCTTGGCTTTCTAAAGAGAAACGAGAGGGCCTCGCTTCTGTTGGTGAGACTGGAAGCCTCCATGATAGACTTGAACGACCAATCTGGGCTACAGGTAATGAGCCTATGGCAGATGTTTGTGTCGGCAAAGTGACGTGCTCTGTGTGGCCGTGGTGTGTTACGCTGAGTTGCCGGCCATCCGGTGAGATTTCTGCTTTTGTTGAAGAATCGACTGATGTTAATAGCGATGCAGTAACAGAAATTTGTCTGATATTCGACAGAAGTTCTGCATATATCGTGGAAGTTTGAGAAGTCATCCTCAAGAAATCTTGTTGAAGTGAGTGGCTTGCTTGGTTTAAAGATTCTGGAACGAGACGCGCAACTTGAAGATTGATAATTGTGTGGCCCGTGCACGCGTCATTGGGGAACCTCTGTGTTACAGTGTCACCCCTGCCCCCAAAGAAAAGGTTTGCCCCGCTATGATTTATTAGTGCCCGCTGGAAGCCCCAACGGAAGATTGATTTCATTGTTCGATTCAACGTCATGAGCCTTTGACAATCTCTCATCATAATAACCTGAAATCAGTCAACATCTCCTCATATTGCGGTCCTACAATGTCCGGGATTCTTGCTCAAGTTCCTGTGGTTAACAAACTACTGGGACTTGATGGTAACCGCCAAGCCATCAACATCCCCTCGGTTGAGATTCATCACATTGAGACAGACCCGAGCAAACGGGCAAGATGTCTGAAGCACCTCTTAAAAGCAAATCATGCTAACTACTCAATCGTCTACAACAACCTTCAATACGATAATCACAATGCTCATATCCTCAGCTCAGCATACCTCTTGGGAGCAAGTGTTCCTCAACTAAATGACATCTACGACAGAGAAATCCGCGAGCTGGAGGCATGGGTACCGTCGCCCGCTGAGATCGGAGACGATGACTGGCAAGAGCTTCGGGGCGATGCGAGGTACCAGCGGGCTTTTGTGGACTTCTTTGAAGACAAGCTCGTTATGCGATTCCATTATGACTGGCACCAAGAAATGGAGCATTATCTGTTCACTGGCGATGAGCCTCTCATCAATGGTCTGATCGGCGGTCGTATGTCTACAATTCCACATGAATAAAACATGCCGTTGCTAACACTCACAGTCGGACACCCGTTGATCCATCTAGGCTATGCCTTTGAGATGGATTGTAAGGAACTTGCCATGGAAGCCCTTGGACTTGCTTGTGTTCAGCATGACTTTCTCCATAAGTACCTCGACAACAAGTCGTACACCAGAAAGGCGCCTTTCGCCTCGGCCTCCCCAATGGATCTTCTCACCAAACTATCGAAGGACGATCGATTTGATGACGTCAGATCCGGCCGGTATGACCTGGAAGAGCTCTTCAGCAAGTATGAGGATATCATCCTGGAGTACTGGAACGCATGGGAAATCACGGATCCTGTGAAGCAGTTCGAACTGTCCCAAGAAGCTGCAGCTGCTTTGCTAGTTGCCACAGTCAAGCCAGGCACCCATGCATTCAACTTCATGCTCGTGCATATACTAACAACCAGTCATGCCGTCCGAGTTCTTCTTCCTTTCATTCCCGAGAAATATCATATTCCTCTTGTCCGGCAATGGTGGCTTCTGGCCTTGGGCATCTTTATCGTGAAACGCCGGCCACTCCCAGATCCGGATAACGTGGACAGCGACACCAAACAACGAGGCTGGAATTACGTTGAGGACAAGGCAGTGAACTCTGACTGGGCTACAGATGCTCATTACGTCAAAGGTAAGGCCATTTCTCCAGTTGCTACATCCCCGTCCACTAACCCTGTGAAAGCAATCCGGGTGTTGAAGGAGGCTTCAAAGACATGGGGCGACGTTCACGATCGATACCTTCTGGCAGCCCTGACTTTCGTCGACAACTTCAAGGGGTGGACATACTGAGATGGGAAGCGTGTAGTATAAGGATATGAATTGCCTGGGATGGGAGTCTGGGAAAACGATGCAACAGCGCACCCTGGATACGGATCAGTTATATACTTTCTTGTAAAATCACCTTCAGATTGATAGCATTGCGAAATGACCACTACGGCGCAATGCGAAAACGAGCTTATGAAACTGTCCCATCAAGATCTGTTAAAACAAATCCTCGATTTGGGAGTCTATTTAAGCAGGGGTTAAATGTCTATGTACTGTAACGTGCTTCCGTGGGCCATACACTGTACTGCGGGTCTCAATGCACGATAACGCTCCATCAAAGCTATCAGATAGTCAACAGCATCATCACCATCTCCCCACGGCATGCGAAAATCTCCAACACGCACCCTCCAACTCGATCGCGTACCCATTCAGAACGTTATGCTGTTGCTGCAAATGCACCCTCTGCGCTGATGGCTCCGCCCGCGAAGCGCCGCCGGCGGAATGTCGTTGACGCTTCGGACGATGAAGACGAACCGCCCCGTGCAAACACCCTGACCAAGTTTCTGATTACTTCACCAAGCTCCTCTACGAAAAGCCGCGTCACTACAGCTTCACCGAGCCCGACAAAACCTAAGATCGTTGACAACAAGCCAACCAAGAATGGCTCACTTCGGCTGCCTCGTCGAGCGCAAGCGAAGAGCAATAGCACGAGTCCAAGCGCGAAGCGTACCAAGGATGTTGGCAAAGCAGCAGATACGGGAAAGACAGCTGATTTGAAGACGCTCTTTTCGAACCAGGCACAAAGGGCTGCGCGGTCGAGTGCTGGAGATAGGCGATCCGTTCCTCATGAAGATATCATCAGTGATCCTATCTCAGAGGATGATGAGATTTCGGAACATAAGGCAAGCTCTGCAAGCTTAGTTGGACAGCATGCTAAGAAGAGATTGCGAAACGACTCGCAATCGTCGTTGTCTAGTGCACCCAGCGCCAGCCAAAAGTTCATCAAACCACCTAAGCCAGTACCTATAGCTAGGCCAAATGACGACGCACGCCCTTGGTCAGAACGATTTGGACCTCGAAATCTGGAGGAATTAGCAGTTCACAAGAAAAAAGTCTCCGATGTGAGGCGGTGGTTGGAGGATGTGATAGCTGGGCGCATGCGCCAGCGTCTGCTTATTCTCAAAGGCACTGCTGGGTCCGGAAAGACAACGACTATGCGACTTCTGGCAAACGACATGGGTAGTGAGCTTCTTGAATGGCGAAATCCTGCGGGAAGCTCTGGACTGGGTTTCGTTTCAGCATCTGCGCAATTTCAAGAGTTTCTTGGGCGTGGTGGTAAATTTGGAGCATTAGAGACCGATACTTCAGTGTCATCGACCCAGAACAGCTCTCAGACCACCCGAAAGGATGATTCGAAACGAGTTATCCTCATCGAGGAGTTTCCTAACACATTTTCAAGATCTTCAACGGCTTTAACATCCTTCCGGAACACCGTTTTACAGTACCTTGCTAATAGTACACCCTCTTTATCCATGTTTGCGACGCCCTCGCAGCATGAGCCCATAACGCCAGTGGTCATGATCATTTCAGAAACTCATCTGACTACAACTTCTGCATCGGCGGACAGTTTTACTGCCCATCGACTTTTGGGGCCCGAAATCTTGCAACATCCAGGGGTTGGTATGATTGAGTTCAATGCCATCGCCCCGTCGTTACTCCTGAAGGCACTCGAGCTCGTTGTTCAGAAAGAGGCCAGAAAATCTGGTCGCAGGAAAACACCAGGCCCTCAAGTTCTAAAACGCCTTGGTGAAATTGGAGACATCAGAAACGCCGTGTCATCTCTCGAGTTCCTGTGTCTGAAAGGTGACCAGCAAGGAGATTGGGGCAACAAAGTCGTGCTCACAAAGCAGACCAAGGGCGCGAAAGATGCTATCAAGCTCACACAAGGCGAAGAGGAGAGTCTGGAACAAGTATCTCAACGTGAAGCGAGTCTAGGTATTTTCCATGCTGTTGGAAAGGTTGTCTACAACAAACGAGACGAACTTCCTCCACGAGGAGGTGACAATGTCGAGAATCTTCCAAGCTTCCTTTCGCATTTCTCGAGACCGAAACGCTCACAAGTGTCTGTTGACACGCTTATCGATGAGACGGGTACAGATACACATACTTTTGTTTCGGCATTACATGAAAACTACGTTCTATCCTGTGAGAGCACAGATCCTATGGACTTGTCAACACCAATGGACTACGTTAATGACTGTATCGAGTATCTGTCACAAGCAGATCTCCTCTCACCATCAAGAGATATCTTCTTCGGCGGCAGAGGTGGCTTTTCAGGCCCAGACTCTGGCAGCCATGTGCTACGACAGGACGAAATAACTTTCCAGGTAGCTGTCAGGGGCATGTTATTCTCACTTCCTAACCCTGTTAAGCGCAAATCATCAACCATGTCCAAGGGCAGCGACGCCTTCAAGATGTTCTACCCAACGAGTCTGAAACTCTGGCGAGCCAAGGAAGAGTTAGAAGGGTTTGTGGATATGTGGTCTACAAAACTACTTAAAGGCGATGACGGAGCAACGAAAAATCTCACCGATGGAGCCACAGCGTTTCGTCGTCCTCAGCAATCCTCTGGCGAGACTTCCTGGATGCAGCGTAAGCAACTAAATCGTCAAGCTATGGTAAAGCAGCAGCAGCAAGAAGACGATCCTGATAGTCCGCCGCTTCTCTCACTTGGCAGTGCAGCCCGGCGCGAGATGCTCCTTGAGCGTCTCCCATATATGGCGCACATAGCTCGTGCTCGAAAGACACCAAGCTTCCGTTTGCGCGAACTTGAGAAGGTGGTTGCATTTAAAGGCATTAATGCTGCCGATGAAGAGTCTGACGCAGATGACGACATGCAGCCGGGAGAAGCTTGGGCAACAGATAAGCCATCAGAGGAAATGAGTCCCCGGAAGAGAAGTGCGGGTATAAAGGAAGGAAATGTGTCGGGGCTTCTCGCTCAGAAATTGGTGCTGAGTGATGATGATATTGAGGATTAAGGGCATAAATGGTTAATACGGAATGGGTGCATGGAAGCAATACGATTTGAGGTTCATCTGGTTTTTATTTGCGCTTGGTGTCAAGATCATGACAACAATGAAACGGAGCAAAGGGGATAGATAATTTGGGCTGGGTTCACGGTCTCGCGTAAACCGACTTTTGAGCGAGAGGGGAGAAATGGACAGGGACGGAAAGCTTTTACAAATGGTTTAAATCATCATCACGTTGAAGTGAGCGTCTGGGCGCGGCGTTAAGTCTATCATATATACAATATCGCAATCGTACAGATCACAATCTCTGGGAATCCTTCTTTTCCAGGCCAAAACTTTCAGCCCTTTTTTACTTTTCCAATTCCATTTCCATATCAAATTGCAAAAAAAAAAAAAAAAAAACTGAAAAAAACTTTGGATGAGGTATCACTTAGTGGTGGAACAGACGAATGTTCTGCTCAACAAAGGTAATGCCCAGCTTCTCAGCGGTATCGAATACGGCGGCATCATTTTGGCTACCGCCAGGAGCGGCAACATACTTGGCCCCTGACTGAGCAACGCGGAAGACATTGTCAATGAAGGGGAACTATCATGCATGTTAGTAAAATTCAATTGGCCAATGGATATACTACTTACGAAAGCGTCGCTGGAAACGCAAACATCCTTGAGCTGCTTCATCCAAGCCTCACGTTCCTCAGGGGTGAAGGCAGCTGGGACCTCCTCGAAGACACCCTCAAAAGCTTCGCGCTCAGGACCGTCCTTAGGGAGCTGGCCACTGACGAGCAGGTCGATGGCGTTGCTCTTGTCAGGTCGCTTGGTACCCTTCTTCCACTTGATGCCGAGAACACGCTCATGGAAGCGCATCCACCAGTTGTCGGCCTTATCACCGGCAAGTCGAGTGCAATGAATTCGGGACTGTTGGCCAGCACCGAGACCAACAACCTGGCCATTGTATGCGTAGCACACCGAGTTGCTTTGGGTGTACTTAAGAGTAATGGTGGCAATGGTCAGATCGCGAGCGGCGCTCTCTGGGAGAGAAGCAGTGTCCTTCGGAGTGATGATTGTGCTGAAGTGTTTGGGGGTGATCTCGACATCGTTGCGGTGCTGCTGGAGGTTGATGCCGTAGACGGTGCGGGTCTCGGTAGCAGGAGGGTTGTATTCGGGGTCGATTTGAAGAACAAGGTATCGTCCACCCTTCTTCTTCTTGAGGATCTCAAGAGCGGCATCCTCGTAGCCAGGAGCAATAACACCATCGGAGACCTCCTTGGAGATGATGCGCGCAGTAGGAACGTCAACAACATCGCTGAGAGCGATCATATCGCCAAAGCTGCTCATGCGATCGGCTCCTCGGGCACGAGCATAGGCCTGGGCGAGGCTAGACTCATCAATACCCTCGATGTCATGGACAAAGTAGACCTTCTTCTCGTCCTCGGTAAGGGGCAGGCCGATGGCAGCACCAGCGGGAGAGACGTGCTTGAAGCTGGCAGCAGCAGGCTTACCAAGAGCCTTCTTGAGTTCCTTGACCAGAGGCCAGGCGTTAAGGGAGTCGAGGAGGTTGATATAGCCGGGTGAGCCGCACAGAACCTTGAAGGGCAGGTTGCCCTCGGAAACATAGGCGGCGGCAGGCTTCTGGTGAGGGTTGGCGCCATATCGAAGGGCGCTGTACTGTTCGCCGTTGCCGGCGTACTCCTTGCGGAAGAACTGGGAGATAGCAGCATCGTAGTCGGCAGTGTGCTCAAAAGCCTTGAGGGCATAGCGGTTACGGCTGGCCTCAGTGATCTCGCCCTTCTCGAGCTCCTTGAGGAAGCCAGCGTAGTCGTTAGGGTCGCTGAGGATAGTGACGCGCTTGTGGTTCTTGGCGGCAGCACGGATAAGAGTAACACCACCAATGTCAATCTCCTCAACGGCCTCAGGGATGCTGACGTTGATCTTGGCGACGGTATCCTTGAAGGGGTAGAGGTTGCAGATGACATAATCGACCTTGTTTATGTTCTGCTCGGCGAGGTCCTTCTCGTCGGAGGCGAGATCACGGGCCAAGATACCTGCATGGACGGCAGGGTGAAGCGTCTTGACGCGACCGGCAAGCATCTCGGGGGCCTTGGTGATGGCAGAGACGTCCCTGCAGAAGTCATTTAGCTCTAGTATCAAGCAATTGAGCGCTTGTATTGACTCACTCGACAGGGAATCCCGACTCTCGGATCATCTTGGAGGTGCCTCCAGAAGCGAGAATTCGAACATTCTGTTGGACAAGGCCCTTAGCCAGGTCCAGAAGACCGGTCTTGTCGTAGACTGAGACGATGGCGATCTTCTGCTGGGAGGACATCTTGGAAGCTAGAAAAGAGAACCTTTTGGGAGAGAAAACGGGGAGAAGACGAAAGACAGAAGGGGACGATGAAGAAGAAAAATAAGAAAAGATGTAAGTGGGAAGAGGGCGTCTCATTCAGGTTTGGATTGGGCTCTCGGGCGAGTAAGGAAAGGCCAAAAGGAAAAAAAGTTTGGCGGGGTAGTAGCGATTGCGGAAGAGCAATGGAGGGGGCGGGGCAGTCGCAGAAAAAACAGCAACAAGCGTGGGCCGTGTTGCTGTGAATTGCTACAATTATAAATATTTTGCAGGGGAATCAGCCTTAAATACTTGGTCAAAGCTTGAGATATGACGAACAAATGCGGAGGTTGAAGGTCGTCCGTAGTGGAATTATTTGGAGGGATGCGAGCTCTTTTATCAGTAATGACAATAGCTATAAATTGAGTTTAAGCCTAGGAAGCCTGAAAAGATTGGAGCTTAAGCTTTTTACGATGATGTCGTGGGAAAACTCCGTCATCGCACGAGCGGCAAAAAGGGACCTGGCTCACTTGATAGATAGGAACAATAACCAATATATAAAAAAAGAAGATCTGATGAGACTGGGACTCGAACCCAGGAGGATTGCTCCACCAGGAAATTGGTGTTAAGGTTAACCTTAACCTGGCGCCATAACCAACTCGGCCATCTCACCGATGCCATATTACTTAAATGCTTCTTATTTAAATAATTGCCTATATACTTCTTTTCAACTTCTATCCATGTAAGAAACCGCTTATTTAATTAATTTATTCTTAAATTTTAAGATAAAATTACAAGTTATTTACTTTATATAATATACTTTTAGTAAAGATATTATAATATTAAGCTTTTTTTATTACTTATATATAAATAAGGGCTTTTTTTTTGGTATTTAGAATCTCTTTACTAGTAAGTGCTATACCTAGTTACTGAATTAATTATTTTAGTAGTTATAAGATGTGTTGCCCGCTGGCTTCTAATTTGTTTATAAATTATATATCTATAGTAAAGTTTATAAAGCAGAATTAACCATTCAGCGAATCTCTGACAATAATTCCAAAGCCCAAATAAACGCGGAGCTATTCAGGTATATTGTGATAGAATTCAATGAGCCACCCAGGAGTTTACAAACACATAAAAGCACATACGCTTGAACCTTCTCGCACAACCTCCATTGCTGCAGCCTGCTTACACCAACCGACCTACCTACGCAATCACCTTTCATACCACCCCGCCTCGCTATCACTCACCCACCATTTACGCAACCACTAAAACACAAGACATCGTCACCATGCCTCGCAAGACGCTTCGTATACTATGCTTTGGAGACTCCCTAACCTCGGGATATTTCTGCCATGGCATGGACTCACATCCATACGCTCTCAAGCTGGAAGACCGGCTCACCGGGACGTTTCCCGAAGTGGACTTTGAGATCGTGCTGAATGCTGTGCCAGGCGATGTTGCTTCTTTCAAGCGCTTCAAAGATAGAATGGATGCTGCTTGTATGTGAATCTCATTATATGGTGTTCATTCAAGTCTTCTGTGGCGTTTAACCGGCTAACAAGGAGGTATAGGGGAGGATAAATCTTACGACTGGACAATTATCCTCGGCGGTACGAAGTGAGTTATACAAACCCTTTCTGCCAGATACAAATATGCTGATATGCGCCTATAGCGATATAGCGTACGGTGTCCCGCCTGAAAATATCTTTTCCGCCCTTAAGGATATATACGATGTCCCTCTGAGCCGAGAATCCAAGGTCCTCGCTCTAACGGTCCCTGAGTGCCAGTCAAAAGGCAAGAGAGGCACGTCGTCAAGAAACGAGCTCAACCAGAGCATCCTCAAGAACAAGGACACGGGATAGTAAGTTTAACGACGTTACAAAAATTTTTACATGATTTTTTTACTATTAAATGGCTGTCTATGCTGTCAGTTGATGCTGACTTTTGACAGTTATGCCTTTGACCTTCATTCCAAGATACCCTACCATTCGCTCTCAGAACGGGATCGCGAAAGGTACTGGGATGACGGTCTCCATCTTCGAGACGAGGGCTACGACTGGATGGGTAATCACATCGCCGACGCCCTTATAGACATCCTCTGGAGCGAAGGCACATTTGAAGAGCCCTCCAACTCCAAACCCTCAGAAGTCTTGGCACTGGAGGATGAACTCCAGTTCGATGAAGAGGATGGCAACCCTCGGAATATCAATGAAGGATACGTGGTGGTCCGCAAGAAAGACTTGGACTAAAGCTTTTGGCTTATTGAAATTGCCAGTCTAGAACCAAAGGGATTCATATGCTATGCATTGGACATAAACAGCCCTTGGTCATCCCAACCCCTAAACGCCATATCCACTACAAGGTTCTAATCCGTCCCTTTCTCATACAACAAGGGTTGCGGCAACAAATTCCTATTAAATAGAGTCAGTACGAGATTAACCAAAGCCATGATCAATAACTGGAGCACTTACGGGAAACTCCTTTTGCAGCGCGTTGGTGACATTCTCCACCTCCTCAGCCAAACTCTCAACGTTAGCATCCCAATTTCGCATTTCCTTGCCAACAATAATTTCTGCTCGCCCACTCCCCTTCTCTCCCGATGCCTCGCCACCCTCAAAGTACACAATGCCATCAATCTGGTCCATACGTCCTACTAAACGGCCCTGCTCAATCATGCGTGCAGTGGTCTCTTCAGCCTTATCAGCATCCAGGCCCAGTAGTGTTCCCAGGGCCTCGAATCTAATATTGCTGTAAAGCCTGGATGCACTGAGAAGATTGTGCTCGACGACAGCCTTGGCAAGTACCGTGGAGCCATCTGATGTAGTTGCCAGCTGATGTGGCTGGAGCCCCTCTGCAAACTTGTCAACCTCCTCAGGTGACAACAGCCGGTCAAGGAACATCTTTTCCAGGATACCAAATTCCTCAAGTTGCGATGAACGTTCATCTTTGTAGAGGCGACTCAATGTTCGGTTTCTCATGGGACCAGCGGGCGCCAGAACAGCACATTTCACCGCCATGCTGAGTGTATGTAGGCGTTCCTCTTCGTCGATCGCAGGCGAGAAGCTGATCTCGTGATATCGTTGAGATGCGGATAAAAAGTCGCGCTGAGCGTCCAGAATACGGGCTTGTGAGAGCTTGAAGTGCAAGTTTAGTTCTTGATCAGATACGGTATGCATGATGTTCTTGAGCTTGTTGATATACATCTCGGCGGCCGTAGAGTCGTCGACTTCGAGGTAGTTTCGAACAATGCGAATCCATGTGCGAGCTTTCTCCTCATCGGTGATCTTGCGCTGAGAACTATCAAGGGGAATATCGGCCAGAGTCTTTGCAGCATCAAGGAAGTCACCGTTGCTTTCGTGGGCCGTTGCAATGAGCTCACGGATAGTGGCGATAGCATCAACGAAGGAAGAAGATGATGGCTGAGCCGCGATGGTGTTTAGCGTACGATTCCCGACCTCGATCCACATATCCTCGTTCTTTAGTTCTCGGAGTGTCGCAATAAAAGACGCGAGGACGGTTCGCGTAGCCACGACGCCGAGCGCCTGGTTAAAGAAGGAGTCGATGATAGCATTTAGGTCGTCGGTAGCGGTGGACGGGGATGAAATGTTCTTAATTTCGGAGAGAAGTTGCTCGTAGAGAGGTCCCTTCTCTCCAGAATAAGACTCGGCGTTCGAGATCGCCTCCGCGACTTTGGAATTTGGTGCCATGGTCGTCGGTTGGTAGGAATCTGTTAGACGCAAAGATGATGGACTGAGGTGGAGGTATAGCTGCCTGGGGGTAAAGTTGAGGCTCACTACGGGCGTCAGTGTGGAGGGGCAAGCAGGGGTCAGCTCTAGCGGGGTAGGTTGCCGGATTAGCGCGATCTGGCTGAGGCAGCTATTAAAGCTGGACTTTTAATAAGTTCTCATACCGTCCATCTTGATGACAAAAGTTGTAATTGACAAGACGCTTAACTCATAAGTAAGCTTACAAGACGTGCTAATCAAACCTGCTTAAGAATACCGGGGTGCCACGACGACCACTAGGGAATGTTACCTTGGCTTCAAAAATGACTGAAAATCTTTCTTAATGGCCGAATCAATCGCAATTTGATTGTTGAAATCATCTAAAGTTTTAGCGCGACGATATAAGTTTTGGTTAAACTTCTTTATGACGGCATAGAGTCTATGGTATGACATTGAGAATTTGCATCAAAATATTCCCAACCTACAAGTAGGACAGATTCACCTCTATCATATTGGTTTTCATGTATCCATGTCTACTCATGCTTCCTAAAAACCCAAGGTCCCAGCCTATAATGACTGCAATGCTAAAACAATGAATCCCGATATGCAAAATTATCGAGCATCTCTCACGCCCAACGCCAAACCAACTAACCGACAGAAAGAATCATCGTCTATTTGTTATGCCAAAGCAAATTCCGGAGCGAGTCAAAGTCATTGCAGTCCTTATAAATGTACGTCATACTGCTTCTCAAGCTCGACTGCAGCTCCTCGGGATGGTATCGGAAGATCAACATCACCATAGCCCACGAGAGCGACGCGAACGCAGGCCAGGCATATTGATTAATGATTCCATGGAGAGGTTCGGACGACACGAATGGGAATCCGTGGCCTGGCTTCACAGCGATACGGGCGAGTGCGAGCATCACTCGCGCAAAGACGTAGATGACGATCTGCTGGTTGACCGATGAGATTTTCCCCGTACGCTTGGAACGACCGCCGAAGACGAAATATCCGCCCACAAGACCACCAACGAAGGAGTCGTATGTTCCTATTCATAGTCAGAATTCTGGGTAACATGCTGAGGTTAAGTTTCGGTGACGATGACGTACCCTCCTTTCCAGGCTCTGCGCCAAAGTATTTGAGCGCAAGCATGGTCAGCTTATAAATAAGGGCAAAGCGCGCCAAGTTGGTTGCATGATGTCTTGTCGCTCGAAGGACTAGGTTTACTTTCTGTGGGAATCTGTTGTTGCACGTCAGCGTTGTTGCCGGTCGGGTGTCATGACAGGTCGAACGTACGTTCCAGAGCGGAAGAGAAACACCATCCTGTTCATGTTTGTCAGTATTGAGGTTGCCAAGAGAGTACATGTGACTTACACCAGCGCATGCGGAAACCGCACCTTGGTTCCGTAGATAATACCATTGCGCGCCGTCTTGACTAAGGACAAGAGATCATGGTATCGCGGGTCCTTGACAATCTCCTCCAACGTGTTCTACCCAAAACCCGTCAGCGCAAACTCTATCGTGTCGCAAGTCGATAAGAGCGGTACCTTTAGCACTTCCAGCGAAGATGACATGGCCATCTTGTCCCCAAGCCTCGGCAAAAGAACGTAAAGAGAGGGTCGGTCGCAGGGTCAAGAGAGGATGTTGATCGGAAATCGCTTAAGTCTCAAGGCATCGAATGTCGTCGCGTGATTTTGTAGGTCAGATTCCACGTGCGGAAGAGTCGTATAGGAGCATGGATGGATTCAGAGGTATCGATAAAGTTGGTAGGTTCATGGGTTTTGAGGGCGCCCCGGATTATGGATACGTGCTATGTCACCTGTCTGCTGAGCCTCGGATGTTTGGGCTTTGCGCTCGGCTTGTGTTGCGGAGAATGGCACCGGCAATAATATGCCCCCACTGGGAGAATACACTACAGTGCCTAGTCGACTATGACGCAGCGGGAGCTGTCCACTGAAAGGTGCTGAGGTTTGGAGAGGAGAATGGATCTAAGGAATTTCACATGTGAATGACGGTTCGACGGAGGTTCCAGCTGCATTAGCCAAGATCTGGGGAAATCTCACATCAGTCAGATTCATATGGGACGACTAGGTACGTATAGTCTATATCTCATTTTCATGCCTTCATAGAATGCTTCGAAATCGATCTTATGCGTATGGACCTCATCTCCATTTTCGGACCCCTAAACTCCACGCTATTCAGGTACCCTTGGTTCATCCCGAAAATCCTCCACTTTGACCTCGGCAGACCAAAAATGAAACCGTGAGGCTCTGTTATGTTTTGAGACGCCTCCGCTGTTATACCTTACTGAACGAATTGACCGCCGTCCATCCAGCGAAGAATGATCAAGAAAATTTTGGGTATAATCCCTCTACTAATCACTGGTTGGATCCTCAACACCACCGCTCATGAGGCTCTCTCCACTTGACCCCCAGAATATCAAAGATCTTTCTTTCATTTCGTCCCTCAACTAGCTCTCCCTCCGTGAGCTTGACCCGTTGCGGGCCTCGCATCACATCCTTGTATAAACCCCGTTGGTTCAGTCGCATTCCCTTCTTGGAAGCCAATAGTCGCATGCTGCGATTAAAGATGTCATTGCCAGTGAAATAGATCAGGGCCGCACCCATCTCTGATTCAGGAACCAGGAGAAAGTCAATGCGGCGCCATACGGGTCTGTAATACTCCTTGTTGAAGCCACTGATCTTAGGGAGTACACAGCATCCATGCCATTTACTTCCGTCGCTGGCAGATCGTGATGACGCGAGCCGTGCCACAAGGAAGTCTTCAGCTTCGAGGCGTTGGACAAGACTATCAAGGAAAGGCCTAAGTTCAGCCGATGACTCGGTATTCGACTTGGTGATGATGAAATCGATATCACCTGACGTTTCTGCTCCTCTTCGATAACTCCCCCCAATGATCAACTCAACCTGAGGATCGACACGCTGAGCACCTCTTCTCACAATAGCACCCAAGGCCTCAATCTCACGACGCGGAATCCTAGTATTGAGATCATCATAGTGCTCGATGCCTACGAGCTGGTTTGGTGAGAGTTTCGCATTCGTTTTCAAGTCTTCCAACGTCCGGAATCCTTGAGCCAACCATTGCTGGGCCTGACTGTTTCCAACACCATAAATTCCAAGGAACAATTGGAGTGCCTCCTCCATCGGCTCTTTCTGGGCGTACTCAAGTTGCTGGAGCCTATCTGTAGTGACGATTTCCTCAACCTTCTGCGCCAGACGCGGTCCCACACTAGGTAGTCTTTGTGCCTCCTCGGCTGTCGTGATTTTCGTCTCTTGACGCTTTAGGGTGCTGATGACTTTTCGATAGGCGGTTGTTCGCCAGTGATCGTTCACCCGGGTATAGTAATCAGCCATGGATTGGAGAACCTCGATTGTGCGCGAATTTGGATTCCCCGCCTTGGCATCTTTCACCCCGGCGGAGTTGCATGAGAATCGATCTTCGAAAGCAATGTCTTTGCGACCAGATCTAGTCTTTCTTCGTGACCTTCGTTTGTTGGCCCGTTCATCTTCTGAGCCTGAAAGGGATTGTTCTTCGGATTCCAGGTCTCCCATTTCCGTAACCGTCTGGACATCATCATCATCCGCATCTAACGGGAGGTCCTTATACTCCGACATTATCTTGATGTACTCGGATAGCTCGTCCTTATGGCGATCTTCATCTGGGCGCTGCATTGAGCCACTAGGTTCTTGAACAAATATCGGGGAATTTTGTCGGGAAATCGTAGGTCTTTCACTAGCCGTATGATGAGATGAGGCCATCCCCTGAAGATCAAGCACAACTGGCTGAGAATCAATCAGGATAGGAGTCTCGGCAACTTGACTGTGATGAGGAGACTCTTCGCTCCTTTCAGGTGTTCCTGTGAGAGGAACAAAATCCCACTTCTTCGAATTCCCATGATGCGGTTTCACTTGCAAAGACTCATTAGACTCCCCGGAGCTTGACGGGACAGATGGTGAGTTATCCTCTTCCTGGACTATCGGTTGGCCTGTAAGCCGATACTTCTTTTGGCTGCATTGAAGCAGCGCTTTGAATTGGATGCAGTCAATGGGATATTCTTCGTTGACGACTCTAGGCGGGAGGTTTCTGTTCGTATTCTTCAATACGCTCTCGATATCCTTGTACTGTATGTGTTTCTCAACAACAATATGAGTAGCAATGCGCGGAGTCCGTACCCATGTTGCACCAAACTCGCGCGCCTTTGCGATACGTAATCGACGAGCTGGTGCAACATCGTCATCAGGAACGTAATGGAAAGTGAGTCCTTTGAATATCTGTTCGCTCTCTGGCCTGAGTTTGATCGTACTTTCACGCTTTCGCTTTTTCATTGCCAAGCTTGGGGAAGGCGAGTCGCCCACCATTTGTCCAAGATTTCGTCCCGACGGGAACAAAGGTGTAGACCCGCTCCTAGGGAGTGTTCTCTGTGTCTGCCTTGTAGAGTCAGGGATAGGTGTATCATCGACTAGAATAGCCCCAGCGCTGCGTTGATTCATGAGCGTGCCGAGCCTGGTCTTTTGGCCGATTGCAGTCATTGGAGTGCCTTTGATGATCTTTGTTCTATCAGCAGGTGCTGGCGTTGGGAGTGAAGTGACCCTTCTAGGTGTCACTCTCGACTTTTGAGCTTCACCGTTAGTTAGGTCAAGCACGACAGATTCCTTCGCTGGTGGTTTGGGGCGTGTTTTGACGGCGAAGAACCTCCGAGAGCGCATCCTTTCTTTTTGTTGGTCCGTGTCAAGCTCATCATCGCTATAGAGCGGCTTTAGCTGATCGAAGAAAGCTGTCTTCTCTTGCAGGGAAGTCATGGTGAGGTTCCGGAGTTTGTTTATGCCTGGGAGACTTGCGCAATGAAACGCAACTTAAAAGGCAGAGTTTCGATCATACCCCAAAATTCCTGACTGATGCCTGCCGTGAGATATCGCTAGTCATGTGAGCCTATGTGTTATAGTAGTGTACAGATTTAGATGTTCAGACTGCTATAAGTCCAAGAGGAGATGTTCAATGTTCATGGTGCATTCAAGACTCAAGAGGTTGCCAAGTTCAAAGACAATTGTTTCGCCTGATTGGCCAGTCTCGTGCATGAGCCGCTAAAAACCGCCAGGCTTCAGTGCTGAATCACGGTCCGACCCGCTAATTGACAAGGATAATCGTGAATGGAAAAGTCCCATTGTCATGGTGCATCGCGGAGACTAAAGGGATCTGTGGATGGAAAAATATGCCTTTTGTTTTTTATACTGAAGTGTCTACCCAGGCTGATACAACAATGAAACCATGTACTATACAACTAAATCATCCAATAAAATCGGTTCAAGAACCGGGGTATCTATAACTCAACAATTCCAAACCCATGGCGCCGTTCGATGCGTACAATTTGACTCAATACATATAGCCGTCCCGCCTGTCATAAGCAACCTCACTGTGGAAACGTCACAGGGGCATGCGCGGGCTGGCCACCAAACATGCGAGCATCAATCATAGGGATGTGGTTTTTTTCATAATGGTGGAAAGCCGTAGGATCAGCCGAGTATCGGCTTCCGGACTCGTTGTCGATATCGCTGACGACTTCGCGAGTAAGCTCAACGTAGTCGTATGCGAACTCTCCAATCTCGGCATCGTCAATACCCTGAACTTCGGCATCCGAATCGACTCGAAGACGCAGACCGGGAATGAGGTTCATGAGGAATAGGATGATGCAAGTGACGACGAATGAGTATAGGCCTCCACAGATAGAATCGGCCAGTTGATAACCCATCTGCGCCCAGTGACGTTCGACCCAACCGCCCTTGATGCGAGAGTAGCCGTCGAGAGCAGCGATGCTTGGGGTGGCGAAGAAGGCGGTGCAGATGTTGCCGATCAAACCACCAATGCCGTGGACGGCGAAGATATCGAGTGCATCATCAATTCCAAGGAGAAACTTCACCTTGGTAGCATAGTTAGAGCCAGCAGCGCCGACAACACCAAAGATGACAGCAGCCCATGGGGGGACGTAACCTAGACTGATGTTAGCTCACGTCGGTTTTGAAAGATTATGACCTGCTCACCAGAGCCAGGAGTGATGCAGACGAGACCGGCAACAACACCAGAGCAAAAGCCGACAGTGGAGAACTTCCTCTCCAGACGATAGTCCAAGAGACACCAGGTCATGCCACCGACACAAGCAGCAAGGTTAGTTACGACGGCGGCCATTACGCCACGAAGGTTAGCAGAGAGGGCAGAGCCGGCGTTGAAGCCAAACCATCCAACCCAAAGGAAGACCGTTCCGGTTACGATATGAGTAGCATTGTGAGGGCGATAGTTGAGCTCATGCGTTCCATGGCCACTACGCTTGCCCAGCATCATGGAATAAGCCAGAGCAGCGCTTCCAGAAGCGATGTGCACAGGGGTACCTCCAGCAAAATCGAGGCCGCCCATCTTGTTGGACCAGCCATTGGGGTTCCAGGTCCAGCAGGCGATGGGGTCGTACACGACAGTGGCCCACACGAAGATGAAGATAATACAGGGGAGCATGCGGCCACGCTCGGCGACGGCACCGGTAGCGAGAGCGACAGTTAGGGCGGAGAACATGCCCTGGTAAACGGCGAAGAGCATATCGGGGAGATGTGCGGAACCAACCGAGGGCCGGGCCAGGACATCGCGGAAGCCAAAGTTGGCAAGGTCACCGATAAACGGGCCGGCCGTATGCGAGAACGTGAGAGAGAAGCCCCAGAAGAACCATTGGAAAGTTGTCACTGCGGCGCTCATTACTGAGAGCCATATAAGCGAAAGAGCCGATTTGCGACGGGCGAGACCTGAATAGAAGAAGCTTTGGACACAAACATCAGCAAATGAGATCACTAATCCAATTGAACAGCGCCAAAAAAAGACTTACCCAACGCCAGGAATCATTAACAGCACTAGAGCTGTGGCCGAGAGCATCCAGGCGATATCACCAGGCTGCGGGCGCAAAATGTCAGCTTGCGGGCGTTCAAGATATTGGAGGGGCCACTATTCAACATGACCCACTGCCTGTCTCAAAGGACTTTCTCAGACTCTTTTTTTTTTTGAGTGAGAAAGGTGAGAAGACTGAGAGATCAAGAGAAATAGAAAGTGAACAGAGTGAGGACCAAAGATGAGAGAATGACCGACGGAGATAGACAACTCACCTCGTACCAGATATTGACATCCATATTGAGCGGATTAGCACCTGTTGCGCCTGTACCGTTATACTTGAGCTGCGTTGCTCCTCGAGCATCACCATCGCCTCCCATAGCCATGACGCCGGTTCTGACTTGGGAGGAGTGATATAGAAATAGAAATGCCAACGTCGATAAAGAGGGATGATGTGACAAGGTCAAGGAGGTTGCACTGCGTGACAGCGGACGTGATAGTGACATTCTGGGCCAACAGTAAAGTAGGAAGAAGGGAGGAAGAGACTCAAAAGATAAGAGATCCAGGCAGGGGGTGCAATTGGTGTTGAGAGTGTGGACGGCTGAGATTGAGAATGTGAGAGAAAAAGGGCGCGATTCCGGTTCAGGCGGGAGAGAGATAAGAGATCCCTGGAGGTGAGCTTGGCTGTGCAACCCCTGGGACGACGTAATATACCGAGTTAGAGTATCTGGTCTGACTCCGTGGGCTTTTGGTTAAGAGGGAAAATATGGAGGAGGAGACGACGACGCGAAAAGGGTCTCGAGACTACCGGTACCGCCGTGACGTTTTTTCGGGGCGAGGCAATTCAACTCTGACCTAGAGTGGGAGGTGACGAAATAAATTGAGTAGTCACACATATTAATCTGGCGGTTCGAGACTGAATTATTCTGTCAACTACTATACAGTGGGGGTCACCCCAGGCCAGACGATCCAGTACAGCGGGCGCTTGTTGACTTGCGGAAGAGTTATCCTTAGTTAAGCCTCGCCACTCACTTCTCACCCTCACACTACCTATCTTCATCGCCAGCCTTCATCTCAATTGTATTCTGAATGAGCATCCAGATGAATTGCCCGCAGACGAAGGTATCAAGTATTACTACGGGCGCACTTTCACTGCAACTTAATTCATAAGCTCACTTAGAGTTTCCCCTTATACTCAGTTCCCTTCTGTAGCCCTTCCAATCCTCTTCGACCACGCCATGCCGCCTTGTAAGGAATTCATCGCAAACTTATCCGGTTCTAGCCCTGACAAGGCTTCGATATGCAGGAACACATATCAGTCCTCCATTGTAGTGGCATCAGACTTCTCTCGCTGCTACGATATCTCGCTTCACTTTCCCAAAAGCTCATGTAAAACGCACGACAAATGGCAAAGAGTGCCTATATCAGTCGCTATAAAACCCCAGATCTTCCTTCTGATAAGACATCCCCAGACCCCAGCCTGCCCCTGACTGCTTACATGTAATGTTGATCTATTTGCCTCTGGTTCCCTCCGGAGATGCAGATTGATGCTCTACAAGGAAGTTATACATAACTCTACACTCAAGGTTATCTTTTCACAACTATCCACTCACCCGGCGTATAAACGACAGGGCTCGACCTTCCTCTCCTTAAAAAAAAAAGCAAAGAAATCGTCAGCTTGAGTCAAACCGTCACACCTGACGAAACTTCCTCTTAGCCACTGAGCTGAAGCTCACCCATGGTCTCTGATAAGCACTTTCACCTTGATTGGTCCAGACAAGGTGTGGGGGTCTCATCTTGAACGCCCAGCTTCAATAGACCTCTCCGGTGAGCGAACACAGACGTCAAAGCTCAGAGTTCGTCATGTCACATCTCGAGTCTGTCGACAGTCTTTGGAAGGTGGCTTGAATCATGATGTTCACGTTTCTTATTGTGATGTGATATTTGATATGTCTTGTTTCATCATCATGCTCTGTCTTTCAGTTCTGTCTGTTGGCCACACGGGCTCCGCCAAGTTAGATGGTGAATCCTTGTGAGCATCTCCTCGGACTTTAAGACGAGATAAAGCATATGAACATGGATGGGATTGTAAATATGCTAATTATGATATCTGACTCTGCACTGCCCCTCAGAAGATGATATTGGCATGTCAAGAATCAGCGGCACTGGGAAGTTCTGGATGAGATGAAACTCAGCAAGATATGGATAATGAGAATAATATTAGTAAAATCTAAAATAAATTCCTGTTGGATCTTATCACAGGTCATAATCCATGCTGTCGAACTCTCATTACTTGCCCCTGCTCACATGCAAAGAGCTGTTTGAACCTGAATCGTAACCAGGTGAGATGCATATGCATAGTTATGCAGGCCTCGCTGTGTCAGAATTATTAAGACTCTGGATCAAAAGGCCAAAAAACAACTACTCAAAGAGCTCGCCAAAATAGTCCTGGGATATCCTAGACTTATCTTGGATTTCTTTTGGTCACTCTAAGATCGAAGTTGTCTGAGAGCTTCTTCCTTTCCCCAGGCTGTCGCAAGATATTACAACAACATTGACGTTTCTCTTGTGCCTCAAGTTGAGTGGCCTGTCTCTACCAATAATGTGTGGCTTAGGATACGGCGTTTTGTTTCAGCCAGTGCGTTTACACGGCGAGCATGCCTAATTACGGACATTCGGGCATTGGAGCATGTACCTATCAGTTCCTATTCTGCTTAATCTGTGCAAAACAGAGCTGCATACGCTGTATAGAGACTAGGTCTTTGTAACGAGACCACGCTTCCTGATTCCTCGTAGTTATGATCGCTTTCAACGTTTCCACTAGCTGGTTCAGCCATCGTTAGGACACATCGCGGTTTCTTAGGAGACTCTTAGCATTCTCGCAAGTCGGACCATCCCCTGTCTGCATCGACTCGATAGGTGTCGCCGTGTCAATGAAGGTATCTCCATTGTTCTGCTTCAAAAATAGGGGCTGCCAGAAAGCCGTCCGAATTACAGTAAAAAGAAGCCAGGCGACTACCATGACAAAGATCTTATGCCCAACCCTCGTGTACTAAAGGGGTCTTTTCATAAGCTCAAGTCTCTTTTTATACCATTCTGCGCGGATGTTGGAAGCAATAGCGTACAGTACCTGATTTTGCATTAGTTTATACTCTCAGAACGTCTCGGAAACCTACAGTCTCGGCAATATCAATGAGTGGCACCAGTAACCAAACACGAATGAAAATATCGGGACCACTGAGGCTATCAGCGAACCAGGCACCAGACCACCAAGGCCAATACTGCAGCTTTATATAAAAGGAACACTCCACAAGGATTCCCATGACCAACAAGCCACAAATTCCCATCAATGTCGAGGTCCAAGGCCCAGGCCCTTCGTTGCATAATACACAACAGTAGGAGAACATCCCCAGGCCAGACACTTCGATGTCCCAGCGCTAAAAACAACTCATTAGCAAACAAGCGAGGTTGAACGACATAACAACTACTCACATTCTGTCTGATTGGTTCCAGAGTGCCTATGACTAGAAAGCTCACAAGTACTCGACCAACTGACTGGAGGTGATCGTTTCCTACACACTCACCAAACCCAAGTAGAGGCTCTGTATGAGTGAACAGAATCCCTAGAGACATATAATACAGAACATCAAGGTACTTCCAGGCCAAGTTGAAGAAGGATTGCTGGGTGGTAGTGTATCGACCAGTAGATTTCTTCCGGAGTCGTTGTGCCGCCGCTATGTTCTGAAGAGCTCTATTCCCGTTGGATAGCTTCGCATTCCCATTTTGGATTGACTCCTTCTGAAAATGAACTGCTCGAGGCTTGCCATTGGCACCTTTGGCGGGTTTCTTCCGGCCCTTGTTGGGCTTTGTTCCTTTCGCATTGCCGTTTCTGGGTTCAACTTCTTTCGTGATGCTATTCTCCTCGACGGGCTTTTCGAGAGCAGCCGCCTTGATGAGACCACTGCACTTGGTCACGCCAACTTCTACTTCTCGATGAAAGTCTTGAAGTCCGTCTAACACAGGGCGTACAACAAAATACATTGAGAGGCACATAGTCGCAAATTCGATCTCGTCAATAGAGCCCATAAAGAGTTCATGGCCGAAGAGAAGCTTCCGGATGCTGGTAAGAGGAACTGTCAAGAGTGACAAGACCCAGTAAAGGGCGTGATGTTTGAACGAAAGCATTGCGTTCAGTCAAGCTTGAGGACAGTATTTATGACTCGGGGATCGGGGTTAAAGGATAGTGAAAATGCTTTGGCCTGAAATGTTATGGTATACATAATACAACAAGTTGAAAGAAATGAGTCTGGTTAGAAATCGTTATATCCTGCAGGGCCCGAAAGTAATGAATAATGTAACAATGTGTGTGGCAGCTTCCAAGTCAGTTTGTAAGTGGGCTCAACAGCAATCGCGACCACGATGGCATAGAGCGACTTCCAATCACGTTGGGAGACAAGGTAGCTCTGGCAGAAATCGTCCCTACCACAGAACCAATGTAGAGGAGCAAACACCAGAATCTTGGGAGCGTGAAGTTTTATACACTGAAATTACACAAGGAACTATTGAACAGCATGCACAAACGCAAGGCAATCATCCGTCACAGATTTGATGTACTTGAATATGCGTTATAATTAAACTCGACTGATATACAATGGTTAACTTGATCGGCTGGTTATTCATTCCAATATCTTACAAACCAACAGGTTGCAAGCACCCCGACAAACCCATAGTCAAACGAGAATACAAAACATTATATATACTCAATAATACATGTCCTTCTGCGGTCTGTGTTCGATGAAAACAAGTATCAAATATTCGACACAAATGTTGCCCCAGTGCTCCTTTTCCAATGCACGCCTCTGTGAGCGCGATGATAGGTACCCAATAAAGTACTCCAAGACTATTCAAAGTCCGTGTAGAATGCGTGCCCAAGTCTTTGTTTCCTGGTCGCTGAGAACCATTACCAAATAATGATGATGGTGAAATCAGATAACTCCGTCTCGCTAAATGCAACATGGGCACCAACCGTGAAAGGTGCTCCCATCATGATACTCCAACCCATGTGGTCTTAATTATTCGCATTCCTTCTCTTTCAGGCGCTGCCACTAAGCGTCTTAAATCTATCCTCAAAGGATTTCATCTGCTCCTGCTCCAGAAGCTTCTGTAGGCGTCGTGTTTCGCGGACAGCGGCCTCTCGCTCATCTTGCAGGTTGAGCACCTCGATTTGAGCAGTGCTCATCCTAGCCACGACGTCCTGCATCTCTTGCTCAGCGTCCTCAAGTGCCTTCTCCAACTCAGCAATGCGGTTGCGAAGCACCTCCATCTGGGCGGCGTCCTCAAAAGACTTCTCAGGCAGACGAGGGGAGCGTAGAGCGCCGGGGAATCGTGGTGATAGGGGGCTGAGGAGCGAAGGCTTGCGGTTCGCCTGAAAGTTAGGGGATCGAGGGCCGCTGAGTCCGGTGTTGTTGCTCATGCGCTGAAGCTGGGCATTATGCGCCTCGCGGATAGCAGCAATCTCCTCCTCGTGACGGTTGACACGATCTTCAGATGCTGACTGAGCAGCGATGAGTTGCTCTTCCATAGACTTGAGGCGGACTTGTAGGTCAGCGATCCGATCTGAGTTAGCCTTGCGATCGTTGTCGCCTCGTACGACAGCGTTAGAGAGACGCTCTCGGAGTTGAGCATTTGCAGCGAGTTGTTGTTGAACCTGGGTTGCAAGCTCTCCAACCCGACGAGCAGAGTCGTTAAGCTCGTCAGCAAGAGCGCGCTCACTTTCGATTGTCTTGACCTCATATTCGCTCATTGTGTCATACTGATTTTTTAGATTTTCAACCTCGTGTTGGGCGGCATCGCGTTCAGAAACTGCAATGGACAGAGTGCGCTCTAATCGCTCGACAGCGAGCTGAGTCTTCTCATCACCAACTGTCTCATGCTCGAGCTGCTTGATTCTCTCGAGTGATTCAGCATAAGCAGCCTTGAGCTCATTGTAGGCCTTAGCAAGCGACTCAGATGTAACCGGCGTACTCAGGTTACCAAACGAGCTGCTTGCGTTGCTGGAGCCACTTGAGCGTGCGAATGACTCGGGAATAAGGATGTCCTTCTCCTTGAGCAGGTTGCGAAGCAAAGAAATCTCCTCTTCGGCCTTGTCCAAATCCATCTTCAGTCCGCCCAGGCCGCTTTCAACCTGCCACTTCTGCTCAAGCGCATCTTCAGCTCGGCGACGAAGAACATTGATCTCTGTGCGCAGGTTTGAGATTTCTCTTTCAAATCCAGCCTTCCTTGGAGATGCTGAGAGGAGCCTCTCTCGTTCGTTCTGTAGCATCCTGATCTTCTTTTCGTTTTCGCGGTTCTGAAACTCTTGGCGGTCAAGTAGATTTTTCAGTGCCTTATGGAGGGCGTCTCTCTGGGCCTCGACATCTTTTAGACGCTCAGAGAGGGCCTCTCTAGACTCGTTCTGTAGGTTCTTAACACTGTTAGACCGTGATAGGCCAGAGGGTCGTTGGCCACGGAACGAGCCTGTCGCAACCGAGTTTGATCGGGCAAGGCCGCCACCGAAACCGCCAGACATAGCGCGAGACATGCGGTTCATTGAAGGCGTCGGAGACCCGGACCTCGATGAGCCTCGCAAGTTGTCATATTCTTTCCTGAGCATATGAAGCTCTTGCTGCATTTTGGAGGACTCATAGGTCAAGTTCGAGTATTCAGCAGCCTCTATCTCGAGGCCCTCGACACGCGCCCTGAGTTGAGGAACAACTTCGTCTCGAAGGTTATCTCGCTCACTGGTCGCTTCGTGGAGCTCTCCCCTGATGGCGTTGATGAGGTCCTCAAAGTTGTTCTTAACAACACGCTCCTCAGATAGTCGCCTCCTGAGATCGCCGCAAGTAGTCTCGAGATCCTTAAGTCGACCACTGGCATCCTGACTGTTTAATTGCGCCAGGTCGATTTGCGATGCTTTTTCGGCAAGCTCTTTGATCTGGTGGTCGAGCGCTTTTCGTTTCCCCCTTTCGTCCTGAAGCTTATTTGTGAGCTCTAATCTTATGGAAGCCTTCTCTTGTTCGGCCCTCCTTTGAATCTTCTCAAGCTCCTCTCGACTCGGTTCGGCTTCACTCATCTTTGCCGAGCTATAACCCGAGTCAGAGTAATAATCGCTTGACCTCTTACCGGGAGCTTGAGGGTTGTTGACTTGTTCCTGGAGTCGATCTACTAGGTCTTCCAGATCCATCTCGCGCCGGATTGAGCTTGCCAGCTCGGCGCTGATGGCCTTTAACTCATCTTCCATTTCGTCGATTTGCGCGTAAGTAGGGGACTGTAAAACCGATGAGTATGAGTTACGAGAGCTCGAGATATCCGTCACGCTTGAGGAATCTTCGCGAATATAGTAAGGGTTGCTAACCGTAGAATAGGGGGTATCATTGGCCACGCCGCGTTTCGAAGGGGAGATTGGCGATGATGTGGACGAAAATTCCGTCGCAGAGGGAGATGGTGATGGTGCTGCCCAGTGGAAGAGAGAAGCAAATGGTGAATTCTGGCTCGGCGACTTGGGTAATGGCTTGTTTAGCTGTGGTGTTCCTTGGCCTGAGGGGGAATTTGGTTCATCCGGTGATGTGTCGTAGTTCGCAACGTCAATTGTGACCTTGTCGAGTTTGAGATGTGGTGGTGTTGGCTTCGGAACAAACATGGGGGCGGGAGCGAGAGTCTGGGCTGATATAGTATCGTCAGATGCAGGTGATCGAGTTCCTTGAACCTCTGTTTCAGAGCGATCGGTTGGCTCGGCGGTTTTAGGAACAATGACAGTTTCTTTGTCGATTGAATGAATCTTCTGACCCTTGTCGTCGTCGCTATCGCTCCCATCAAGGATGGTCTCAGAGGTAATGTCTGGTGCAGAATCTGATTTTGAGTCTGATATCAGATCATCATACCCATCCAGGACGTCAGAGAAGTCTGAACTTGAAATGGTAGGGCTGTGTCCTGGAATGTTTTGTGATCCAGGGGTTGTCGCGGCAAGGGACGCCAGGTTGGCGTCGGGAGCTCTACCAGAAGAATTCCAGTTAGCCACAGATTCTGTGAGGGAAATGAGGGGTTGTCCAGTTGGATGTGTAAGACATGGAGACAAAGGGACAAAGAATCAAGCTGAAAAGAGGACTCACGGGGCAGCTGGTGGTGCGGCGCGTTGCGCAGGAGAGAATTCGTAGAGGGTCGGACTGTCGACTGAACAAGGTCTCGCGAATCTCTGGCTCGGCTTTCCAAGATCCAGAGGTGACGGCAAGGGAGATCCCGACGCAGAGTATCGCAATGCCAATGCTGATGCTGATGATGACAGAGGTTTGCGCTTAATTGGACCTCCGATGGGAGACTGGACGGAACTGGAAGGCGACGCAATAGACCCGGAGACCGAGGACGAGCCGGGTAGGACGTCTACTGTCTGAGATCGAGCGTGTGCGGGAGAGGATTTCGGAGAAGGTGGATGCGACTCTTTTTCGATTTGAAGCGGGTGGGCTGATGGTGAGGATAATGGAATAGAGTTATCGGCAGGGACAGAAGAGGCTGTAGCAGATGTTGCAGATGGGACGTCGACAGGAGGTGTCTTGGTATCAGAACGAGTATCAGAAGTCGCAGAAGGCTCCGTTACTCCAGACCCCGGAGCGGAGGCCAGGGCGGGTTCCATATTGGGAAGATATACCGGTCCTCGCTACGAGCCACCCAAAGGTACCGTACTATACGGTTCGTGAGGTCCTGGGTAGCAGAACCGCGGCGGTAAGAGAGTGAAGCTGGTGTGTGTGCGCGATAGGAGGTGTGAAAGAGAGGAAGGAGTGGGGGTGTGTGACAAGTGAGGCGACGACCTATCGACGGCTGACCCAGGGGCCACCAGCAAGCGATAGTGAGGTTCAGGTAGTAGAGTACAGTAGTAGCAGCAATACTAATGTCTTATCACCGGAATAAGGCCTCGATCACCAACGTGTGAGGGAGGAAGAAGTGAAATTTGGCCCCTGGGATGAAGCGAAGGGAGTAAGAATGGATGGAAAACAAGCCCAGCAACCAAAGAGAGGAGAATTGTGACGATGGCTGGGGACCATGCACAATAGTCCAAGCTAAGGTCAGGGGTCCGATAATTACAGCTCTATTAGCTTGACCTCTCACCAGCCAAAAGGGAGCTAACCCCTGATCCGCAAGCGTGAACTCCCCACAAGGCTTTGTGTTTGGCCAAAAGCTATTGAACTGGTTGGTCTGCTGATCTCTTATGCGAGGGGCGAATTGGATCTCGGAAGAGGGACAAGAGGAATGATGAGGCTTGAAAGAAGAGCCGACCCAGGCCCTTTGATGTCTTTGTTCGCATTGGATCGCAATCAATGAAGGTGTGACCAGTCAAAGACCTTTGCGCAAAGAAACAATCTGTGCCTGAAGAACGTGAGCGGGCTAATCAACCAATGGCAATTAAACGACCAGGGGTTATTTGTGGTGAAGGTGGTGACAAAGGCAGAGATGGTAGAGTACCTGCGCTAGCGCCATAACCTGGGCGCTACCATGACCAAAACGTTCAGGGGTATTAAGGTGATGGACCAGATTCGATTGATTGCGCCGCGCAAAGAGCGGCATGTTCAGACCAATTCGGACCATCCAAACTCTTGGAGTGGATGTTAGTGATGTTACCTTCCAGATATCAACTGTCGATCGCTTTAAATGGACAATCCTTTGTCTCGGAGTGGTGCGGAGTACAGTTTCCACTGACGATATTTCATCTTGCGCTTATAGAAGGAGAACCAGCTCAGGTCCCCTATTCTCCATCTTATAAACATCATCTCACCTGCTTGCCTATTATCTATTGACTAAAAAGAACGAGAGCGATCTATCATCGACTAATCTGTGGTCAATGCCTCAGGTAACGGTTGGACAAGGCTAAAACAGGGTTAATAAACATAGAAGTTCAGGGATCATCTGTCCTTGGCCGCGTTCTTTCAAAAAGCATTGTTCCACGACAGCGCGTAATTGTGTTACCGTTATATCATGGTGGCGGCTATCGAAACATTCTATGATTCTATGCATATGCAAATAGCCACTTGTCAACAGGTGAAACTCTTTTCTCTTTCTTTTCTTCTTCTATGGATGAAAACGTTCATACTTGCAGGCGCACCCGTTGCTGCAATTGTTAAACAATTCGCTTGTGTAATATCAAGACAACCTTGATGATTCCCAGTTATTGCTTCAGCTCTACCGCCTCATGGCCCAGGGGTCGTGAGTTACCCCTTGTCTAGCGCTTCACGTGCTTGACAGGGAGCCTAATAAGCTGTTGGACAAAAATAAGAGAAGGCGCCTAACCCACAGGAAACATCCACGAACCAACGTAGAGAGCCTCGATATCCTCCGTTGGCGTTTATTTTATTTTACGAAAATTACTTCTACCCCGGTATAGCGCAGGAAACAAGCGGTGAAGATTGTCGACGCGAACTAAATTCTTGGTGTTTGATCGGGACATTTGACTCTCGTTCCGTTGATAACTTGTAATAGTACTCCGTAAAGGCACTTGTAGATAGTTGCATGAACTCAACAACTACAGGGTGTTTCCCTGCTGTGTTCCCGTATTGAAATGGCATCTTCTTTTTCAGGGTCTTTTTATTTCCTTTGTTCCTGTCTATTGCCGACTGAAAACTCTATTGTACATGGAAAGCCAATGCTCGGCAGTCAACCTGGGAAATATAATCGAACGATGTTGAATTTACACTATAAGCAGTCCATAGAATAGTTTCTTATCGTGCTCTCGTCTGGACACTCCGTAGTATTCAAGCCAGAAGTTCCTTGAGTCATGACAAGTCCACATGTTGGCTGTTGCATGAACCACTCCATCTCACGCTAAGAAGTCTGTCGTGCAGCAGCACAAACTTCTCCAGCCACAAGCTGATATGCACATTCATGTAAGTTGTACTTTGTAACTTCAGATTACCATTATAAACGGAGAGTTTCTTGTTGTCAAACACTCGCATCCAGCAGATACCAGGGCAAACTGCCGATCCTTACACCACAACACGAAGCTTCCGCTATCATGCAAGGATACATCGGAAGGCTACCAAAATCGACAGCAAAATGCAACTACCGACCTTGGTTTGTCTATCAAAAACCCTGATGATCATTCTTTCCCCCCACTGACTCGAAATTAGGTGGCGCTCTGAGCGGCTCGTGGTCTAATGTTGATCGATCTGCTGGTCATGGTATCACGCTCCTCCAATGCGACCTGAAGCGTTAGAATCGTAGCGGCACTATCGTTGCCGTTTCGGCGACGTTAATTCTGGGGGTCATCACATCGTAATCTCCCCTTGGGTATTGGGATAGGCTACCTCTCCGAGCTTGGTGTCGAGGCGATGAGTATAGGGTATGTGTATTGCTCCATCGCAGAGCTGTTGGTGAGAGTCTTGAAATTACGTAGCGAGCCACCAACAATGCTTGATGCAGTGCCAGTTTCACAATTGGCTTCTCTTCAGGCACCGTCCAAAGATTGAGTCCAGCCTTGAGTTGCAAGCCTTTGGTAGATTCTTATGGCTCGATGATGAAGCATGTTGACCGACCCCTTAGTGAGACATCATAATCCAGATAAACGAGTTCAAAAATTCGCCGAGACCTTCGAACAGTCTAGCCAGGACTGAACTTGCACTAATATGTGGCCAGTGACAGTACCAATAACCCGGGAGGTGGGAGAATCTCCGTGTTGAAAGGCTATGATGGCAGCTGGAAATATTCTACCTCGGGAGTTGTACCGAGAATGTATTGGGATGAACGTATAGATACACGAAAGGTCACAAACTTCAAGAGCATTGCTAGATGGGAAAATACGATTATTGTATTTACTTGTTGTAACACTACTAGTAACTTATTATGCCACTTCAATCCCATGCATTTAATCCCATGACCCAAATATACGCCTCCCAAACTTCAAGATCTCACGCAACGTGTCCCTTGGGAAGCAAAGTCCATTGCCCTCCACACGAGCACTTACGTTGTTGACCCAGAACAAATGTAAACCCAGAACGACTCCCAAACACATCCTCCATAACCGCAGTACATCTCGAGCACCGTCTCCACTGCTTATTCGGGGAGGGTCTGATCTGCATGCGCTTGAACACATCCACATACACCATGCCCCGTGCCTTCTTCGCCGCCAAGCTATGTTCGTCATCCTCGACTTCGAGAAGATCGTAATTTGCAAAGAACAACCGACCTGGATCTACAGTGTTCCGAAACGCGGGCAAGTCTGTGTTGAAGAACTTCTTGATGATCTGGAGAAATGGTGCAGGGGGCGCAGCTGAAAGGAGAATGGAGAGCTCCATCTGAACGCGGGCTGCCTTCATCGTCATATCCAGCTGCTTCCCCTGCGACTGGTTATTTTGGCTTTTGGCGAGGGATGGAAGGAAGATTTGATAGGCTTGTCGGATCTCGTTACTCAGACCTGTGAGAAGAGTCTCGACCTCAGACACTTTGACGAGAGCTGAAGAGGTAACTTGTTGCATTGCCTGGTATGCTTGTTGTAGTTGAGGGGCTGCTCGACCGCCGGCCACACCCTCGACAACAGCCGATTGCTTTCGATAGAACTCGATAGCCCTGCCGCTTAGGGCCTCAAGGTGCGCCAGTCTGCGGCAAATGGCCGAGAGAAATCCTCGACTAGAGGAGCTCATCAAGAAATGGAAAGCGACATTGTTCTTCTCGTGAAGATAAGGAGCGAGTTCATGGAAACGTTCACGAGTCAAGAGCTCTTGGAAATGATTGTCATTCATAAGCTCGAAAAGACAATCCATGAGCCAAGCGATCAGATCCAGCGCCCACCTTGCACAGCCGACAAGTGTCTCAATGACTTCTGTATTGATGTGAGTAGCTATAAACAAACCAAAGGAGTAGGCAGCATGACTTACCAGGATCATCAAGGGGGCTCAGCTTTTCCCTGACAGTAACTGGTGTATTACTGGCAATTGTGACGAGGACGACTACGTTCCGCACATTCAGAAATAGCATCGAGAATTTGCCCTGGAAAGATCGGGGGTGAAAGTCTCCACGGAATCCGAGTGCGTTCATTATACTGAGGCAGTACTGCAGAGATCCATTTCTGACAAGTGAGTCATGATGGATCTCTTCAGAGTAATCGATCTGGATCTTCAGAATTCTGATAAGTTCGGTCACCAAATCTTGGACGAATCCTATTCCGTGTGAGCAGGCGTATGGGAGACATCAAGAGGTGGACATACTCTTCTTGGTAGTATATGGTCGTACAATAGCAAGTAGATCATCATAGTTGTTCTGGTAGAACATTGACGGTGCTGCGGTCACGGTCAAGGCCGCAATGCTGCCACAGTATTGAGCTGCACACGGTTAGTAACTCGCCAATCCTCTCATCGTTAACATACCATCGTGCATAGAATTTCCGATATCGCCCATAGGGTAATGTAATTTGTTCCACTTGATCTTTCCATCTTCGCCCATTTGCACCATGGAGCAAAAAGTAGGGGAGAATGCAACTTGCTGGCCTACAACTATTGTTAGACAAGAGCAACACTCTGGAATACGGATACTTACATGGCCCTTCATCTGTGAAAGTCCAGCCTATTTGTCGAAGGTTCTGCACCTTATTCAACTCCTGAGTTGTATATAGTTCCTCGAACGTCAGTCGGTCACGGTATTCTACAGTGCCATCTGCGAAAGCCAGTACTAGGATTTTGCCAAAACTGGTAGTTTGGAACGCAACCACAACTTTATTGGCCGTGACGGGAGCAACCTTCTGCAGCTGTGTCACCGCGGGTAGCTCTGAAGAGATGCTGTTTCGTCGACCTCCAAGCTGCTCATAGGCTGATGGCAGATTCTGCTTTTGCTCGATAGCTTCCCATCGATCAACAACACTCTGACTCCCCTGATACGAGCTCTCAGTAGGAGTGCGTGACCGTGCCGTGACAACCATGGGTGGTGTGGTGTTTTTACCCGTGCTATCAACCACAGAAGGAAGAACTTCCAAGTGAGAGAGCTCGATCATGGATATGTCGAGGCTCGAATCACCAGGGCCACCTTGAAGCCAGTTTGTGGTGGCCAGATGTTTCTCAACCAGGGAAGGGCTCAGGTTTCCTGCGGGTCGGCCAGTCGCCTTGTCCGCTTGTGATGCCTGGCCCCATTGAATCTCGATTTTGATTAGTTTCAGCTGCTTTGAGGTTGTAGCAACCGCAAGAAGGAGATGTTCTACCGGCTGTTAGTGATACACGCAAAGCAATACGATAGTTCAGATGCCTACTCTTTTCGGATGCAAACGATGCATGTGTAATGAGCTCATCAGAAGCACTTATACTTTCAAGTTCCATGGTGGTCTCCTCAAGTCGATTGGTATTCTGTGACCAAAACATCCTAATGACACCATGCGTTGTGATAGTAAGCAGAGCACTCTTGGCAGGGCTGGGATGGGTTGGTCCTCCAGCATGAACGAATGAGCTTTCATAAGTATACCCATTGCCATGTTTTGTAGCTGGTCCATACATGACATTGTATGATGCCTGCTAAAAGTCAGAAACATTGAGAAACCTCTTCAAGCAACACATACCTGCTGATTTGGAGGAGAAACATTAAGCCAGTAAGCACCGACGACAGTGTGCACATCGTCAGTGGGGTCAGCGTCCCATTTCCGTTGAGGGAACGGGTGATTTAGTGAGATAGAGAAGCTGACGATAGAGACGCGACCAACGGCATCTATTACCGCTAGATCTGGGCTGCTGGTACCAGCCCATACCAAGTGAACGATGGGAATGGTTGGGAGCCCCTTGACAAAGGGGCACGTGGTGGGTTCACTGAGGTCCCAGGAGCCATCTTCTGGGGAGCGTCGCAGAAAGCGAAGTTCAAGGTTCTGACCATCAGGTGTGATGTTGGCGATCGTTCCTGTCCTTGACCACGCCACAGTTCTATCCAGGGTTAGAAAAACGTGCATGAGTGTCTGCAAGCTGGGCCTTCTTACTGGCAACATCCGCGAATCCTGACATCGTCCATTCTTTGTTGAAGCTGTTTACTCTGCGCCCTCGCGGGCAAAGACAGACCAACGCCATCGCCAAAAAGGTCATCTACGTCGTTGAGTTCCACTGGCATCGGGTTATCCAGGATAAGCGGCATCTTTTCCGATGTCATCGGCGGTAGTACGGGGTATCAAGAAAGAATACTCCAAAAAAAACAACAGTTGGAAGTGAAGTTTTTACATCAGAATAAGAAGCACGATGAGTCAATATATATAATGATTCAGTTATAGTTTTTACCTGGTCCGCAAAATGGCCCAAAGTTTAAGTGAAAAGGCTGAAAATGAAGTTAAATGTTGACTGAGGTAAGAAAGGCTGAGGTTGTCTCGAGGCTGAAGCCAAATGTGTCGTCCTGTAAGCTCTATCATTGGCTCAGAGAAGTTAATGAGTGGATGCCAATGACCGTGTTTCAACCAATGAACGACACGACGCGTCTTGTCAGTTTGATCAAGCACGTGTCTCGACGATAACATATAGTAGGTATGTGACTTTCACACCTTTAATAGGTATATTGCCAATAAGAATGTCATTATATCGGTGAATAATATACTGTCGATTGGTCCTATTAACTCTTTCACCAATGAGCTTATGGTTAGATAGACCTGAGAACATGACTTTGAACCAGTTTCTTTTTGACAGACGCTGACTTCAGCCAAGACGACGTTCGAATGCACCTCGAGCAGCGCCCTTTTCCAGATTCAAGTTCCATGATTCTTGTGCTACCATACTGGTCCGTGAGTTCAGGCATACGAGTAAAACTCGAAAGTATACAAGATTCATTGGCCAATGCTGACTCCGACCTCCTCGATAAAACAACGAAGCATCCTCCACCATCTCGCCTGATTCCTTCTGAGAGTCTCCTTTGCCTCCTCAACACGCCATCTAGTTCAGAAGCTGGACCTTGCTTTCTATCTGACACAGCGGGAACACCCTGTTTAACTCTGCGATAGGACTTCGTCGGGCACTGGTGCATCTCGTAAACAGCCATAGTTGGTCCTTTCATCGGAAGATGGAGCTATTCTTCCATTACAGACCTCCCAAGGCACGTGTATGATGGATCTCATACTGTATGCACGACAGAATCAGACCGCATGTTGTGGCGCTGAGAAGCCAAGCCTGAAGCTTGCATCGCATCGTCTGTGCTTCGCACGCCGTGATCCACACTCCGCCAAACAGTTTCAGGTCGATGTAGCACAACTAGACTACACTATTTCCCTCGACGATAGAAACATACTCCATAATTCCCTACACCGCATCATGTTTCTAGTACCTATGCGGTGTTTGACCCGTGATCGAAACTTTGAGCTTGTTATCTTCTTGTATGGCGAATCCCACAAGCCGCACAACCCGAGGACAAACTAGGCAGAGTCCTCCTGAGATCTTGAAAGAGTCTCAACTGTGGGGGAAACACATTCCACGGACCTACACGGATGCCGATAGTGCATTGACTCCGATATGACATCTACCTAGTTATATCTGAGATTTGTAGGTGGTAACTGCCGACAGGTCCAGGACCTCTACAAGATCCATGCCTCCCAGATCAGGTACGAAACTCGAGATCAAGATGGAAAATCCCCGAAACTTAAAGAAGTATTCGATACATGAGGGACAAGGAAACTACCAATGCGGCAATGCTTGCACTCTCAAACAGCTGTACTTCGTATAAGGGCTCTGTGTCTGTTGCACCGGCCATGGGTTGAAACAGCATCTCCGTGAACACACTTTGAGCAACCCAGGGCAAAGTCAACCCCAAAAGTATGCGTGATAACGTGTACTCGTGTCACCGGCATCATTGGTAGCAGGAGTTTAGGATTCGTAGGATCCAGATCCGTAACTGCCGAACCCCTTTAACAGAGCCAACAATACCGCTTCTACGGAGCTTCCGAATGCTACCAGGGGCAGCGGACTGCCAAAAGCCAGCGCCGTGATAGCTGGTTTGAACCAAAATCAGGGTTGAATGCGGCACAGCAAATGTATGTTCCAGGGGCTTGTTTCTGAGCTGAGTTGGTTGAGCAAGATATCATCCAAAAGCAGCCTGTCATAGTGTTGAACTACGCTACTCGGCGGGCTCTCCGAGAGATCTTCAGAACAAATGCTACAAACTCGGGTCAGATTCCCAAAGCGATATGGCTGGTTGGTGGGATTAAAGTCAATCTGGCGGAGCGCTTCAAGGGTCTTACTGTGAAGTGAGTTGGCTTGTGGCGGGTGGTATTAGGTGTCGCTTAAACATATTGAACAGCGAAGTACCCTGCTTGTCAGATATCAGCCCTGACACGCCGTAGTATGATAGCGTCGCATGGGAATCTGTCACTTGTATGAGCTAAGAAATGTCTGGAAGTGATGAGCACTATCAATGTCTTAAGCAGGCAGGTGATTACGATCATTAACTTGGTCCCTTGTGGGGGTGATGAATTTAAAAGCTGGAAATAAGGTGGATAGACCAACGAGTTATATTGATCGGTACCAAGGAGCCCATGTCTACCCAGATTGCTACGCGGGGACACCTAAAATAAACAATCACTGGGTTTCATAAACTCTTATCATATGTAGAGTTGAGGTGGTAAGGTTGCCCTGGCACACCAGTGAGTTGTACACCAGTTAGTTATGCTGACTATTATGGTCATTATTCGCTGCCGATATAATAACAAGACATGATATGATGTGTGGTGCGTGTCGGAAACTTAGCTGAACACGTCTATATCATAATGGAACCAAGAAACGTGGATCTGCAGATGTTTGCTTTTTTAGGTCGCTTCAGGTGTGACCCTCCCGTCGACCTTCGTCTTGCTTCCTCCAACTGTGGAGGCGATGGAAGAAGTCCGATGAATTGCGGTCTTCAAGTCATAACCTTCAGTGCCCCAGAAATGAACTAAACCAACTCAGGGGTAGAATAGCGGCTTCACCCTCAATCACTCGATTGTGACCCCCGGACTGAAGTCCCACTCCAGTACGAATTATCTTGACTTAAGCCTTGGTGATACCTAATGTTAGAACTGCTAGACTATTCGAGACAGTCCGGTCACGGCGCCTGAATGAATGTCAGCATAAACACACCAAGTCAGGTACCGTGCAGATTGTAGCTGCACTTGTCCCAATAGAGGTTGGCTTATCGACATCTGTGCCCGGAAACTTGGGACTCCGCTGCACTGCTAGACCCAAAGGCTAAGCAGATTGGCTTTTGGGTTGGGTCTTGGGAGGCGGGTTCACCGTTCATGAACCCACCTCGTCAACTGTTGTGGTGTTGCCAGGGAGTTGGGTCCAGTTCCTACAGCACAGCGTTAAGCCAAGCTACAGGGATCGAGGTTGATGGTGATGGGACGGGCATCGACATATTCTGAAGCACCGCCGTGATTTCTGAGCAGAAAGCGGTCGTATCCATCCATGCCTGCTCGCTAGGGACTCGTTCCATACGAATCTGGCCTCGATGCCGGAGCTGACGCCCATTAAGACGACACAGCAGCACACGACACCACGACGCACGGCACGGAACGGCGCGACATTTGGACTGAGGTTTGGTTGACTCTTCGGAGTATTATTACTTAGAATTTGTGTTATGTATGGACTAGGTATCCGTAGATGACCGAACTTCTTTTCCTTCTTTTTTCCCTCTCTTTCTTCCATCTCCGATTGTATGATGTGTACACTTCATTAGGTACGACAACGCATTTTGACGCCAACCCACCAACCTTTGACGCCAAAGTCACATCGTTGATTTCTCTATTGCCTCGGACACCTTCCCACCCCTAACGTTCTCTCACCGTTGCTGAGAGCTAATTCGAGTTGGCCCTCGAGCAATTGGCAAATTCCGTATCTGCCACTACCGTGCTGTACCTTACTTTTTAGTTGAGGCTTGGCTCTTGTACCCGCTTAACCAAAATTGAAGCCGTGCTTGCCCTTTTTGATCTCTATTTACGGCACTTTTACAACGAGTCCTCGGGAATTGCATTCGCTTATGACGATATGCTTTGACCGTTGAAGCATATCGACGAGGCACGAGCAATAATAGCATCTTCCACAATTTCCGATCTGCCCCTCGTATCGACTCTTCCCGAATCGATACTTTGCTTACTGCAACTCTCCTCCTTGCAAACCTTCGACCTCGATCGGCTCTCGTCTACCGGTAAGACACTGTCAGCCGAGCGTCAATCACATCCCAAGGTAAGGGACGAGGAGTCTAGGAACGGTGCCTGCGGGGGGCCAACTTGACAGCAGTGGACCTTGCATCGCCGTTCCTTTCCGATTGCCTCATGATCAGCAGTCACTAGGTCGCTATTCGGCCTCATCACCACTCCCTGTCGCCAAATCTCGACAACCCTGCTGCGCAGCTCTAGCACGAGCCGAACTATCAACTCGACTTCGTCATGAGCCAGGGTGATGGAATTGCAGCGTCGGATTCGACCCTGGGATGGAACGAGGATCAATGGCCAGATCGAGCTGAAGCAGTGGTGGCTATCGACAGCAATAGCATGAATGCAAGAGATAGCGGCAGCGTTAATAGCCAGGGCCCAGGCCGTCCCGATGATATTATGAGCTTCTTCGACAACGAGACTCTCTCCTCGGGTTCTGCAAGTTTATCTCAACCTCTTTATCCTAGACCTCTGCACCACTACACGAATCAAACGAGTCACATCAACAAGAGCCGCATACATGCACAACCCTCGCATGTGTATGCACCCATTTTCGAAACCATGCATTCTCTACAGCGCCCAAAGCCACCACTGCAGCCGCAACGCCAACGCCGTGTTCCCACAAGGCTCGACACTGACGATTCTACGGATACCAGCGCCATCGATCAAAGCCAAGGCCTTGGTGATCACAGCTTTTTGCTGCCTTCTCGACCTATGAGCATTGCAACTACAGATGTGACGACCACAAAGGATGATCCAACATGCAGTAACAGCTTGTATCGCGCTTGGGCAGAAGAGGAGCAGATCGAGCTGCGAATACATTCAGAGACGAATCCTGATACCGATAATCTGCGACACAACTCGCAATATCATGACTTGCTTAGCGAAATCGATACAGAGTGCCTCTTCCCTGACGATAGTCTCACTACAGATCACCGTCCATCATCTTCCCGCAGTCACCTACTTCAGTGGCGACGTAGTCCAAACGCCGCTGCGTCCACTTCTTCAAAACACCAGAGGGTATCTTCTGATGTCCAGCCTCCTACCACAGAAAATCGACCATCAGCAACCATTACGAGACAAGAATTCGAGGCTCTTCCACCAACGATTCAACGAAAAGTAAGTTCGTGGCTTTCATTGTTTTGCGGATCCTTTGCCGTGTGTCCCATATTTTGTTTCTCACGGTCTGTTTCGGTACTACCATAAGGGAGTCGAAG